TGCTATTGCAAAGCTTTTTTGAATCAATCTGATTAACCTTCACGACCTTAAAGTAAAAAAGGTTATACTTATAGGTATAATTGTAAACGTTTGTAATTTATTTTGAAAATTTCCAGACACAAACGATATCGCAGGTATCGTCTCCAGTGTATACCGTAAACGGGAATCAATTACTATACCACGATTTCGAAAAACACATATCCTCGCCATTCACTATTAAATGTTGTTTGCGTTTTGCTTGTCAGCGGAAGCCCTGGGCTAACAGTTATAAAACTTTCTATAACGATTTTCGTACTCCGACTCAAAAATCAACCAATCAAAACTGGTTGATTCGAGCACACATTTTATACTCCAATTGATGGGTAAAGTTTTATTACCGAAAGGCCTTGAAATATGTAAGCATTCGATTGAAAATGCACAGTACTATATTATTCGGGTGTTTTACATTTTATCGAACATTTTAACAATAGCGATCTAAAGAATATAGGGAATTACTACCGTCATTGTACATTAATATAAGCCAATGTCAATTCGCCGTTTCAGAATCTAATGCATTCTGGGTAATATTTTCAAAAGCGTACACCAAAACGTTGTGGTTGGTTTAAAACGTTCTAAACAATGGAAATTCAACCAATGACGTAACGTTATTTTCATTTTGGTGTACGAACAATGAGATTACCAATAATCCTTTAGATTCTGAAAAGGCGAAATTGGATAGGCCGTGTCTGATTTATCTTTTTTTTTTGTTTTAAACTTAGTAAACGAGAACTATCACCGAATTGTAACTTACCACGAGTAAAACGACAGGTGCAACATAGGTATATATATATTCAACTATGTTACACTTATAAATTTTGATTGTCCTTTTGGTAGCTAGCTTCTGTCTCTTGTTTCAAATTAGCTTGTCCTTAAAATCCCAATTTTAAAGGAGATTTTCGGAAATAATTTTGAGTTTATTTTTTTACCCCCAGACCATGAAAGTCAGTAAGCAAACGCAAACAACATTATCTCATCGTTTGCCTTACTTCATAACTAAGAAATTTTCCAAACAGACTTGTTGATGGGTACATAAACCGTGTAAACTTGCCGCTCTTAAATTTACAAACCTATTCTGAAAACTTTCGTACGTAATGCAGGTGAATCAATTTGTGTACAATCATATTCATGTTCAAGTGGGTCATACCTATAGATCTAGATAAACATATTTATCACAAACGATAGTCTAAGATGTTAACCGCAAAAATTATTACAATATATCGAAGGATGATTGAAGTCTAACGGTTAAGAACACGCCAGGGATTGTTGAAGGAGTATACTACAATATATATTAGAAATAAACTTCCGGTAATAATGGTTATTGCGTGTGTTACACTATGAATATATTACCAAAAAAAACAGTTGAAAATAATTGTATGGCATACTTTTAAATTAATTAAATGTAAACAATATTTTAAGTTGTTATGTAACAAAATTGAATTATTGCAAGTGATAACCAACGATGCATATATAAGGAAATTTATAGGTTTGTCAAATGCAGAAACAAAAGGTCGACATGATACTTTTTCCCGGTTGCTAAATTTCATATTCATACCTGGTATTCAAAATCATCATAAAAAAATATACAGAATCTGAAATAAAAAGTAAAAAGTTTAGACAGATTCTTGCTGTCTATCCTGTTACTATGGTTGCTATGGTTACAGTAACAGGATAGACAATAGTATACAGAAACGTCTTTAAAAAGTTTATAATAACATATAGTTGCACACATAATGAAATGTTTCGTTCTTTGAACTCATCCAAGGGTTTTAATCTATGCAATTTAGCATTTGCAGGTGCAATACTGCTATCGGTAACAGGATAGACAAAAAGGTAACAGGATAGAACTTAATATAGTGATATATCATTAACGTACGTTCCTGTTACCAATAAAATAAAGACAAAAGTAAACCAACGTGCAAGGGATTTACTTGATGTTGGGTTTATTTGAAAGAGAGAACAAATGCTGAACATTATGAATTGCTATCTTAGACTTGCATTACTGGTGGTTATTTTTATAACCTTTGAAAACCAATTTTTAGAGGCATTTTTCGGTACAACATGAAAAATTGGCAAATAATCTATTATTTCACAGAATGAATATATATAGAAGTTTTTACTCTTGAAAACCATCTTATTGGCTACGAGACGCAAGCTTAAAATTTTACCGTAACCTTTTCTAAATAACCCGAAATTTCTTTTGAACATGATAACAGGAGAGACAAAATATTGCACCACCTATCAAAAAATGTTTCAATATATTCTTGTATAACATTATCAAGATTGCATCTTTTTATATGTTGTTCTATAAGTACTGTTTGTTTTGATTTGCTTATGACGAGGGTTGTTTGAATAAGTAACTTTAAATCAATTTTGCAATTTGAAAATTCGACATTTTTTTGAAAATGACCAATATATTCTCTACACCATAGTGGGGATAGTCTGGCCATCACACCTTTGCATTCTTTTTCATGTGTATATCAAAAGCAAACGTCGGGGAAAAGATCAAATCAAAACAAATATTGAGAAATAAGTACCTGTCCCGAATTATCTCAACTATTAGATATAAGTATTTATTACAGATAAACATTGAGGCTGAAGTCCATCTACATTGATTTTAAAGATACTTTAACACAGTATTCATAAATATTTATTAATTAGTGAAATAGATCAACCATGAAATAGACGCAGCTATGAGGATTTTAGTGGAAACTGTTTTAATTTTCCTTCTTTTGTTTTTGGGTAAGATATAATTATAAAAAGTAAAGTGTGAAACGTACAACCTGGGAAAATACAGAGAGTTGTCATTCCGCCCTGTTAGATACATGAATGAGCTGGACTAACACTAGTACCAGTTTTATAGTAAAACTATTTCTAATTTCGGAAAGACACTAGACGATAACATATAAGGAATAATTCTAGTTCGTATGGTCCGATTCCGGAGAAGTGATCAGCGATCGAGTTTGTCGAGTCGGTTTCGATAGTTCAAAAGATTTGTGTTTACTTATAGCTGGGAACAGTCTAACAATATATATGTTCCTGCTTATAGCGTCTATAGTGTAATTTCTCAAATAAGAAACCGGAATAGTTTTGTAATTGTCTTTTAAAATAGAACAATATATCTTCCCAAATAATAGCTTTGCATAGAACCAGAGACATATACTACAAGATATTAGTAGCTCGCTGAACTATTGTAAAGACGCGGCCACTACTGAACACCCATCGAGTTAGTATTCTGTCATTAAAAGTACTACGTATACATGTACAGGTACAAAAGTTTAGTAAAGAACATTATATGACAATAAATAAATAAAAAAAATGTTTGTAAAACAGACACGGCTTACACTTTAAGAAATAACTTAATCAATAAATGTGATATGTGACGAATCTAATTATTAATAAATTTTACTTAGATTCTACTACGAGTTGCAATTTCATTGTATTATATGTCTCTGATTGAGCTTTGTTCCTTTTATTTTAATCTGACCGGACGTGGGTGCAAATTAACGCATTTATACACAGCGAAACCGGCGGACAACCCACATTGACTAGGGTTTTACTGATGATTGGAAGACGATCAATGGCCTATTTTTCTATATACCGCTGTCAATCCTCTGTGTCCCATGACGGTGACCTTTCAAGACACCATTCCCATGATGTGCTGTTACACCACTGTCCCAGATTAGGGGATGGTTGAGCGCTGAGTGAACAGACATGTTTATCCCTGTCACATTCTTTATGTGCCTATCCAAAATCAGGAGCCTGTAGTTCAGTGCATGGTTAACATCGGTTCATGTTTCTGATATTTGTTTTCCTAAATTGCTTTGTTATAATTTATGAAGTTAATTTTCTCATTTTGATTGTTTCCCATTTTTTATATCGGTGCCTTTTATATCAGGCTAAACGGTATAGGTTTTCCTCATTGATGAAGGTCGTATAGTGGTCTATAATTGCTTATATCCACATCATTTGAACTCTCTGGTGGATAGTTGTCTTTCTCGTTGGCAATCATATAACATTTCCGTATGTTTATACAGTGACCGTAAGATAATAAAAGAATCAAATAATGAGACGATTTTTCATTGTTATCTTTTAAGTTAGTGTTTGTCTGCAGTGTAGAAGTGAGTGAGCTGGGTTGTTTTGTTTGTCTGCAGTGTAGACGTGAGTGAGATGGGTTGTTCTGTTTGCCTGCAGTGTAGACGTGAGTGAGTTTGGTTGTTTTGTTTGTCTACAGTGTAGACGTGAGAGAGATGTGTTGTTTTGTTTGTCTGCAATGTAGACGTGAGTGAGCTGGGTTGTTTTGGTTGTCTGCAGTGTAGACGTGAGACAGATGGTTTTTTTTTGTTTGTCTGCAGTGTAGACGTGGGAGAGATGGGTTGTGTGTTTTGTCTGCAGTGTAGACGTGAGTAAGATGGGTTGTGTTGTTTGTCTGCAGTGTAGACGTGAGTGAGCTGGGTTGTTTTGGTTGTCTGCAGTGTAGACATGTGTGAGATGGGTTGTTTTGTTTGTCTGCAGTGTAGACGTGAGAGAGATGGGTTGTTTTATTTGTCTGCAGTGTAGACGTGAGTGAGATGGGTTGTTTTGTTTGTCTGCAGTGTAGACGTGAGTAAGATGGGTTTTTTTGTTTGTATGCATTCAGACCCTTGATTAAAACAGTGAAACTGTCAGTTTTTAGTTTCTCAGTTGAGAATTTAAAATTTGCACCAAGGATTTACATAGTCTTTCAAAAATCATTGTCTGCACATTATCAGCAGTATACATGAGGTTTGTAATCTTGTTCATTAAGATATGAACAGCACAATGCAATGATATATGATTTTGACATTGTGTAGACGCTTTGAAAGATTTGTTGAATTGTCAGCAGAAAGTCTTCCTACAAATTATTACCGCCACTGGGATAGCTGTAATGCCGTCTGGTAACGCCGGCTAGCTGCATGTAACTGTTAGAAAATCTTTTAGAAGAAATGACTGGTAACATAATTTACTGTTTACGCATTTTTATATGAAAAAAATCTAGGAACAAAAGATTCATGTATTAGTATCAGTGAAAAACAATGCATCAACATGGGTTAAATTGGAGTTGAACTTGAACCGTATGATTGCAGTATTAGTCCAGGACTACCAGATTTGAAAAAAAAAGAAAGTTGAGTCTGTCAAGTCAAAAGCAGGGCGGATCAGTTTATGTCAAACATATGTTATCATGAAAATAACATATATTATAATATAGATTAAGAAATGAAGAAAATGTATTGTATATAACTTGGTGAAGTATGAAAAGTTGGCTGCTTCCGCATAGATCAGTGTATAACACTGAACAAGCGATGTAGACACTGCCCAGGGGAGCCTTGATCCAGAATCGCTATGACAAGAGGGGTCCTTTATTTCTGTTTGGTAATTGTAACAAGAAACATAACATGTATAAGTTATATTAAGTAAGTCTTATGAAAGATACATTAGCGTTTTATCTATATTATCAGAGCCTGTGTGACATATAATATAATTGTATTATATTTCTCTGATATTATCTTTAATAATTTACGATATCAATTATCTTTTGTGGGAGCATATTTTTTCTAAAATGAATTGTTGTTTACAATTGAAAATTAGATGAAGATATATATATATACTGAGGCATGTTCAGTATGGCAAAGTCGAAAAGCCGGTTACTACAGAATTATGTTTAAAATTTTGTTTGATGACTCCGACTTTGAAGGTCACGTGCTCATTATGCACCCCTATATATACTTCAATTTTCCAAGGCCGATATGTGTAGTAATTTACTGTAAGATCTTGAATCTTAAATCTTAAATCCTTGAATTTTCCGACTGAAAATTAAATTTTTTTATGATATATGCCAACGGGCGGTAATACTTTCAGCATGGATACAACTGAATACAATCTTTTTTAATTTATACGTGAATGTTTTCTTAAATATCGATCAAAAGCTTATGTTACATGCCCCCCCCCCCTTTTTTTTTTATACCAAACTCCGTAATTTATACCCGGTACGATTTTGATATATCTACCCAAGGGACGTAACTATGGCGGGAAAGTAGTAAATTTGGATTTGGTTTGAGAATGGTGCATACATCCCACTTACATGTTGATGCATTATTCAGCGGAACAATAACATACATTCCTTTAAATTAAACACTTATTCAAAAGGGTTGGGATGTTATCAACATTGGAAGAATGGTAAAAAATAATGATTTAAAAGAGAAAAAAGGGGTATAATTTTTTCCAAAACAATAAGTTTGAAATTGATGCCTTAACATCATGTGTTGGCTAACGTGTGGAAAGCATGCATATTAAATCTACAAATCCTAAATTATACAAAGAGATAGTCGACTGCCAAATCTAGATGGAAACCAAATGGATTTAAAGGTATCAAAAATCAAGTTTTGGGAAAATATTAAGTCCAAATAATTTAGACCTCTTGTAGCATCACAGCCAAAAAAAAAAAAAAAAAATGAAAATAGCATGACAAGACGTCTTTCCAGGACAAAGTTATTCATTTTCAAAAGGTTCCTCCCTCCCCCAGCCTTTACCTAACTAAAGTATATATATTCTTGAGGCCTTTGAACATGATGAATCTCTAGGTGGTTTTCTCTTGCATTTACACATTTTTTTAAGTCCCAGATTTTATAATTTAGTATACAGTATTGGATTTGCTCATTGTTGAAGGCTGTAAGTTGACCTATCATATCTGTCAACCTCTGAAGATGAAAATGCAGGTCAATACTTGCATTGAACAAGAAAATCTCATTAGATCATGTAGATAAGGAACATTTATTATGTTCATGTTTTTTATATTTTAAATCAAACAGTTTCCAAAACATGTTCACATGGTTAAGTATTTACTGAAAATAATTTAAAACTTTAATTTAATTTTTTCATTGCATTTATTAACTATATTGATAGATTAATTTATCATGTTTATAATACTATATTAATTCAAGCCATACCCCCTTTTGCATACCTGTCAACCTCTGAAACTGAAAATGCAGGTCAAGGCCTGCATTGACATGATTGAAGAAGAAAATGTCAGGTCATAACGCGTACGAACTTTTTCAGTCCAATTTTAGTATTGAGAGGGTTTTTTTTATAAAGTCTATAACCAGTCAGCATGGTCAGGGAAATTACTGAAATAAGTGATATATAAAATCACTTATTTAAGTAGCAAATTTGAAATTTTGTCACAAATTGTGATTTCGTAGTTTTACCAAAATTTTAAACATAGGTTTAGATTATATCTTATTATTATTAAAATTGAAAAAAATAAACCTCTTGCTTCTTTTAAGTAGCAAGGTTTATGCCTTTGATGCAATCATTTAGCTGTAAATTCTATATTTGTTGAAAAAATGCTATACTGAAGGCTTTACATAGTGAACTGATACTTTCTTAACATATTTTTCCCAGCAGTGGGAGTATTTTTCCTGTAAACAGTCAAGGGTCTAACTTAAATAAGTTATTAGAGAAAAATAACATACATTTGTTATTGAGGGCTAAAAAATAAAAAATCTGCGATAACATATGTATGTTACATAATGTACATGTTTCAAAGGGACATTATACATCCTTTATTTTGTTAAATTGTGTACTAGTTCTATTGATATTATAATTGTCTTTATGTACATTAAACTTTAGAAAGATATAACAGCCCATAGTTTGCCAATCATGCATAACACACCCATGTTATTACAGAAAAAATATGCCTGTAATAACTAAAGGGTGTTATTACAGCTTCTCTACATCTCTTCAAAGCCTTTTCTCCTACATATATCACAATGTATTTTAATTTATTGTAATAAATAATGATAAGAGCATGTAATGAGGTTCTGCGCAAGCTTCCTAGTCATTCCCAAGTGTCTCGTGTAATAAGTTAAATGCCTGTAATAACTAAGCCTTGTTATTACAGCTAAGTTATCACTTAAAAGCTTTGTCTCATTGATTTACCATGGTTGATCAAAAATGTATTAATTGAATTGGAAAATTAGTTTTCAAGGTTATGTATTAAGTTACTGCGCAAGTTTCAAGAATTCCCAAGTGCCCACTGAAAATAAAAATTATTATGGTACATTTAACTGATAACAAACATATGTTACTACAGATTAAGAGAAAGTATCCGTAATAACACATGTATGTTATTTTTCTCTAATAACTTATTCAAGTTACACCCTTGACTGGTAAAATCATGAAAATTCATGGTTTCATCTTACAGATTATGTAATAAAATTTAGCTGTTCGTGATCAAATTTCACTGTTCAGGGGTGTTGAATTTAGTGGGGGTAATTAACATAATGATACTTAAAGAAGTGATTTTTTGGAAGAAAATAGAGGTATGATACTTAAACAAGTGATTTTCATGTCATTATCCCAGATCCAGTACAAGGTCATCACCTGACATGACCAGTCATGCTATCAGCACAGTTGTTGGACTTTTTTGTTGGTTCTGATAATTTTAGCAACATAATTAGTCCCTGGATGATCATTAGTATTGTATATTTAAAGCTACAATAAAATTAAATCACTTAGTCTAGTGATTTATTTGTACTACTTAAATAGGTGATTATTAAAGAAAGACAACTCTTACTTCCAACATTTGTTGACAAAATGTTACTTGAATCAGTGATTTAGAAATCATTCATTTAAGTAAGTCCCCTGACTGATAACCATGATAACATATACATGAACCACTGAGTTTCCTAAAAATAATCTCTTTTGTATTTGTTAAGTATATAAATATTTATCATTAATTAAATATCTTTCTAAAGCAATGCCCTTTTATTGTTTTATTCACACTAGTTTTCTTCTTTTTATTAGTAAATGTCATAAACCCCAGTTATACATGTAATTAGAAATCCTTGATTCCTCTGCTCATATCCTAAACTTGGATATGATGGCTCGTTTCGATGCTGAGACATTTTCACGTGTGGTTAAATTTTGGGGTACGAAGTAAGATTAATTTTTCCGTTAATTAGCAGACCCCGAAAATCCTTTCGTGATGCGGCTCCTCCAGGTAAAAAATCCCTTTTTTCACATAATAATAATTTATTTCTTTGCATACATTTAATAACCATAGTTTTTGTCTCGCCTTGATGGAGTCAAAAAGCGAGATATAGGTATGCTGTTTCCAGCGTCAGCGTCAACAATGTATTAGTTTGTGATTAGGTCTAGTTCATGGTGAACCACTAGTGGTAGTTCAATGATATTTGGTATGCAGTTGTATTAGCATTGGCACATCTCATTACCATGGAGATTATTTGGCCCCGCCCCCTCAGTCAAGGTATATTGACTTTGAAACTTTGCTTAGTTTACATGTATTAGTTTGTGATTAGGTCAGTTTATGGGGAACCACTGGTGGTAGGTCAATGATATTTGGTATGCAGTTGTATAAGCATTGGCATATCTCATTTCCATGGTGATTATTTGGCACCACCCCCTCATTCATGGTCTATTGACTTTGAAACTTTGGTTTTGTTTTCATGTACCGGTATTAGTTTGTGATTAGGTCAGTTTAAGGGGAACTGTTAGTGGTAGGTCAATGATAATTGGTATGCAGTTGTATAAGCATTAGCACATCTCATTTCCATGGAGAATACTTGGTCCCTATCCCCATTGATCCCTCAGTAATGGTCTATTGACTTTGAAACTTTGGCTTAGTTTACATGTATTAGTATGTGATTAGTTCAGTTTAAGATTAACCACTAATGTTAAGTCAATGATATTCGGTATACAAATGTATTGGCATTTGCAAGTTTCATTTCTATGGAGATTATATAACCTTTCAACATTTGCATTTCAAAATAACAAATAGGCGAGACATATCTCTGTGTTAACAGTTTATTATACATTGATGTTATGGTCCTCTGCTCTCCAAATCTGCACAAATGGTTAAGCTCAGTCACTTGTTAAAAACTGAAACATGTCCAATCTCACTACACAGAGAATTTTTTTGTTTACGCACAATTTTTGTGTTCCTCAATTTGAGGTGCATTAGGGATATTGACCCAGCTAGTTGAACATGTTGAACTTCCTGTCCAGGAAGAATTACGAATTTGCCAACATTTCAAAGGAAAATCACTGATGAATTCCAGCATTTCATACTTAAAAAATCTCAAGGCACAAGAAAACGGGTGAAAACGGGTCAAATGCCGAAATTACGTGTTTTTTGCTAACCCGGACAACTATTACAAAATCTCGAGTGAGCCTTTTTTTTTAATTCCCGGGTGTGAGCCGCAAAATCTGGGTCAGTTGACAGGTTTGACCTATAGTTGCTTACATCCACATTATTTGGTTTTGGAGATTCTCATTCTCATTCATACCACATATATATCCTTAATCTTTATATTTTTGCAAGAATTTAATCGCTGTGGTGTATTTTAATGAAAAACAATATGAATAAGTACAGTACTCTTATGCCATGTACATGTATGTATAAAGTTAAACTAATTTTTCTCAACTTTATTCTACAGCAAATCAAAGTGAGGCTGCATGTCCTGTAAACTGGAAAGAATACAATGGAGACTGTTATTACATTTCTGAGAATAGATTCAGATATTCAGATGCTATAATTACATGCTCATCAAGAAATGCATCTATGTATGTTTTCCATAATGAAAAACAAAAGGTCAGTAAACACATGATTTAAAAGATGATTAATTCTAAGCTGTGAGAGTATCATTTTTTCAGATACATGTTAAGACATTCATATAGTTTTTATATCATATACAAATATACGCCACCACCTCCAGGGTTGATTGGGGAATATATATAGAAATATGGTCATCTTTGGACTTCTCCCGTCTGGCAGTAAAACTGATTGACATTCAACATTGTAACCACAAGAAACATCATCACAATGAATATTTGACAAGTTTCACAAATTCGAATTGCTGAAGTAAAGACTTGTTTTTAGTAATCATTTTGTCTGTGGTACATCATAATTCTGCCTGCAATTAATAAAAAATCTTTATGATAAAAAAATTCCTTTTAAGTTGTAATAAATAAACAATTTCTGTATTACATACATATATATGTGTACATGTACATGTGCAAGATTGGAATGAGTTGTACACAAGCTCTAAAGTAGCAGGTCAGGTGTGGTATTAAACAAAATGAAGTAAAACAAAATGTGAAAAACTACAACAGGGGACATATATAGGTAAATTTGCTCTATCACCCTCTCAACTATGTGTTGTTTTATTTATTATACTGAATGTTCTGTTATTACTGTCTATCAACATTCAATTTCAAATTCAAAGTAATCAACTATGACTTCTTGTACATAACAACAATCTGTACCTAATAAAGCGCACAATTGATCAAGGGTCTCTGTCAATGGTAATATTAGAGTATTTGCCATGGGATAGGGTAAATTAGCTCCTTTTTATTAACCAATCAAAATCTGGTATTTTGACATGAAGTATAATAAAAAGAAATGATTGAAAGCAAATCACATGATTTCTTTGAAAAGAAAAAAACAAAACTAAGGTAAAATTTTACTGCATTATCCTACGACATGTACAAGACCTTTGTTTTATCACAATTGCATCATGTGCATAATTTAATGAACTGAAAATGTACACTATACAATAAACATGATAATAACCTACAAATACAAATTTGATATACTTATGATTATCAATACATAATTTATATAGGTAATCATCTTATATTGATCAAACATAGATACCAGACTGATGTTGTATAAGTACTGTGAAAGTTTATCATAGTTTATATTATCATGTCCATAATGTTTACGTATATATATATGATATGTCTCGTTATATAATACATGAATTCTAATCATGTTACAAATGCACTTAGAGCACAAGGTCATTTGAGTTTACATTTTATACATTTTTGATAATAGAACTAGAGGAACTATTATGATGGGTAGTAAGATTATACAGTACCCAGGTTATTGGTGGGATTTGATTGCCCAGTCCTTAGTTTTCTATGTTACAGTATAGTGTTTTGAAGACTTTGATTCACGTTTTGTTGTTTTTCATTTTTGCCATGGCATACATGGCATAGCCTGTTTTTATACCCCGCTTTAAAAAAGTGGGGGTATACTGTTTTACCTCTGTCTGTCCGTCCATCCATCCGTCTGTCCGTCTGTCCATCAATCCATCCGTCAGTCTGTCAGTCCGTCAATCCGTCCATCCGTCCCATGAAAATATTTTGTCACATCTTTCTCAGGAACTACAATACAAGGATTTCTGAAATTTGGTTTCAGGGTTTATATAAGTCAGCTATACTGTGTGATGCGTTTTCAGATTGATCACTCAACAACTTCCTGTTAACAGAACACTTACATCATTTTACACAACACATCCAAGTTGAAAATTTTCGTCACATTTTTCTCAGGAACTACATTACAAGGATTTCTGAAATTTGGTTTCAGTGTTTATATAAGTCAGCTATACTGTGTGATGTGTTTTCAGATTCATCACTCAACAACTTCCTGTTTACCGTCAAATATTTGGGTGGGGGGTATCATCAGTGAGCAGTAGCTCGCAGTTTCACTTGTTCTTCAACTTATGATTTTGAATAACCCTTTAGTCATGTTAGTATCTGTGGTTTACAGAATATTTTTTTTATTTGATAAATTTTGGAAAATGAAATCAAGTTAAATATATAAATATGGGTTTTGCAATTTTTTCATTCAACAATACATGTATTTGACTTTTTAGGGAGAAGCCCTCCACCAGTTACATGTTTTTCTAATATTCACATTGGAATATTCTCAGCATGCTCAGTAAGAGTAATAATATCATATTTCAATCAACTTTTGGTGTGCATTGATAAATTATTAGGGCCCTGCTGAATGGCGGACGCCCTATAGTGATCAGTCTGTCTGTCCATCTGTCTGTCCGACCGTCCATCCGTCCATCCGTCCGTCCGTCTGTAACAAATTGTGTCCACTCTATATCTAGAGAACCGTTATGATTTCAAATTTTATACTTGACATGTATATTAACCAACACCAGAACGTGTGTCATAATGTATGTTCAAATTCCTAGGTCAAAGGTCAGGTAAAAAAACTTTGGTTTCAGTTGAGAACCCCATGTCCTATGGTAAAGATCGTGTCTGCTCTATGTCTTGAGAACCGTTATGATTTCAAAGTTTATACTTGACATGTATATAAACCAACACCAGAGGGTGTGTCATAATTTATGTACAACTTCCTAGGTCAAAGTTCAAGGTCAAAAACTTTGGTTTCAGTTGACAACCCCATGTCTTATGGTAAAGATACAAATTTTTTAAAGCACATTATTCACAGCGGGGCCCACAGAGATGGCTCCCATCTCAATGATATCTAGTTTTTTTCGGTTTTGTTTTGTTGGGTTACTGTCTCAGATAATTTACACCTCCTCTCTTTTTATTAGCTCACCTGGCCCATAGGGTTAAGTGAGTTTTTCTCATCACTTGTCATCCGTTGTCGTGTCCTTTAATTTAAAAAAAAAATCATATCCACTGAAACAACTGGGCCATATTTAACCAAACTTGGCAACAACCATCATTGGAGTATCTAGTTAAAAAAAATGTGCCCCACTTGCCAACCAACATGGCTGACATGGCTAAAAATAGAAAATAGGGGTAAAATGCAAGTTTGTTTATTATCTTGAAAACTATACTAGATACAGAAAAACTTAAATAGCAAAAATGATCAGCAAGACAAGATCAACAAATAAGTCAACATGGCCAAAATGTCAGACAACACCTTATTGGAGTTAATTGTCCTTAAATGACGATTTTTATATATTTTTTTTGCGTTTTTGCTTTATATCTTAAAAGTTATGTTAGATTGATAAAAAACTTTAAATTCTAAAATGATCAGTAAGACAAGGTCTATAGTTAAATGGAAGAAATTGTCAGTAGACCCCTTATTGGAGTTCTTCCTCTAGCTCTTTAATGACAATTTTTACCCATTTTTTACGTTTTTTGTGTTTTTGCCTAGTATCTTGAAAACTATAAAAGATAGATAGACATTTAAAAAAAAAGATCAGAAAGACAAGATCTTCAAACAACTAAATTTTGTCATAATTGTTAGTAGACTTTTTATAGGAGTGTTTGCCCTTAAATGATAATTTGTTTACCCTTTTTTGTGTTTTGGGCAAAAACTAAAGAAGATAGAGAAAAACTTTAAACAGAAAAATTATCAGCAATACAAGATCAACAAAAAAGAGATTTTTGTCATGAATTCTATTCTAGTCTAATGTTGGAGAGTGTCTATTGTTGAAGATGCACATAGACCTAGGTGAACTACACAGGCTCTTTAGAGCCTCTAGTTCAAATCCATTTCTGAATTTTCAGCATTCATGTTCACAAGTCAATGCAAAAAATACAGATACTATACATCAAAGGAACATTATAGATATATAGAATAATCCTCAACTCAGAAAAAAATTAAATCTTCAAATATTACAAGTCCTTAATGAATTTCACTCAGGTATTGCAATATATTTTGAAGACTAGGGAAGACCTGATCGTTGTGCTATCACAAATGATATATGCGCAGACATTGTTCAATAATTACATTGGTTTTTTTGGGGTTTTTTTTAAGCAATGGATAAATTCTCAACTTTTCCATGGCACTCGAATGGAATTCTGGATAGGAATGCAACGTGTTAACAAAACATGGACGTGGATTGATAATACAACATATGATGCGAACTCTACGTATGTATATATATTAAACCAATTCAAGAAGTTGATTGTTAAATATTTTCCATCTCTTGAATTTATTTTTTAGAGTGATTTAAAACTTCAAAGTTGAAATACAATTAAGAACATATGTACTCATTCAAAACAATAGATTATTAGATTAAAACATTTAACATAAAACATTCAATTTTTCATTATCATTTTATATATATTTGTAAATCTTCAAAACAATACTGGGAACTAATCAGTCAGGGGTAGTACTTCAACAAGTGATTTCCAAATCATGCATGTACATAAAGTTTTTTTTGGTGCTTACATAGACGAGAAAAAGTTTAACACTGTTGAATTCCCCGCTTTTACAACACAATGTGAACATACGATTTATCATGTGATTTAATTACACAACATTAAACCATGTGCTCATTTCTTAACCAATTTTTATGATATTTTGATCTTTAAGAAAAAATTATGATAAGGGCTATAATATGCGAAAATAAAACTACATCAAACATTTCTTGGAAACTAGATTCATAGGACAGAGAACATTGAAAAAAATACCACCTGGAAATGGTGAATTAAAAATTTCACAAATTTAAATTCAGTACCCGAAATAGATTAAAAGAGGTCACAAATTTCATGGAGTACAGAAAGAAGATTATTATTTTAGGCATTGGTTGAGGAACAAGGTTGGTACAGCAAATGATGCACGACACAGATGTGCTTCAATGTATTCCTATAGACCCTATACTGGACAGATCCATCAAAATGACTGTTACCGTGGAAATGGAATCATTTGTGTGAAGTCCAGAGGTAAAGACAGTTTAATTTTGAAATTAATTTTCTGATAAAAACTTCAAACAAATCCAGAGAACATTTATTTATATAAGATTTTATAGATAGATAACCTTTATCATGTTAATTACACAAGGCTTTATTCATATAAAAAGAAGAAGATGTGGTATAATTGCCAATGAGACTAATCTCCACAAGAGACCAAATGACACAGAAATTAACAGCTATAGGTCACCTTACAGCGTTCAACCATGTGTAAACCCATACCTCATAGTCAGCTATAAAAGGCCCTGAAATGACAAATGTAAAACAGTTGAAACGAGAAAACTAACGGCCTGATTTATGTACAAAATAATGAACGAAAAGCAAATATGATATACAGCAACAAACGACAACCACTGAATTACAGGCTCCTGACTTGGGACAGACACATACAGAATATGGCGGGGTTAAACTAGTTTGAAGGTGCCAACCCTCCCCTAACCTGGGACAGTGGTGTAACAGTACAACATAAGAACAAACTATAAAAATCGTTGAAAATGGCTTAACTCATCAGATGGATACAAAGCAGAAAGACATCTAACAAAACATGCAAAAACACAGATGACTTGGCAGGGTACTTATACCTGTTTTAAAGTTTTTCTTAATTTCTAGGAGTTAGGAATTTTTGTCTTCACTTTTTCAAGAATTTCCAGCAAATCTTTTGTCTATTCTTTTGATTTTCATGATTTTCAAAAATAATGTTTTGTAGAAAAATCTTTGAAAATATTTTATAGATTCTTATGAACTATGCAACAGAGATGATGGCTGGATATTAGTAGAAAAAAAATGTGTTAAACTATTTGAAGACAAGTCAGCTTGGCTTGATGCTAACCAGACATGTACAAAGAATAGCGGAAATTTATATCGGCCAATAAATGGAAGAGAAGTTTATGCATTAGGGGAAGTCGTTGGTTGCAGAACAGTAGATAACCAAATGTGGATTGATGTATCTGATGTGGTAAGGGGTATTTTCTATAATGTAGATTAATTTATTTTCATTGGTATCAATTATTTGCGATTTCAAAATTACCTCTAAGGCCACAATTAAAAAAATGTTTGTTTCCCCTCCCCTTAGTATTGGAGCTGACCAGGCAGGCAGGGTATACTTATTTATTTTTTTTTTGGATTTCACTTCAAATTGTTTTAGAATTGAAAAAGATTGGAACGGCTATCTAAATATAATCAATTCATTCTAAAAACTATAGACTGAAAGAATACAATTGTACTAATTTTCTTTTCACAATTCTGACAATCACAAAAAAATATATATTGTTTGGGCATGTCATTAATGGCCTTTCCTAATATTTAATACTGGTATCTTTGTAATATGTATTGCCAGATACGTGAAAGCCTACAACATATTTGTATGGTCATAGAACACTGAATTTCTAAGGGCATTGATTGCTCTTCACCTCAGTGTTTCACAAAAGGACAGAACTGTTTCAGTTTCAAAGTATTATTCTTTATTGATATCTAATAAGCACAGAATTTACATATACTATTTTGATTTCTGGTAAATGTCAAACAAAACTTTTACAATTATTTTACTATACACCTTATCGCTATTTGTCCGCCATTACTGGACATCACACAGGTTCCCGTAAAATTTTGATGTCACAATACAAAATATCTGACGCCACAATGGAAAAGTGATTGTTGTATGACGTCAAAAGTTCAAGCGGGACAGATTCTTGGGTCAGCCGGGAATAGCGATAAGGTGTATTGATTTTGGCTTATTTTAACATTCGTGATGAGTTCTAGAATCAGTTAGAAGCATTTTGAGGATTTTTCCATGAAAATACTGCAAACGATCACTAGACCATTAAACAAAAGACAAAAAGTTTTTTTTTTCTCTGAATTTACTGTTGCGAAAAGGGGGATGCAGACAATGTACTAGTGCGGACTTTACAATGCCGATTATGGTACTGACAAGAAACCATGATGAAAACAATACATAGATGTTATTTTACTTCTTGGTTTCTAGTGCAACTATTTTTTACAGATTTCTTTTATGAAATTGAATCTTACATTTTTGTGCATTAGCTTGGATTGCAAATGAGATTGATAGAAATCCACAGCATTGGGAAGTAAGTTAAAATAAATTCAACAAGAATTTGATTGATTGATTTTTGGTGTTTAATGTCAATTTTCCCCATTAGTTTACATTGTGGTTGCCATTTTTATGCCTCACCTAGGGGCATTAGGTTTTTTCGGTCTGTGCGTCTGTTCGTCCGTCCGTCCTGCTTCAGGTTAAAGTTTTTGGTCAAGGTAGTTTTTGATGAAGTTGAAGTCCAATCAAATTGAAACTTAGTACACATGTTCCCTATGATATGATCTTTCTAATTTTTGTCTCGCCTTGACGGAGTCAAAAAGCGAGACATAGGTATGATGTTCTGGCGTCGGCGGCAGGGGCAGTGTCAACAATGTATTAGTTTGTGATTAGGTCTAGTTCATGGTGAACCACTAGTGGTAGGTCAATGATATTTGGTATGCAGTTGTATTAGCGTTGGCAAATCTCATTATCATGGAGATTATTTGGCCTCGCCCCCTCAGTCAAGGTCTATTGACTTTGAAACTTTTCATAGTTTACATGTATTAGTTTGTGATTAGGTCTAGTTCATGGTGAACCACTAGTGGTAGGTCAATGACATTTGGTATGCAGTTGTATAAGCATTGGCACAACTCATTTCCATGGAGATTATTTGGCTCCGCCCCCTTAGTCATGGTCTATAGACTTTGAAAATTTTGCTAAGTTAACATGTGTTAGTTTGTAATTAGGTCAGTTCAAGGGGAACCATTAGTGGTAGGCCAATGTTAATTGGTGTTCAGTTGTATAAGCATTAGCACATCACATTTCCATGGAGAATATTTGGCCCCGCCCCCTCAGTCATAGTCTAATGACTTTGAAACTTTTGCTTAGTTTACATGTATTAGTTTGTGATTAGATCAGTTTAAGATGAACTGCTAATGTTAAGTCAATGATATTTGGTATGCAAATGTATTGGCATTTGCAAGTATCATTTCCATGGAGATTATATAGCCCAAACCCTGATCATGGTTCATTGACTTTGAAACTTTTACATAGTTTACAAGTTAATGTTTGTGTTTAGGTTTGTTTAAAGGGAACGACTTATAATAAGTCAATGGTATTTGGTATGCAGTTGTATTAGCATTGGCACATCTCATTCCATGGAGATTGTTGAGCCATGTACCTTCAGTCATGGTTCATTGACTTTGAATATTTGCATAACTTACATGTTAAAGTATTGCTATTTTAATTTCAACATTTGCATTATCAAAATTACAAAAAGGCGAGACATATCTCTGTGATAACAGTTTATAATGCCGAATTAGAGTGTTTACCGCAATTTAACCATCCACTGAACATAGAAAATGATAGTGCGAGTGGGGCATTCGTGTCCTATGGACACATTCTTGTTTTAATGATGGAGGAAGCCAGAGTACATTAAGAGAACCACCGATCTTCAGCAGGAAAACTTGGAATCATAATGAATTAAGAGTCGAACACACCTTGCGGAAGACAAGATTTGACTTCCATCTGGACATGCTATTAAATGATGAGCATAACAAAATTTGGTAAATTCACACCCATTTTATTAACTTTTTCTTCTTTTTTGTTTCTCAGTACCTGTAATTTATACAATTAGAGGCATGCATTTTACCCTAGTTTTTAAAACAGTATAGTTATGGGGGAGTCTGTCAGTTCCTCTTTTGTTTTCACAATATTTTCTTCATCTGAATTTTTTTTAGGGTAAACTTTGGGATTACGTGGACTTTATCATATTTGCATACTGTTTTTCACATTTTTATCCACTTCTCAACCGAAATCCCTTATTTGATGAAACTGTCTGAGAATCTTTACCATATATAATGCCTTTGTGCTCCTTTTTTTATTTTTTTCTGATTAATTTTTCAGATTTCCCTTTATAGAAATCATGGAATTTGAAAGGCACTGGGGGTTTGCTCACAGTAACTCTAGATTAAATTTCTTTAGATCAAGATTAAAGGGGCATTAATTAGACCATAAGAAATTTGCCTTATCTGTCAACCTATCCATCTGTGATATCTATTATTGGTTGTCCTGAACATGCATGAAATATTTGCCACTGGACGTTAAGCAACCAACAATCAATATCTATAATAGCTGGTTATTGGTAAAACTGGCCAGGTGTGCTCAACCATTTCCAGATCCTTTGTAGACATATTAAGCTTTGAATATATTTTGAATAAACAATAATTTCATTTCTGTTAATTTGTAGCCATATCCTGGTCAGTGGAGGTACAGTAATAACATGACCATCAGGTACCAGCCATGGGCTAATAATGCCAGAAAAATATTGTAAGTATACTAATAAAAGACCAGTATGTTACTGAACCACAATAACAAAATACCATCAAGTCAGGAGCCCTGTTTTTAACCCCAACCACTCACAATTTTAAATTTGCAAAATTTTATATAATTTAAGATTTTTTGAGCAAAATACAACCACCTGCTAATATGTTTTGAAGTGTCTCCTTATCTACCCACCCCTTACAGTCAGGGATAGCCATAAAGAAAAAATCAGTTTCAATAACACATGCACATTAAATAATGATCGATGGCTGATCTTTTATTATTTCTGATTAATTTATTTGCAACTTTTAAAGACACAGAAAGATTTAGAGCTAGACATATTTATCACTGATCAATTGTTGAAGACTGTATTATTTTTTTCCCTGTATATGTTTTTTGATTATTTTTGTTGTGGATTGCTGTCAAATTGACATTACCCCACAGCTCCTTTTCAATTGAAAGACAATTCTGTATTTTTCAGGGTAAAAGGAGGAACTTGTGTGTTTGCAAATCCTCGCCAGAATTTTTACTGGGATGTAGAATTATGTACAGAAGAAAAGAAATTTGTGTGCTCAAAAGATACTGGTATATTCTAAATACTCAAATATTTTTTATTTTTATCATTCATTTTTTATGCCCCAACTACGATAGTAGAAGGGCATTATGTTTTTCGGTCTGTGCGTCCGTTCATTCGTCCGTTCGTCCAACTGTCCCGCTTCAGATTAAAGTGGTTGGTCAAGGTAGTTTTTGATGAAGTTGAAGTCCAATCAACTTGAAACTTAGTACACATGTTCCCTATGATATGATCTTTCTAATTTTAATGCCAAATTAGAGTTTTTACACCGATTTCACGGTCCACTGAACATAGAAAATGATAGTGCAAGTGGGGCATCCGTGTACTATGGACACATTCTTGTTTGATATGCAATTATTGTATACCACAATTCCTTATTTTTATTTTGAAAAAGCAAAGTGAGTAACATATTTAAAAAGATAGTACAGAAAATTCTACAAATTTGGTATAATCCTACCTTAAAATATGGGACACCTGATTTAATTATTATTTCTCTACATCAATTTTATGGGGAGATTGGTAATCTTGGTAATCTTTATTATACAATTAAGGAGATTTGGTATTGTTGCCAATCATGCCAATGAGACAACTGTCCCTAACAACAAAAGACAAGAATGTAGGTCACTGTAAGACCATCAACAATGAGCAGATGGTTATAATGTTGAAGGAAGCTTATCTTTATAGTGTAAGCATTTCTGTGCTTAATATGATATAATTGCTGCATCAGATAGAAATTGACCTTATGCAAGTGCAAGTATACATGTACATGTATAAGACTTTGAATGATTTTGGAACATTCAAATATGAAATAAAACAAGAATGTTGGTCTGTTTTGTAGGTTCTTATAACAAATCAATTTAAAACAGTTACAGACTTTCCCTACACATTTTTCCAATGAGAAATAGGTTAATGTTTAGATATATTAGTATTCATTTGCATAATGTAGATTTCTATCTGACTCATCAGATCTTATTGTTAAAATTTTGTTTTATGCCGGGGGCATTTCAATTTACCCCTGTCCGTCCGTCTCTCCGTCCCTTCGTCCATTCGTCTGTCCGTTCATCTGTCTGTCCGTCCGGATTAGGAAACATTGTTTGTCCAGCTGTCTCCTCCTGCAGTTTTAGAGGTACAACTTTAATATTTTGTAGGATGTTCATACACATAATGAAGGTGTGCATGGCCACAGGATTTTGATTTTTTTCGAATATTCTGAAAATGACAGTTAGTTGGACATAGTCATTTTTTTGGTACTAGCTGCATAAAGAGATCATGGTTTGTTGGGCTATCTCCTCCTACAGTTACTTCATCATACATAGTGTTAAATTAAGAAATAATTCATGGAAGCCATAGATTTGTTGGAAATTTTATCCTGAGTGTTAGCGAGGGATAAAATAAATGAATATCACAGCCCAGGCCATGTGTAAATTTTACAACAAATCTATGGCTTCCATGAATTATTTCGATTCTAATAGGACAAATACCGTCATTAAAATACTGAAGTGAGGGTGAGTTTGCTGTGTGTGTGGCTGTTCTTTTTTACTCCCAGTTCGATAAAGCTAAAACAGCCTAATAAATCTGTAGCTTGCATGAATTATTTCGTAAATAACCGCTAGAAAAAATGTGCTTAATTCTTTTAATTCTCAAACTCAACATTTGCCATTTTAAGTTTACATGTTTTTCTCGTAAGCTACCGTCAAATCCAAAGTTGACATTTCGTAAATATGTGAATAATGCGATAGAATAGAAAATAAAACAACACCTACCTCAAAAATCCATTTTAATGTAATATTATATGAATTTCGATGGTTCACTTAACGGAAAAACCTTCAGCTTTAGTGTTTTCATTTGTATGACGTCATGTTTTGAAATGACTTAAATGCGCCAAAAGCATTAATGGACTTTCGCGGATTTTTATTTTATTTTGATTTAAAATTTGTAGATTTCTCCAAGCTCTTGTGCATTAGTTCTTTTTGTTATGCATCCGAATAAGAATAAAAGTTCTGTAGTCTTTTTTTCAATTGCAATTTTTAAAACTATAAAATCGACATAGCGTTTGCAAATAGGTTCCAGTACATGTGGATTTATGTGGGAGGGATATTGTAACATCCATTATTATGTATATCTTTGAGTCGGCACTAAGTATAGATATATCGAGAATTTTATCACTGTGTTGTTTACAAAGCGAAAGAAGAACGTCATATTAGAATTTATAATTTCCTATGGTCAGGCGGGGGCATCATTTGTGTCTTACAGACAGCGTAACAATTTCAAATTGTATGCCAACATCACTGTTTGTCAAATCTAAAATATATGGAAGTATACTCATGCATATGGCAGAGCAGAAAGAGGGGGCATTGTCCATATCTAGTTTCATTATGAAACTGAAAGTCTTTAGTCTTATATAATTTTCATAATCTCCTTGCTGTCAAAATCTATGATTCACAAAGTTGAAATTAATAATCTATTAATTTTTTTCATTCTGGTCCAATTTCAATTTCACATGTAACTTTGGGTTCCTGTCCTCAAGACTGCTTATTTTGACAGGGCTCAGTTTAGCAATGAATATTTTATATATTTGATTCAGGTATAACTTCAGGTTTACATGTGATTTTTAGGTACTTGTCCTCAAGGCTGGGCTCAGTTTAACAATGAATGTTTCCAGTTGGTTAGTCTACCTTCATTAAGAGATAGCTGGTTTGGTGCCAAAACCTATTGTAAAAACCAGAATACACAACTGCTGACAATAGTTAGGTTAGCAAATATTTTCTAATTTATATTCGTTGATCATGAAAATCCTGAAAAAAAAGGTATGTAAAAGTGTGTATTTAAATTGATTTTGGTGCATGAAACTCAAGAACTGATGTAGTCAAAATATGGAGCATTCCATTGGAGATATTTCTTAGCTTTTTTTTTTGCTTCCGGGAAAGAAAAATATGGAACTATTCCATGAAATTATCAGACATATGCAAAATTGTTCAGAATGTTGAGCTCTACCAATTGTCAATATGTGCCAAAACTGTTAGGAGACTTCTGATAGGAGGTATTTCCCTTAAATGACAAATTTTACTGTTTTATTTTTATTTTTGCCTTTTATCTTGAAAACTATAATAGATAGGGAGAAACTTCAAATGCAAAAATGATCAGCAAGACAAGTTCCACAAATGAGTATGCATGGTCGAAATCGCCAGTCGACTCCTTATTAGAGTAATTGCCCTTTGAAGAAGATTTTTACCAATTTTTTGCATTTTCGCCTTATATCTTTAAATTTATCATAGATAGATAGAAACTTATATAAGCAAAAACAATCAGAAAGACCAGATTTACAATTAAAACATTATGGAGGAAATCGTCCAATAACTTATTGTAGTAATTGCCCTTTAATGACAAGTTTTACCATTTTTTTGCTTTTTTCCCTTATATGATAAAAATTATAAAAGATAAATAGACACTTTAAATCACAAAAATGATCAGCAAGGCAAGGTCTACTAACAAGTCAAATTTTGTGTATATACTTAGTAGACTGTGACTCTTTATAGGAGTGATTGCCCTTAAATGAGGATTTTTGTTACCCTCTTTTTGTGTTTTGAGCACAAACTATAGTAGATAGAGAGAAAATAAAAAGACTAAATGAACAGCAATACAAGATCAACAAACAGAGATTTTTGTCATGAATTCTATTCTCCTCTACAATGTTGGAGAGTGTCCTTTGTTGAATATGCACATAGACCAAGGTGAGCGACACAGGATCTTTTGAGCCTCTAGTTTTGTGAAAGTAAAGAGAAAATATTCCGAGCAGTGCTTAAGATAATATAAAATCTAATAACTTTTATTATGATCTGCATTTTTAATGTATTGAATTATAATCCTTTAGTTCAGATGAAGAAGGTTTTGTACAGAGTATGATGGTAGGTCAGCAAGTCCAGAGGGTATGGCTGGGATTTTCTGGTAAATACACGACTTACACTGTAAAATATTATACCTATAAATAGATTATTATTACATTAATTATGAAAGAATATTCACATATTTCTATGCAGCATATAACTTATGTGGTGTGCACAAGATGACTGAGTTTTAAAATCACAATTGCTAATTATTATTTTCTGCTCAGCTCTTAATAAAATTGCATATCACGGCTTTGTGACTTCAAATGAGCAGGGGTTCAAATTAGCGGTGGTCCGAGGTCCGTGACCTTCCACTTTTGCAATCGGACTTTCGTTTTGGTAACTAGCTACGCCCGACGGACCTTCGATTTGGAAGAAAATAAAAATTAACTTTGCTGACCTTTTTTAACTATCAATATCGTCATTTCAAAGCCATATTTTTATTGTATACTCCTCGAGAGCTTACTTCAAATCATTTTAACTGTCGGCCAAATAAGTTTGTTAATTTATTAGAACGTGATGAAAGATGTCTTAAGTAAATTTGTAATCCATGTTTTGCATTAAAAACGTCATATTCCCTTCGAAATAGCGTCTCAAACATCGTTTATTTTTGTAATTTTTCTCGTCGGCCATTGAAATATTTGTACAGCATTCATCGGAAACGAACCAGATATGAACGAAATCCGGATTCTTACGATAATGACTGCGGACGCATGAATGGCGCAGAAGAAAGGGGTTGAACAGCTTTTTAGGGAGGTGGGGGGAGGTGGGAGAGAAAAAAAGATTCTGAAAGTGGGAGACGGGAGGTGGGAGAAGGGTACCCACTGTCCATCCCCTCAGAAGAATATTGATCCCAAAAGGAAAAATTACGCTTTCCACACACACTTTATACTTGATCTACTTGAATGATGTATATATTTTCATGCCCCCCAAGGGTGACTGGGGAATAGAAGTATGGTCACCATTGATCTTCCTCCGACCGTCAGTAAAACCCTTGCTAAAGTGGGGCGTCCGTTTGGCTGTGCGGGATGTACAAATTTGCAGCCACGTCAGGTCAGAATGAGGACGTTAATTCCGATGCCTCGTGTAAATAGAGTGCCACGCTCTTTGCACGTTAAGAACCCCTGCAACAACTCTTTGAGGGGTCCGTGGGTGGCCTGTTGCAAGGCTAAATTCCTGTCCCTATCCAATATTCCCTCATTTCCCGTGGCAGTATTAATTTCTCCGACCTTACTCCCGGACGCCTCTATTACAGAACCTACCTATTGCATTTATTGTTAATTTATTCTCGTCCTTATTATGCATGAAATATTTGCCACTGGACGTTAAACAACCAAGATTGAATCAATATATTCTCATGTATATGCATTGTTTCAATTTATTAATTAAAGTTGCTCAACTCTGGGACTATTATTATACTAATATCATTATACTATGTCCCAGCAGAGATTCACTTTGTTAAATTTATATGTTTTTTTAATGAGAAACACTGAATTTCATAAACATGATAACAGAGTAGTTTTTCAATTGAAATTTAATTGATATAACAACTTTTTTTTCCTTTTTGGTATAAAAAAAAAGCTTTTTTTTTATCAGTGCTAGATACTTAGTTGGTAGTTTCTAAGAAGACAACTAATATAATCATTGTGCAACTAGATATGATAAACTTAAACAGCTTTGAATTTGGACTGTTACTTTAATTGTATACTAGGGTATAAATTTAACAACAATATAAAAAAGATACATATATAGCCCTTTATATTATAGTTAAAACCAAACATTGTAGCGCCGCGAGCAACTTTGAACACTCCTCTTTCAAATCTCGCCACTTCTCCCTATCAGTTTCAAAAAGAGAAGTCACTTCTCCCTATGATTCTGAAGTAGTGTGAGCCTTGAAATTATGGTATAATTGTCAATGATTGAGACAACACACCCACCCACAGTGACATCCTCCCCAAATAAAAAAAAAAGATTATTGGAATTCATAATATACAAGACAAATACATTTATTATTATACATGTTATACCACAGTGACACTGATAGTGTAGTGTTTTATGTATAAGGTGGCCTGGAAATTATCTGTAAACTTAACAAAACATTACATGCAGTTCTTTAAATATGATGAAACAAGCTCAGTATAACCTACACCAAAAGCACATTAATTTTGTATCTTAGTTACTGAGTTATGAAATATTTCATGTAAAAGTAGGACCTAGGATTAAGGTTGTGGACCTTTCAGTTTGGAGAGTCAAAGGTCCTGGACCTTCCACTACCAAATGTTAATTTGAACCCCTGATGAGTAGACCAGATATAAGAAGATGTGGTATGAGTGCCAATGAGACAACTCTCCATCCAAGTCAAAATTTATAAAAGTAAACCATTATAGGCCAAAGTACGGTCTTCAACACAGAGCCTTGGCTCACACCGAACAGCAAGCTATAAAGGCCCCCAAAAATTACTAGTGTAAAACCATTCAAACGGGGAAAACCAACGGTCTAATCTATATAAAAAACGAGAAATGAGAAACACCTATGAACCACAGCAACAAACGACAACTACTGAACAGCCTAAATTATTTTGACCAGAACATATCAGTGATGTCATAATGTATGAACCGACGTTGATAAAGTATCCTTCTGATTGTGGATGTAAATCCTTATGTGATTTATAGATATTTTCACATATATATTAAATTAAAATTAGAATGTTGATTAAACGTGTGTTGGGTATGTTTAAGGAATTAAAAATGTCTACAAGCTGGAGAAAAGTAACTGTCAGATGCAAAAGGAAGAAAAAAATGTGTAATATTTTTCAGAGACACAAAATAACTTATATAAGAATTTAACGTAATATACACTTCACAGCCAAAAACATTCAAAACATAAAAAAATCATTGTATAAGAAAAGAGATATGTAACAATACTGCAATAAAAATATTTAGAGAAAATGATTAAAAAATTCATATAGCAATAATTTTTATGCACATGTTTAACAATTTTTTATGTTTTATATATATTGAAAAAAAAGTAACTAATAATATACCATCCACTTACAGCATGAAGTTGTTGTGAAGGACAGTAAACACCCCCTAAAAACTAATACTTTATTTTATAAATAATGACAAATATTTCCATATATTTCAGATTCACCAGCCACACCTGATATTCTCTCTTGGATTGATGGATCGTTGGTTTCTGCAGGAAATTATACTCACTGGGATTTGAATTTCCCTAAATTAACTAAAAATAGGACAGATTGTGGAATATTTCAAGCTGGTAAATTCATTACAAATATAAGACATCATGATTATTTAGGTTATAAAATAAATCATCAAGTTTTACAGTTTCATGAATGAGTTTTAAGAATTCTAGATTATTTTTGCTTTCTTCAATTTTAAATACAATATATTATATGTAAAAAATCATATGTTGTTGAAAATTTGAAATTTCAGTTTGTCACAATTTCCTTCAAATTTTCTCATTCATCAAAGATAACAGGTTTATTATTTTGTACACCAGACAGGTGTTTCTTCTTAAAAGACTGATCAGTGACACTCGTATAAAAAATGTTAACAGGCCAAATAAAGAATGCAGTTGAAGAGCATTGGGGACCAAAAATATTGACGATAATACCTCTTGTTTAGAATCTTTCAGTTTTGTTCATACAGCAACATGTCTGTGACGGCAGAGAAAAAATACTTTGGATCTATTATTATATGTGGGGTTCTTAGTTTTGTGGACTTCATGGGTATAAGTGAATCACAAATTTAAACATTAAACAGTTTTGTGGATTTCATGGGTATAAGTGAATCACAAATTTAAACATTAAACATTGTTTGGCCTGTATGCAGAACGTGTTACAACTATCAAATTGGGTACCTACAAAAATACAGTTTTCTTTAATTGGTGAAAATCAATATCCACAAAATAACAAATTCCACAGTATATGTATGATGTCTGTATTGATTGATTTCATTAGGATCTAAGTACTGAACAATCAGCAGAACTGAATGCTTAAAAAAAAAATCAAGTAAAACAAAATTTATTCAAATTTTTAAAACAAACTCAAAATTTAGAAAACTTTGCAAACAAATCACACTGATGCAATTGAAATTATGATTTCGTTTTAACAGTTGGTATAAAACTAAGGAGATGAAGTATTATTGCCAATGGAACAACTATCCACCAAAGTTCAAATGAGGTGGATGTAAGCAATTAAAGGCAACCGTACAGCCTTCAATAATGAGAAAAACCCATACTGTATAGTCTGCTATAAAAGCCCTGAAATGAAAATTTTGAAACAATTCAATAGAAAAACAAACAGCCTAATTCATAACAAAACAATTTATGAAAAAAACACATTCCAGAGTGTTTGTTGCCATTCCCGATTTTTAGTCGACCTTCCAGAGTATTTGTTGATATACATTTTCTGTTTTTTTTTTCTAGGTCGAATAGCAAGTGCTTGGTCCAATGGATATTGTTTTACATCATTACCTTTTATTTGTAAGGCTACAATTACAACCGATGTAGTTCAGAAGACCACTCCAAGGCGTAAGAATTTTTATACTTTTTCAATTTCCATTCTAAAACCAAAAAAATTTTGTGCTATCATTTCTATGAACATATTTGCAAATTCTAAAGCAGAAATATTTGCAAAAATCATTTTTCCTATTGAAGATTTGTGTCTGTAACATAATTGTTAAATTTTACTGGTAATAAAATTTTGACATTCGAATTATAGTTTATTCTGAAAAGAAAGACAAACTTTTACCGTTGTAATTTATAAAACAAACTTGTACCCTCCTATTGAAGATTTGTGTCTGTAACATAATTGTTAAATTTTACTGGTAATAAAATTTTGACATTCGAATTATAGTTTATTCTGAAAAGAAAGACAAACTTTTACCGTTGTAATTTATTAAACAAACTTTTACCCTAATCAAGTTAAGATTTCCTTTGTATTTCTTCCTTCAGCTGATGTACACTGTGATCCAGGCTGGATATTATATAATGGACAATGTTACTATTTTGGTGCATCACAGAACTCCAGTGGATACAGTTGGGATGATGCACAGCGATTCTGTTACGCAGCAAATGGCGATCTTACCACCATCTCGGATGCAAATGAACAGGCATTCATTAATAGTATGTGGAGAAAATTTACAATTACTGGTCCCATGCAAATTGATTTATCTAAGGATTGATTTATTTCAAGAACTCTAGATCTGTTTTTATAAATCCAAAGGATCAATTAAATGTCATTTTGTTTACATTCTCTGTCTGTCTGCATATAAAGAACATGGTTTGTTAGCTCAACTATGTTAAAGTTTATCAGTTTTTATATCACTTCACTTACCAGATACCTCCTGTCTAGAAGTTAGCAACTATAGGTCACTCTATGATCTTAACAACAATAAGCAAAACCAATACCGAATAACATGCTGTTAAAGGTTCCAACATGACAAATGTAAAATACTTCAAACAAGAGATCTAGTAGCTTGCTTGATGTAAAAAACAGTTAACGAAAAACAAATATAATATACAGCAACAGACGAAAACACTGAAATACAGGCCAAACATTCTTAAAATTCTTTGGTCATGTTGGTGAAACACTAAATGCTAATGACTTTAAATTTGCAGTGAATACTTATTAGTTTCGATAATTCTGTTAATTGGTATTAATTTTTTTACAGATAACCTATTGACAGTAAGCTCTGCCTGGATTGGTCTTAGATATAGACCTACAACTAAGGGCTTGGCGTGGGTGGATTATACTCAAGTTAGTATTGCACTTATTTTAGAGATAATCCTTTTTCAGCTCACCTTGCCTTTGAGCCAAGTGAGCTTTTCTCATCACTTGACGTCCTTCGTCAATTGTCGTCCATCTTCGTTAATTTTTACAAAAATCTTCTCCTCTGAAACTACTTTGCCAAATTTAATCAACTTGGCCACAATCATCATTAGGGTATAAGTTAAAAAATGTGTCCAATGACCCCTTTCGGCCAACCAACATGGCTTACATGGCTAAGAATGGAACATAAGAATAAAGTGCAAGTTTTGTCTATTATCTTGAAAACTGCTATTAAAGGAGAAAATCTGAATGAAGCAAAAATGTTTAAAATGATGAGATCTACCTATTATCCATTTACATCAAAAGGTCAGTCAACTTATTATAGGAGTTATTGCCCTTAAATGAAGAAATTTGCCATTATTTTCCATTTTCACCTTTTATTTTGAAAATTATTATAGATAGGGTGAAGCTTTAACCCCAAAAGTGATAAGCAAGACAAGATCTACAAATAAGTCAACTTGGTGGAAATCGGCAAACGACTCCTTAATGGAGTTATTGCCCTTTAATGACAATTTTTATCTATTGTGTGCGTTTTTGCCCATATTTTGAAAACTATAAAATAGAAAGATATAAACTTAAGTATACAAAATTGATCAGCAAGACAAGATCTACAAATTCATCACATTGGTGACCCCTTATTGGAGTAATTGCCCTTTAATGATGATTTTTACCAGTTTTGTTTGTTTTTTTGCCTGATGTCTGAAAAACTATAATAGATAGATAAAAACTTTAAGAAGCAAAATTGATCAGCAAGACCAGAGTTACCAATAAGTCAAACACAGTTCAAATCTTCTGACGACCCCAGATGGAGTTGTTACCCTTTACCAAATTTTTGCGTTTTTGCCTAATATCTGAAAAAGCTGCAATAGATAGAAACTTACAGGTATATAGCAAAAACTGATCAGGAGGACAAGATCTACATATAAATCTATTGGCCAAAACCGTCAGTTCACTCCTTATTGGAGTTATTGCTCTTTCATGACGATTTTGATCTACCTCTTATCTGAATTTGATCTCCAACAGCAAAACATGGAATTAATCATTTCTATATATTGAGAAGTTTGTTAATAAAAAACCTGCTTTGTTTTGAACTGGAATAGAACAAACTTGACAAAATTACTGGTGTATTGTTATGAACCTCATTTTTAGCCTTCCAGAGCTTTTCTCATCACTTGGCGTCTGTTGTTGTCTTCACCTGTTGTCATCCCTTGTCATTTACTTTTTATAAAATTCTTCTTTTCTGAAACTACTGGGCCAAATTTAACCAAACTTAGCCACAATCATAATTAGGATATCTAGTTTAAATTTTTTTTTGAAAAGCTTGTTATTTTGAAACAGAGGAGCAAACATCCTTGAATAAATTACACAATAAAAGTCGAAATTACTGCAAATTCATTTGACTTGAAAGGGCTAAATTGAGGAAAAATGTGTTAAAATATGAATTGTTTTACAATATATCTTGCCATATCATGTCAATCATTTTTAAAATTCTATGTTATGTGTGAGATGTCAAGATATTTTCTTACATTTCAGGTGGTATTTGTAAATTTCTACCCTGGTGAACCTGATGATTTGGGAAATGGTCAAGACTGCATTCAAATCGTTGGTGGACGACAGGATTTTACGGGGTCTTGGGATGATGGAAACTGCACTAAACAACAAGATTTTATATGTAAAAAGATAGCATGTAAGTATATACTAATGATTTGAGAATGAAGGTTGATAATAACATTTCTCTAATTCTTCGTCAATTTATCCCTTTCTGCACCCATTGTATAAAAAATTTAATCAACGTGTGGTTCGTTTGATCTCAGTTCTTCATTGGTTAAAATCCGATTATGACGTCGAATTTTCTTGCTTTCCTCTGAATTTCCTATTGTGACGACATGAAAAAAGGCGACCATGCCTGATGACGTCACATAGACAGAGCACATATTTTTTGCAGATCATTTGAAAAGAATGAATAAATTTGCCTGCGTATTGTTTGAAAATCATTAGAGAAACAGATTCCACCACCAAATCTCGTGTAATACGATATTTATCCACTCTCGACAGTTAAATTTTAAATATTTAAAACGCTCGGCGAGCCTCGCGTTTTAAATTTGAAAATTTAACTGTCTCGAGTGGATAAATATCGTATCACACTCGATGCAGTGGTAGAATCTATATGTATCATATTTCATTTCATAGAAAAGAGAGGCGAAAGATATCAAAGGGACATCCAAACTTATAAGTCGAAAAAAAAATTGACGATGCATTGGCAAAAAATGAAAGAACGTTGAAAAGACAAACAGCATTACATAAAACACACCATAGAAAACTAAAGACTGAGGAACAAAATACCTACCATAAACCGGGGGTGATCTCGGGTGGTCCTGAAGGGTAAGCAGATCCTGCTCCACATGCTTTGTGTCGAGCCTGCGACTTTTGTCGCAGAAAGCTCAACATAGGGATAGTGATCCGGCGGCGGCGACGTTAGCTAACTTCTTAAAAGCTTTATATTTTAGAAGGTGGAAGGTCTGGATGCTTCATACTTTGTATATGGATGCCTCATGTTACCAAGTTTCCGTCAGTCACATGTCCAATGTCCTTGACCTCATTTTCATGGTTCAGTGACTACTTGAAAAAAAAGTTAATATTTTTTGTAATGTTAAATTCTCTCTTATTATAAGTAATAGGATAACTATATTTGGTATGTGCGTACCTTGCAAGGTCCTCATGCCCGTCAGACAGTTTTCACTTGACCTCGACCTCATTTCATGGATCAGTGAACAAGGTTAAGTTTTGGTGGTCAAGTCCATATCTCAGATACTATAAGCAATAGGTCTAGTATATTCGGTGTATGGAAGGACTGTAAGGTGTACATATCCAACTGGCAGGTGTCATCTGACCTTGACCTCATTTTCATGGTTCAGTGGTTATAGTTGAGTTTTTGTGTTTTGATCTGTTTTTCTTATACTGTATGCAATAGGTCTACTATATTTGGTGTATGGAATGATTGTAAGGTGTACATGTCTAGCTGGCTGGTGTCATCTGACCTTGACCTCATTTTCATGGTTCAGTGGTTATAGTTAAGTTTTTGTGTTTTGGTCTGTTTTTCTTATACTGTATGCAATAGGTCTACTATATTTGGTGTATGGAATGATTGTAAGGTGTACATGTCTAGCTGGGAGGTGTCATCTGACCTTGACCTCATTTTCATGGTTCAGTGGTCAAAGTTAAGTTTTTGAGTTTTGGTCTTTTTTTCTAATACTATATGCAATAGGTCAACTATTTTTGGTGTATTGATATATTTTATGATCTATATGCAGTCACGCAGGTTTCATTTGACCTTGACCTCATTTTCACGGTTCATTGATCAATGTTAAGTTTTTGTGTTTTGGTCTGTTTTTCTTAAACTTTAAGCAATAGGTCAACTATATTTTTTGTATAGAAGGATTGTAAGCTGTATATGTCTGTCTGGCAGGTATCATCTGACCTTGACCTCATTTTGTTTGTTCATTGGTCAATGTTAAGTTTTCATGGTTAAGTTTGTTTCTTAAATACTATAAGCAGTAGGTCAACTATATTTAATGCATAGGTTGATTGTAAGGTGTACATGTCTGCCTGGAATGGTTGTCTGACCTTGACCTCATTTTCATGGTTCATTGGTCAATGTTTAGTTTTCTTGGTTAAGTCTGTTTCTTAGAAACTATAAGCAATAGGTCAACTATATTTTGTGTATTGAATGATTGTAAGGTTGATAGTTGTAGTAAAGCTTTATATTTAGGACTATCAACATAATATCAATGGTTAGTAAAGAAGGCAAGACATTTCAGCATGTGCACTCTTGTTATATTTTTAACTTTTTAGCATTCATCAATGCACACCAATGTTAATATGACGTATTTTATTATTTCAGTGCAAGGATTTAACACTCTTGTTACTTTACCACCAACAACTTTAGGTAAGGGTTTTGTAATCCAGATATGATATATGATAAAGAAACCATATATGAGTGTATATTTGTGTGTAAAATAAGTTAGGGCTATTCCATTTAAATGTATGTTGTAGGGTAGGAAGGGACTTTCAAAATATCCCTACAACCAAGAACCATTTTTTAGATAATTTTGCATAATGGTAATAGATGCATACTGACAAAAGACCCATGACCCACATTCAGTATTTGAACTTCCCTTCCTACCCTCCCACATACATTTTAATGGAATAGCCCTTATAAGTTAAATTGGAAAATTATATTTTTTTTTCAAAATTAGGGATGTTTGCTAGTCTTGTTTTTGACTGTTATGTCAGATATTCAGAATCCTCTGGTTTATCCATGAATAAAGTGCCATTAAACATTTTGCCTACTTTTCTTTTCAGAATTTAATTACCTATAGTTTTAAAAGCCATTTTTGAAAATCTAATAAATTCCTTGTAATTTTTTTATGTTTTTGAAATAAAAAAGATGCCAATGTGAAAAGTATGAAAATCTAGAAAATTTCCCGCAACATTTTTAACGGCTTATATCTCAAAAACAAGGACATGGACCTATTACTTTTTTCTGCTTTTAATTTCCATCATTTATATACTATCAATGTATAACAGTCTTTGAAAAGGTTTTTATTTTGAAACAGAGAAGCGAAAGTTCGAATGTTCATGTGTAGGTATTTAAGTCTAGTTAAAACAGTTTAATAAGATGCAATATTATAATTTTTTTTATCTTTGTAAGTTAACTCCGAAAATACAGGAATATAAAAAATAAGAAAGGCAAATACACATGGTGTTTTAAATTTTAAAATGAAGCTGCCTCAAGTAGAAAATTTCTATAACATGCTATATTCAGTAGTATAGATTTTATATATTTATACACAAAAATAAAAGAAGATATTTTACTTTTGATTGACAGGAGTCTATTCCTATCGCTGTGGACCCCAGTGGATCTATGACTCTCTGGATGATTACTGTTACCAGTTTGTACTCTATCATCCCAAGACTTTTGCCAATGCTCAGTGGGCATGTCAACAAATGGGAAGTAATCTACTGAGTATTACAGGACCAAGGGAACAGAGATATATACAAGGTATAGATGAATACAGTCAGAGGTAAAAAATGTGTCATCATTTGAAAAATTCTGCTATATATTTCATAAAAAAACACATTTTTAATAAGATTTCTTCTCGAGTTGAATCTTGTACATATACAAATTGAATGAAATTTTTTCCATTACATATAAAAAATGGTGGCATTTTCTTGCAATAATTATGAAATACATATTTATGATTTATACTTTTAAGAAAATCACTGTTTAAAGACAAGTATGAATTTTTGCACAGAAATTCATACAGTTATATAGGAAAAAATGACACTTAATTTCAATATTTATATATAAATAATGATTTCTCAGTAATTACATGTCACAAAAATATTTTACAATAACCACAAAAAACTGTACATATTTATGAGTTTAACAGTAAAAATTTCATCAAAATAGGACCTCAGATAAGTTTTTGACAATGTTTAAAAAAAATGTGTTTTTATATAAAATATATAGGGGAATTTCCCAGTGGTGAAACACTTTTGACCTAACACTGTAGATCAAGATACTTAAAGTTCTTTCTCTTTTTTATAATACAAATATTTTTGTAGGTTATTTAGCAAAAGGAAATTATAGCTTTTGAGAGTTCTATAATGATTCATTTTGGTATAAAATCCATGAATTTTGAAATTATAAGACAGTCCATAATAAGCATATTAAGGTATAAACATTGAAATGATATAACAAAATTGAGTAATTTTTTGTTCATCAGCTTGTTTTTTATATTATATACTTTTTAAAATTTCAGCCATACTGAATACAGGAAAATATTTAAAAGTAAGCAGTAACTATTGGATAGGTGGATCTGATGCCACACAGGAAGGTGGATGGTCGTGGATTGATGGATCACCCTTTGCCTACCTGAACTGGCATCCAGGTATGCAGATTGCTTCATTATTTAGAGGGGCGGTAGGAGGAATTGTCTTCCAAAATTCCTGAAAAAATAGAGTTATCTTTCCCGAATCTTGAAAAATTATTCATTAATTCCAGAGTCCAGATAGGTGTAAATCAGGGCTTCCAAAATGGTCGTATTTTCTGGACAAGTCCGATAGATTATATAAATGACTTGATGGGGAAATAATTTTGACGAAGTAGAATCCTGACTGAATTAATAAAGATGGTTGTAAATTTGTTGCTGGTAAAATTAAAATGTTTGTAGTCCTTTTTCTCTACAGAGATTTAAATACATATACAAAGATGTTTCTATTTAAATGTATTCAAGAAAGTACCACTGATCTGCTAGATCATCATTTTAACATTTTATGAGGAATTAATACAATGATGTACCAGTTGTCAGAAGGAGATTGTTTAACTAAACTCCTAATTAACTCATTTTATTAATTAAATCTTCTTTTTAGGAGAGCCAAATGAAAGAATGTATTCCCCATCAGGAGAAGACTGTATTGAGATGGTGCCTAATTGGAATTATCAATGGAATGACAAAAGATGTGATAAAGAACAGTATTACATCTGTAAAAAGCAAGGTTTGTATGATGTTCAGTTAATTCAGAAATTTTTGCAATGCATTGAGTAAAAGTTTTTAACAAAAATGAAAATTGTATAGCATTTATTATATTATTTGAATGTACTTTTTCCTGAAATCGCAATAATTTCTCCCACTTTTTATTCGTTTTGCTACATATATTAATACATAGCATTGCTATACCACTTGGAACAATTTTTTATGAACTAGCAAATGCTTATTGTTTATCTGTATTGTAAAATGCATCTACTGTTAAGGTTTTCAAACTATAAATGATTAATCACTAATGTTTTCTGTACAATAATTAAATCTTTAGACAAATTGCTTACTTCAGAATTTTTTTGAATATACTGGTACCCAATAATTTATGGATTGTCTATTTTCATATAAATTGCATTTTTTGCAGCACTACCATTGACAACAACTGCATTAACTCCAACTTCAGGTCCTATTTGTAAGTTATTTAAATACAGGAATCAGAAATGACATTTCCAACAGATATAAATGAGTCGTGGAAAATAAAAATGTTTTAAAAATAAGATATTTCATGCTTTTTCCAAATGGTGTACATGATTCAATTGTATTCATCTAAAACAAATTTGATGGCTTTTTAAAATTTTTGATAAAATACAATTTTTATGGTAGTTACATTTTCCTCCTGGAAAATTCATGCAAGGTTTTTAAAAATGGCATTTGAAAGTGAAATTAATTAACTTTTTATTGTTCTGAATTAGTACATTGAAACAATTAACTTGTTCATCTATTTGCCAGATTACTTAATTAGCTCCCAAAATTAACATTAATATAAAATTTACATATATCTTTTTCCAAAATCAAGTTCAGTTTAAAAATATTCTATGTCCTTCAATATGCAAAAGTGATGAGACACAAATTCGGCAAATATTTAGTCTTCTCCCTAAATTGAAAAGATTCAGTTCCACATGATAATTTTGCCTAGCTTTACCTGATCATCCATTTACATAATTCTTACTTGATATGAAATCTTTATTTGCTTACAGATACATGTGGAAATGAGCCGATGATATCAGGGAACTACAGCTTGTTAGATGGTGACACTTCCCTAACAGCATCATCAGTTCGAGATTCTGCTCATGGTCCATTTAATTCTAGGCTATATTTATCTGGTCTAAGTGGTATGTATTCCTATGGATTCATTATTATTCATTGGATAACAAACATTAATTTTTGTGGATCCCATGGGTACAAGTGAAGCTCAAACTTAAGTGTTCAATGAATTACAAATTTTCTAAAAGGTTGTGTTTAGACTTTGGCAAAGCCACGAAATCAAATACTGTAAATTCAGAAATTATTGCAAGGTTTTTATTAATGTGAATAGTGCGACTGTGTGAGTATTGCAATAATAAGAACTCATATTTTTATATCTTAAACATACATCTGAATGAGATTTTCCTGAAATCCCAATAATTAATCTAGCATTTTTGTCCATTCTCGCAATAATAAATGCACCCAATAATCCCTGAATTTACAGTAATCATGAAAATGCAAGTTTTTCTCAATCCTCAAAAATTGGTATCCACAATAATAAATGAATCCACAGTATACAGAGAATAGTAAGTACAGCCAATTGGAATTTAAAAGTACATTGTTTCAATATTAGCAGATCATTATGATGCATATTATAAGCATGCTTTCAGTAACTGCATGGATTTATTGATTCTATGATATTTGATATTTTTACTTGAATCTGAGTTTGTGTTCAGTGTGTTTTTTCTCAAATGAATTTATACTGTTGATTTTTTAGAAAAACTATTTGTTATTCCACTGAGTAAAGTAAAAAGTTGATAGTTGAGTACAACCATGTATCTATGTCAGGCATGGGGTAATGCTAATTTGTAATTGTAATGCCCTGTAATGCATTAAATTTTCCCAAGTAATGCATATAATGTGTAATGCCCAAATTTTGGCATTACATGTAATTGTAATGTAATGTATTACATTGTCAAAAAATGCATACAATTTATGCATTACATGGCATTACATAGCATTACTTATTAAATTGACCCCCTCCCATACACCATCAATTTTCAAAATTATATTGATTGCTAAGTCCTATATATTGTTACAAACACCAGGGTAATAAGTACCTTCTATTTTCTTTTAAATAGGAAAATTAAAAACAAACCAATTTCTAGTTAAATTATTAACAGAAAGTGTAACTTTGAACTGTTCAAAATAATGATTTTCTTCATCTAACCCTAATACTTATACATTTGTACTAATAATTAAAACACATCTATTTTATAAACATAAGGATTGTAATGTGTAATATAATGCATTACTTTCCAAAATACATTTAATTGTAATGTAATGCTGGTTTTGCTAAAGTAATTGTAATGGAATGCATTACATTGCAATGTAATTCGCCCCAAGCCTGATCTATGTACACAAGAATGAGCCTTTAACTGGAACCCAATGCATGTTTTATTCAATTATCAGTATTTTTTTAAGAAACTACCAGTTAATGAAATCCACTCAACTTTTACAGGAGCTACCTATGCTAATACAGCAGGATGGTCAGCACTGAAAATGAACAAAGGAGAATATATACAGGCCTACTTCTATAATCTTATCACATTCAAAGGCATTACAACGGCTGGTAAACCTGATGGTTCAGAATGGGTGCAGCAATACCAAATTCAATATCAATATGACTATTTCTCAGAGTTAGTTTGGTATGAGGAGCCACCAGGTACTGTTAAGGTAGGCTTGTGTTGGTGTGGTCCATAATAAACTAAGGATGAAACATTTAAATGATTTTTTATACTGTAGATTCAGAGATGTTTGCAATGTTTTTATAATTGCAAAAAATTGCAGGATAAGTTTGGTATAAACAATAAAACTCCCATTTTTGTCGAGCCTTCGACTTTTGTCGAAAAAGCGAGACATAGCGATCCTACATTCCGTCGGCGTCGTCGTCGTCGTTGTTGTCGTCGGCGGCGTCCACAAATATTCACTCTGTGGTTAAAGTTTTTTAAATTTTAATAACTTTCTTAAACTATCCTGGATTTCTACCAAACTTGGACAGAAGCTTGTTTATGATCATAAGATTATATTCAAAAGTAAATTTTGTAAAAAAAAAATTCCATTTTTTCCGTATTTTACTTATAAATGGACTTAGTTTTTCTGCCAGTTAACATTACATTCACTCTGCGGTTAAAGTTTTTAAAATTTTAACAACTTTCTTAAACTATCCTGGATTTCTACCAAACTTGGAAAGAAGCTTGTTTATGATCATAAGATAGTATCCAGAAGTAAATTTTGTAAAAAAAAAATTCCATTTTTTCCGTATTTTTCTTATAAATGGACTTATTTTTTCTGCCAGTTAACAATACATTCACTCTGTGGTTAAAGTTTTTAAAATTTTAACAACTTTCTTAAACTATCCTGGATTTGTACCACACTTGGACAGAAGCTTGTTTTTGATCAAAAGCTAGTATCTAGAAGGAAATTTTGATAAAATTTTGTTCCATTTTTTCCATATTTTACTTATAAATGGACTTAGTTTTTCTTCCAGTTAACTTTACATACAGTCTGCAGTTAAAGTTTTAAAAACATTTATTAGATTCAAAAACCATCCTGGATTTTTACCAAACTTGGACAGAAGTTACTTACAATCAAAAGATAGTATAGAGAGGAATATTTTTATTAATTTTTTTCCTCATTTTTGTTGAGCCTGCGATTAACAGCAAAAGTAGGCGAGACACTGGGTTCCGCGGAACCCTTACGAATTTTTAATTTTGATATGATTATTTGTATGAAACATTTCCTAAAATTTGAATACTTAAATTTGCATGTTTTTCCATTGTTCATCAATTACAATAATAAATACATGGACAATTTTCTGAAATTTACAGTAAATTTTGGTCAGAATCTTTTCTATGAATAAATGTGTTAATCGCAGCAGTACAGTTGAATTATTAAATTTACTAGTATAATATAAAAGTAGTAGTAGAGGGTGTTTTACATACTAAACTGCAACCTACTGCCTAATCTAATCTAATCTAGTTTGGGTTAATGACAACTACCCTAATGCCTAATGGGTTGGATGGGATGGGTTATAGTTTAACCTTGGATGGTAGGAACCATTATGATATATAAGGTAACTCAGGTTTGAAATTTGGTTTTCCCCAAACCGTTCACTTCATTTCATAAAAAGTAAAATTTAGTAATGTAGAAAATAGTTTATCCCACAACAGTCCAGTCCATTTCATTGAAAGGTAAAATTAGCAATTTTAGAAAATGGTTTATCCCGCAACAGTCTAATCGGGCAATCCATTTCATTGAAAGGTAAAATCCACAATGTAGAAAATGGTTTATCCCTTTACAGTCCAATCTATTTCATTAAAAGGTATATTAAAGAATGTATAAAAGGTTTGTCCCATAATCATGATAACAGTTCAGTCAATTTTACCAAATAGTTGAAAACTGAGTTGCAATAATTGAATACTGTTCTTTTTAGAGCAATGAATAATCACTCACCATCAAGGGTCCGGAAACGGTCATATTTGCCAGTCATGTCCTAAGATGAAACTATTTGTCCTAAACGAGTAATTGGGATTTAGGACAAATTTTATTTTTTTACAGAAGTAATTTCGGTCATTTCTTTGACCATGTTGACTCAATGTTTGAAATCGGATTTCTTAATCGCCATTTTGCACTTGTGATCACTTGTTTTTGTTTATAATCCCTTTCCTGTAATAAAACTGCCACTACAGTAATTTGATAATCCTGAGGGCCCTCCTAATATCTATATCAATGCCTCCGGGAAACATTTTGGCTAATGATCGCTAATCACTTTTTACCTGTGGTTTAGTCACACGTACCTGACAGTAATCACAAGCTCAGAATAATATCTTTAAAACATTAAAGTTCACTGACAAGTGTATTCATTATTTATTTACTTTTCATCAAAGACAGTTATCAATTCTGATTTAAAAATTAAATCTAAATTTACGTAGAAAAAAGTATTTTTTCACGAGTAACACATGTGCTTTATTTACTATGTAATACGCATGCGTGAAATTGTCTTCAGCAAATTTAATATTTAATCGTAAAATGCAAATTGATTTCATGCTAAATTAAACGAGTGCAACTATTATCTGTTATATTCAAACACTTTTAAAGGTAATAAAATAAAAAAGCCATAAAAAGCCGGTGATTTACTGTCAATTTGATAAACAAAACAAATCCCGGAAATGAATCCGGAATTATTCGTACTTTAAAATATCGCAAACTTCCGGTTTTAACTTTTGTCAAATCGAAAGAAACGTAAGCAATGTCTGAGAAATTAACCATTTTGAGTCATTAAAATCATTTCAATTTTAGACTGTTGCCTTCCCTATACTGTCCTTCATGGTAATGGTAAGACAATTACTTAGTAAATGCGATGAAACAGCAATACAAGTTCGTCATGTTGGTTGATGCTATAAATATAGTCAAGTTGATATCGACAATTTGAAAAGGGGTACCAACTTTTCAAACATCTCAAAATGACCAAAATTGTCTGGAAACATTTCCGGATCCTTGCTCACCATGGTAATGAACAGTGGTAATTCTGGTTATAACTTGGTATTAAGTGTGTTTTATAAGTCTTACATGAGACACTAATCATAACTGAACCATGTGAATAGATATTTGAGCTGACATAATTAGGCTAAATGATTTCTGGACATAGTTTTGAATATTATGTAGAAGGTACATTTGTTAAATTTTTTAAAGACAGAACAATTGCTTTTTTACTTATAAAAGAAACAAATTGCAGTGTTCAAATATTTTGGGAATAGTAATAGCTATCTTATTATTCCATCTTTATCATCAAATTATTAAATATGTTAAGTTTTTTTAAATGCACAAGTCAGTTTTTGAGGATTTAATGTTGTGGGTTTTTATTGGACTTATAATTTTAATTGTCCCCTTAATACTTTTTATCTTTTAAACCAGCCCAAATTTTGCATTTTGCTTTCTGACTTGTCAAATAAATCAATAATTCAATGATTTTCAAAATATTTTATTTCACAAAGGAACGGGTTCAATTTGCAATAAAATGTATGTTAACCACTTAAAGTCAGAATAACATAACATTTCCCTGACATCCACAGATTTTTAGAACCTACTAACTCTTAAACATTGTATTTTGTATCTTGTCCTTATCCTGAATTTGCTTGTAATGTTTGCTACTGAACATCAACAAAATAATAAATCAATGATTATGGTCACTACACTGTTAAATAGAAAATTATCTGAAATTATGTATTGTCAGAAGAGACGATAGGCTTCCATCTATTTTTGTAAAGTTTTTTATGTAAGTCTCATTTGAATTTTGTTGTTGGTTTAATCCACTTTGGATTTTGTTTTACTCCTTTCATTTTATGACGCATTTTACATTCAGATTATAATTCATTCTAGGTAATATATTGTTTTTTTTGCCATGGCATTGTCAGTTCATTTTCAAGTTACATGTATGATTTGATTTTTGATTTTTGGTGTTTTCACGCCACTTTTAAGCACCGCTTTTGGGCTATTTCGTGGCGGCCAGTTTTTATTGGTGGAGGAAGCCAGAGTGCCCGGAGAAAACCACCGACCTTCGATAGGAAAACTGACAATCCTAGTCAATTAAGATTGAAGTCGAGTGCACCCGCATGAGCGGGTTCGAACTCACAACCTCAGTGTTGACTGGCTAGTGATTAAAGTAGTAACTACTTAGACCACTCGGCCACCGAGGCCCCCTGTTACATGTATGAGTTTGAATATCCCTTAGGTATCTTTGGACCCACTTTTAGATTCTAAAAAAGCAAATTAATAATTGCCTCTTTTTAGACAAATATTTTTCTTCATTTACCATTCCATTTGTATGAAATTTTGAGAATTTATTATGAGAAAAAAATATATTACAAATACAATCATGTCAAATGTGTATCTTTCAGATTTTTAATGGTAACACAGACAATACTTCACCAGTAACAAATGTTATCCAGTTTCCATTTCAAGCCAAATATATTAGATTGTACCCAAGAAAATGGTACAATGCTATATCTCTGAGGTGGGAGGTTCTTGGATGTGTTCAGGGTAAGTTTGTTTATCGATTAGTCAAGCCTCTGCCTTGTAAAGGACATCCTATATTTTAGAGGCTTCATAAAATAAACTTCTCTATACATTTTGTAACAGTAATGCCCCCAAGGCTTGTTTTATCAAGACGTTTTAATGTATTTTAGCCATAGTGGACCACACTCATGACATATCTGTCAACTTTTCAAAATTTCAATGGGGATTTTAACTACAAAAGGACCTTATCGGTCGTATTGCTAAACTGATTGTTTTTTTAGATACTAGAAACAGAATGATGATTGTGATGAAAAATTATTTTCATGTTTTTTTTCTTCTTCAGAATTTTGTATTTCTGACTATGCCATCAGCGGGCCATTAATAACGTCAGACAATGGACTCACAGCTTCAAGTTCTCTGAGTAGTACATATTCTCCAGCAGCAGCCCGTCTTCATCCATTATCACCACATACAGCACCATCTTGCTGGAAAACAGCCTCTGGCGATAGGAATCCATTCATCCAGGTGGATCTTGGTTCAATAATGATCATAAGGGGAATAACTATTGCTGGAAACCCTAATGCACAAGAATGGGTGAAAAGTTTTAGAGTTGTGTATGGAGCTAATTCAAATCTGGTGACTTCTTATTATCAGGAACCATACAAAACTATAATGGTGAGTGAGTTCAAGAATGGGGACAATTATGTCACATGATTTAGTCTTATTGAAAAGTCTGATTATTTATTTTGAGTAGGCACTAGTAAATTAAATTATACTGCACTCGTTCTATTTGAGCAGTCAAAATGCGTTGACTGTATATTTCTATGTCATATACAGTCACTGACCTGATATCACTTTTCCTCATGAATATTCAAATAGTAGTTGCCGGAACTACTTTTTTTTAGTTATTCATGATGACCTCTTCAACCTTTCTTTGTTTCCAATGTAAACAAATGTGTTTTGTTCCAAATCGCGATAAACGTGATCTGTTTATTAAAATTAAATGTACTAAATCTTGTCTTGAAATTTATCTTGTATTTAATTAGTTCATAGATGTTTCTTAGATCCTATCTTAAGTCTATATTTAAAACAAAAATAATAAAATTCGTCTGCTTGTTTACCGTCTGCCAGCTCATGCTTAAGCTAAGAGCAAAGCAAACATGTCTGAAGATATTCCATATTTTGCATTGGACTGGTCTCCCTTAGAAGGTCTGGAGGATGTCCACATGGATGAAGATTTGCAGGACACATTACTACAAATTGATGCCTTAAATATTCCGCTTAATCCCCCAGAATCAAACATACATGTAATAACAACAGTGGCTGAAATACACCCTCCACCTCAAGATTTTCCAAAAGAACCACAACAATCCCTTGAGACCACCTCTGAAAATCTACCTATTGATAATGCTATTGATATTTCCAATGATTTGGTTCCTACTAATCTACAAGATGAAGCTGCTGAGGTATCAAAACAGTTTGATCCAAACTCAATTGAAATGGATGATGAGGACATTCAACTGTTCATTCTATCAAATGAAAACAAAAACACCTGCAAAAAAACCATGTATGACATTAAGCTAGTGCAGAAATTTTTCAAGATGAAAAAGGAGCACAGGGATATTCAAAACATCCCTCAGAATGAACTTGACAGTTTATTGGCCAATTTTTTAATTATTGTACGCAAACAGGATGGGACAGAATATGAGCCTTCGTCCTTAAAAGGAATTATGTCATCAGTAGATAGAAAGCTTAGGCGCCACAAATATGGGCATTCAATTAGTGGTGAAAACAATGATTTCCAATTAACAAAGGATACTTTAAAAACTAAGCTAAAGGTTTTGAAAAAACAAGGCAAAGGCAACAAGCCAAACCGTGCACAACCTTTGACGGATCTAGAGATAAACTCCCTATATGAAAAAAACTTATTGGGTGATTCTACACCAGAGGCAATGATAAATACCCTGTGGCTAAACAACTCTGTCCACTTTGGTTTAAGAGGTGTAACAGAACATTATGAACTTAGGTAGGTACATGTTTTTGACACAAACATGTTGTTATTTACATTGTATAATCCATGGTCAATAACACTAGTACAGAATACCATGTGAAAAAACACTGATGCATATAAATTATCACTCTAATTATCAAATCAAAAATAGAAAATGCATTTATTTACCATAGATATATTTGAATTATATATACATGTAAATGTACATAGTAGATGTCCAAAATGTATTTATATGAGAATATCCAATCATAAAACTCCACACATAACTATGATTAGTAAATTAATACCAAGCAAGATCTTCATGCATGTGTATGTGACACCTTTCTGCTACTTTGTATAATTCCATGCTTTTTTCTGTTTTACACAAATACATGTATCTGAATCATGTTGTCCTATAAAAATCTACATTACTAGTACATTTTTGAACAAGTACATGTAAACTCTACGTAGTGAATATATATCCTGCGAAACTTTCACATATGTTTCTGCTTACTTTGTATAATTCCATACTTTTTCTGTTTTACACAAATGCATGTATCTGAATCATGTTGTCGCATAAAAATCTACATTACTAGTACATTTTGGAACAAGTACATGTAAACTCTACGTAGTAAATATATATCCTGCGAAACTTTCACATATGTTGAACCAAATCAACTTCACATTTTATTTACGGTACATCATTATCACAGATAGTTCCATTATAAATCGTGCAATTCCTAAACGATAAACTATGTTGATAAAAACTTAATCCGATCAAAACACCATAATTCCATTGTTGAAGATCTCTCAAGTTTATGCTGTCTGATAGTTACATCCCTAATTTTCCAGCTCTGCTTTTATCCACTCTACAAAACAAAATATTCATGTGAAATTTCAAAAGTGACAGTCACATTCTATCAAAAAGCATTTATTGTGAAACTATTGATCAATTTATTATAAATAAGGATTTATACGGTTATTAAATTTCATACATTTGCACATATAATGCATATTAATAGTGGAAATATATAGAAATTGCGGACTACAGTATTTATAAATTTATAAGTACATTGTGTATATGTTCCTCTTTCAGATGGGGAGATATAACCTTAAATACAGATTCAGATGGTACGAGGTACCTTGAACTAAATGAGCGACAAACAAAAACACGCACTGGGGAAAATGTCAATGACATTAGGGATGTTAGCCCAAAGATTTATGAGTGTGAAGGAGAGAGGGACCCTGTGGCACTATATGAGAAATTTGCATCAAAGAGGCCATCTGGGATGTCAAATGAAAATGACCCCTTTTACATAGCAAAACGCACTATACCACTAACAGGAGCTGAAAATGAGCTGTGGTTCATCAGACAGCGATTAGGGTCCAAAAAACTTGCCAGTGTCATGAAAGTAATGAAGGAAAAGGGCAATTTGGACGATAATAAGCGACTGACGAACCACAGTGCGCGAAAATACTTGGTCCAAAAACTGAAGGACAATAACGTGCAAGATACCGACATAATGCAGATATCGGGTCATAAAAATGTGCAATCTATCAGAAATTACAGCGCTTTAAATGAGGACAAGCACAAGCAGATATCTCATGTCCTCAGCAACACGACTGGTGAACCCCCTCAGCCCCTTGTTCCAGTTGCCTCAAACTTACCTCTCCCTGCAATGCCTTCTAGGACAACTGTCGATGACGATTTCTCCATTGGTTCCGACAATTCAACAATTTGTTCCCAAACCAACACATCTAACAGGATAAACTCGATGTTTTACGGTGCAAAATTACAAATTCAAACCATGAATGTGTACATGTGTGACCGCCATTAACTGTGACCGCTTCAAATGAAATGTTTACATCGCGAAGCGTAGAACGATTCAAACTTATTTCTTATACAATTGTTGGAAATACATATTTTTCTTGTTAATATTGTTTGTTTAAAACCTATAAATCATTATGTTTCATGCTTATTGTTGATATTTTAGTCCATACTCAAACGAATTCTTTCACCATTGTTCACCATCGGATTGGTTTTGTTATTGCGTTATAATATTACTCCGCATTGAGGCCCTTTGAAGGGTAATTTTCCCCAATAAATAACAATAACTCAATAAACAACAATTCAGAATGTTTTTGTTTTCTAGATTGCAGTATAAAGACAATAATAGTGTATTGACTTGACATATCAACGATATAAGGATTCGGCCCGAAACGGGGAAATTGCTCGGCAGAGCCTCGCATTTCCCCGTTTCTAAGCCTCATCCTTATATCGTTGATATGTCAAGTCAATACACTATTATTGTCTATGTACGGTACTTATTATACATTTTGCATGTTGGGCCTTTTAGAATCGACTATACGGTATGGGTTTTTTTCTCACTGTTGAAGGCTGTAAGGTTGCCTATAATTGCTTACATCCACTTCATTTGAATTCTGGTGGATAGTTGTCTCATTGGCTATTAATACCACATCTTATTTTTACCAATTAGTACTTATTTTATTTCTATTTATTTATTTATTTAACATTAGTCAGTCCTTACACTTTAACAAATAAAAAGAGAAATAGTGTATAGGTCAACAAGACCCCAATGCAGCAACACAAAAACACCAAAAGATATCTAGAGGTCAACTTAGGCTTTTCAACAATAGACAATTGTCTGTACAATATGTCAAACTTTCAATTGACAAGAATTAGAAACTTTTTTTTCGAGATATTTGCCACTGAAATTAACATATTATTTTCATGAATAATGTCCTTTTCCATGCATGGTGCAACATCACAATTATGAAAAATATTGAAAGGTCTGTTTGAATGTTTTGTTTATACAAGCATTTTAAAATTTATTTTTTTTGACCGATAAAGGTATCTAGACCTTTCATGTGAATCAACAAAAATGTTTTTAAAGTGTCGAAAAATGAGGGGATAAAAAGAGAACTTGAATTTGATTTTTCAGAAGTGTATTTAAGAATGTATGTTTAAAAATATTGACAATTAAAAAGATTGCAGTGCAAAATTCTTAAATTCATAACCAAAGAAAATTTGACTTGAGTTCTTCACTTTTTTATGTTGAGGAGTAATTATTTTATTTCAGGTATTCGATGGAAATGTAAACAACAATGAGACTGTTACTCGATACTTTAAAGGACATTTTCAGGCTCGATATATTAAAGTAGAACCTGTCTCCTATGAAAAAGCTGTAGCATTGAGATTTGATGTTATGGTTTGTCCTCAAGGTAATTTATTCTATGAAGAGAACTTGCTGTCAGGTCAAGTTGAGAGTAGGGAACAATGTGATTGTTATATTTCTATCATGTTAGTAGTAGGAGATTGATATAACAGAGACATTGTTTTCCTAATACAATGTAATCCTTCTGTTTTTTACCTTTTAAAGACTCTAATTTAATCCCCCTCCCCTCAAAATTTGAGTAGACATCACAAGCTGAAATCTGTTATTTGCATTTAACTAAACAAAAGTACACAAATTTGTCACTTTAAAATTACTGTTTTTTCTTATTGTGTTTTAGATATTTATTTGAAATGTAACTTTTTGATCCTTAGAATTAACAAAACATTAAGTCTTGATTTACAAATGATAAGGATTCCAAAAAATCACTCTTTGCAATGCTAGGTCATAAGTTTTTCAAAAAGGAACCAAAATTATCACTATCTATATATGATATTTTTTTAATCTTAATTTGTTCATACTTAGAAATATTTATTACAGGTTGCAACCAGAAAACACTGCTGAGTGGTAAAACAGGTGTAAACGATGATCAGCTCTCTGCCTCCACAACTCAAGACAATTTTGTAGGTCCAGCACAGAGTAGACTGAACCAGCTAGCAATAGGAAATACAGGTGGTGCATGGTCACCTACGTACAATGACCAAAGGCAGTGGATTCAGGTTAGTTTTATGTTACCTTATTGCATTTTGGACACTTTGACCTAAACTTTAGACATAAATAACATTAACTAAGTTTTGGATGGATGGATGGATGGATGTTTATCAAGTCCAGTGGCAAATTAAATGCATATTCAGGACAAGAACATGATGATGTGATAGGAATATAAACCCTGCTTTGTACTAGACTGATATGCTGAGTGGAATTTTTTATCATGCTAGTTCACAATCTACAGGAAGACATGTCACCATACCCAGACACTTTATTCTGACACCGAGCTGACCATTCTTTGCATTTACTCCTAAATGCTCTGTGCTTAGTGGAAGCAGCAAATATAAATTTTCAAGTCTTTGGTTTAACCAAGCCAGAAATTGAACCCACAACCTCCCTCACTCAAGGCAAGCAGGCTACCACAAGACTACCAAGGCAGTCTTAAGTTTTTGAAAAACTTACATAGTAAGTAACAGATTTGACAGATTAGAGAATCCTGTATATAATCAACAAACAAACATATCTTTGAGAGTCTGTTTTAGATTAATTCCCAGCTTTTCTAGACTCTAGATGATTTAGAGCTTGACATTTGAATTGATTGTTTTTTCTATTATTGAAGGCTGTAACCAATTTGAAGTTTGTCCAGTACAATTCAGATTTATTAGTCCCCTACCGACGAAGTCCAAGCGGACTTAAGGTTTGAACTCCATCCGTCTGTCTGTCTGTCTGTCAGTCCGGCAAATCAGTTTTCCACACTTTTTTCCTTCGTGCTTGAAGATATTGATTTGATAATTGGTATATAGTTTACACCATGACAAGTTATAGATCAAGTTAGCATTTTGTTCCAATACTATGAATTTTTAACCGGTAAGGGACTATGTATTGTCATGCGATACTCTCTCAGAATGCTTGTTATAAAGTACAATTGACTTTTTTCTAGTATTGAAGACTGCATCCATTGGAAGATTTTCCTGTACAATTCAGACTTATTAAAGTACAAAAAAGTCGGGATTAAAAATGTCTCAGAAATGTTAAGGTTCAGAATAAAAAAAGTAAAATTACAAAAACTCCAAGGAAAATTCTAAAGGGAAAGTCCCTTATCAAATGGCAAAACCAAAAGCTCAAACACATCAAACGAAAGGAAAAACAACTGTCATATTCCTGACTTGGTACAGGCATTTCATTATGTTGAAAATGGTGGATTAAACCTGGCCCTATAGCCAGCCAAACCCCCCACCCGCACAACAGCCACACAGAATTCCATTATATTGACTACAATGTGTGAGCAAATTAAACTGAGTACAGTTTAAGTAATTCCAAACCAGATTTAAATTAATAAAATGTAATACAGATACAGTTAGTATATACATGTATAAAAATAGTCCAATTCACATTCCTCAAGGTTTCTACTGTATGTTCAACTGTACTACATGGCCATCACTGAGTAATATATCTCTTATTATATAGGTTGATTTACAAGCCATGGTCCAGATAACAGCAATAGCTACACAAGGACGAGCAGGCCACGATGAATATGTTACTCAATATAAGATTGCTTCCTCACCCGACGGCAGAGCATTTATTATGTATTCAGCCTTTCAGAGGAATGCTGTGGTTAGTAACATGCATAAGATTGAAAACCAATAGAATTCTTACAAATCCTTGAACTCTGTGGTAGTGCTTATTAGTTATAAACTAATAAAAGTAATCAAGGTTTTATAAAGTCAATGTTTTATTTGGAAGTGTTTGAAAAAACTCATTGATTTTCAATTAAAACCAGATGAAATTTCATACAAGAAAGGTTAGAAAAGTTTAAATTTGAAAGCTCTAATTGGTACTATTTCTGAAAAAAAGAACATCTTACAGGTATTGTTCCATCTTATTTTGTATCTCTATCTAAGTATACATTGAAAGCAAGCTAGTTTTAGTTTAAATATCTTAAAGGGAAAATTCGCGATTTTTTACTTATCATCTTATTATGTTCATAATACCATAAAAAACATATTCACCAAGTTTTATCTGGATATGAAAACTAATAAAGAAGAAAATTGGGAATTATTAATTTTATTTATTCGAACTTCCTGACTTCTGTGACGTAGTTTAAGTCTTTTTGCATGCCGGGAGTGGAATTAATCTCATTTAAGTCTTGTTCGTTAATCATCTAATAACGCGATTTAAAGGGCATCGACGACTTTTGGCGTAGCTATTAACCAACTAATAATAAAGAAAGTAAAGTGATCAGCCGTGCAACTTTTAAAAATAAAATGTACGATTTATATTTTAAGGATTTCTGATATGATTATAGTCATTATAGTAATAAAAGTAAATCATACAATAGAATATTTTTATGAATTTTTTTTCCGACGGATATTTTCAACAAACATATTTAACTGATAGTGTATTAAAAATGCATGTTTGTATTCTCACCTTTTACTTCAGTCTAGCAAACATTTTCCGCTAGTACCGTGTAAATACAATGTGTATTGTACTGTGACACTTAGTGACTACCTGTTGAATGCATGGTTAAATTCAAGGTATTTAAAGGTTTGCATTCTGTAATTCTAATCTTTTGATCTTCACTCAGTGAATTTTAGCCGTCACGGTTCACCGTTCCAGGTGTGAACATCATTTCGTATGAATGATAAACGGGAGTGATAGTTTGAGACAGAAAATAAAAAAAGAAATATAATTATTTTGAGGGAGTAATATGGTGGCACAATAACTGGATAGCCGTGGTATATTTTTATATTTTCCGTAAGCTCAGTTTAAAATGAATTATGACTGCTGAATATTTTTGTAACAATGAAATACTGAATTAATTTAATTGAATAAATAATAATGGCATTCTAAACACGAGTGTATGAACTAAAAATTGTACCATTTTAAATTAGAATCTGTAACCTTGAATATTTGAAATAGATAATTACCAATTGCAATTATATAATTTGGTCCGTCCAAAGCGATCTTTATTTACATATTCAGGAATTAATGTCCTTATCAAAATATTTTAAATCTCACAACGTTTAAATACTTCAGCCATTTGAAGAAAGATAATTAAAAAGTTGACAGGAAATTTAAGGTCAACTTTGTCTTATTGGAATGAGATCGAATAATTAAGAACAAAAATTATTTTCCGGTTTGAAAAAAAAAAAAAAAATAAATAAAAGAGATATGTGGGTTTGAGACAGAAAAAAATAATTATTTGGGGAGGAATATGGTGGCAAAATACCTGAATCGCCGTTATATATATTTTTTATATTTTGCGTTAGCTCAGTTTTTAAATAGATGGGTGAGTACTTTGTTGTAACATCGGAATTCTGAATAACTTTCAATGAAATAATTTTATAAATAAAAATGGCCCACGAAAACGAGCGTATAAACCAAAAACTGTGCTATTTTGAATTATCATCGGTAACCTTGAATATTTAAATGTGCAGAGAAAATTATCAGTTACATTAATATAGTTTGGTCCGTCCAAAGCGATCTACATTTACCTAATCGGGAATGTCCTTATTAAAATATTCTACATCTCACAACAAATACTTTAGCTATTTGACCAACGATGTTTAAAATTTTTTTATAGAATCAATCTAACGTCAACTTGCCTTTATTGAATGGAGACAGACCGGCGGAATCAATGTTCAATGTGCTTTATATCTTGTACCTTTGTAAGACTTATCATTCATTCATAAACCATGTCTATACCGCAGACATATATATACATATGATTATGTCTGTCTTAACTGACAAGAATACTCCTGGTTTAACACTAGTAATTTGTTGGGGCCCTTTATAGCTTAATTGCTGTTCGGTGTGAGCCAAGGCTCCATGTTTAAGACCGTACTTTGACCTATAATGGTTTACTTTTATAAAATTGTGACTTGGATGGAGAGTTGTCTCATTTGCACTCATACCACATCTTCTTATATCTATAAGCAGTATTATCTTTAAATTTCTGTGATTTAATACCAAGAAAGAAAAAAATCCCGAAATTAATTTGCTACTTTGATACTAGTACTCAATATTTTTCCTGGAAAATATTCACATCCTCATTCGGTCTGAAAATAAGATAAGAAACTGGTATACAGAACATGCAGAAGTGTGAATGTCATAAAACCTTGTTATATCAGAAACCATTATAAATGTGAACCTGTATACGTAAGACCTCATGGGACGATGTACCTAACCACATACAAGTAATATACACGTAGCTCTGTTATACCCGGAAATGTCAAGGTTAATCACTACCGATACAGAATGTACCAACGCAAAGTAAATTCTGATGATTGTGAAGCATGACCATTCATGATTTTAGAGGAGTATTAGGTGGGGGATTGTCGGAACGATTTAAATTCTGACTAGATTTTTTCTCAATTTAAATCACTGAACTAAAAAAAAAGAAAGGAGAAAACAACGTTCAAGAACAGAATTCTTGTAAATTCATAAATACAACGTTCTTATTTTGTAACTTTCAATAGACTTGACCTCCAACCCCCCCCCCCCCCCCCCCCCCGGCACCCCTTTTTATCAAAGCGTACATGCATGTATTTTAATGACTGTCCGTTATTTCGATCATAATGACAATTGTACGTGAAATCCTATAGTTGGTGAGACTTTTTTTTTACCAGATATGCGACTTTTCGTATTTATATTTTCTCTTATATTACTCTTATTTAATATTTTATGCATAAGTGCAATAGTGGGAATGGTTTATTCCCCCACAAGCTAACGTAATAAATTAATCAACCCTCAAGCTGATCAGACGTTAATACAACTACTATCAGTCTATCCGGAGTGAAGTTTATTTCTTCAAATAAACTTTTGGGGATCATTAGTGTACGTCCAGTGGCATATATATTACATGCATGTCGGAACAGGAAAATTGGCATAAGGTTCTATTAGAACCATGTTCACATTAATATACATTATACCCAACAATTGTGACTGATGACGAATTTCTTCAACTGTTCGAGAACAATCTAATTGAAATATAAATCTGTGATTTTACTATGTCCATAACTTCGATGAACCAAAGCAAGTTAGATATCGACCTGTATTTAAATCAAATTGTTTCTAGATGTTCTTTCTTATATTCAATATACAATTTTAAATTGCGACTATCTATAGTTCCGTAACTTTCTATCTAGGCGTATAAATGATCGACAAGTGCATATTTTTTAAATCAATAGTTTTTCATGTTTCAAAATGTCCATCATTATTGACAACGAGTATATACTTACATTTTCCCCAATTTACCCTTGGAAAAATATGTAAATAGATTTTTATTTTATCAAATCTTTTTTGGAATTATTTAGATTTTCATAAATATCATTCTTTACACTAGAAATGTTATTTATAAACAAGCGTATGAGTTTAGTAATGACAAGTATATCACTATCGGACACGCAAGACAAAGATGTATATTACACCTGATAGTTTTAAAATGGAAAGTTACAAGTTATCGGCCGTGTACACTAATCAATACCATCAGAAGTGAAGCGATGCATGAACATGCTTTATGTAATTGTGTAATAAGAGTTTTTAAACCCGACAGGAAATCGCTTGAATACCTGGAGGTGTCACCTCACAATACCTCAGGGAATAATTCCTTTAGCCATGCTGGTGATCAGATAAGAGAAGGTCCGAATTTATTTAAATAAGTTTATTACATAAAAGAATTATGAACAAATTAGATTTTCGAAAACGATTTTACACGGAACACTTATTTATAACTTTGAACTTTGACTTTTTAACTAATTCCCATATAAATTTCTTGTTTCAAAAACTTCGTAAAGAAAAAACAGTTTTAAAACGACAGACCATAGTTATTTAAAAAATAATTACATTTTCCGTATCAAGTTAGTTAGTCGGATAAATGCGACTACGTTAGGTTACTGTTGGTTTTGGTCCTTTGTGGTTTATAGATATATCGGGGTTTCTAAACCGAGAAGATGTCAAAATGGCCGCACGCAGAGAATTGATACTCTAAATTTAAAATCGATGGTGATCTCTTATCTAGCAGAATAAAACTTTAATATTTATGAATTTGTGCTTTTTTATACAGAATGGACATAATATCAATTTTTTATTTTTTTGCGAAGTTTCCCTTTAAATTTAAATTTTTTAACACTGTTTCAGGTCTTCAGTGGTAATATGGATGATAGTATGGCTAGGAAGCATTACTTGACATTACCTATTGTGGCCAGATTTATCAGGATATATCCATTTAACTACCATAAAAAGATATCCCTTCGGTGGGAAGTTTATGGCTGCCCAGGTATGTTTATAATCATCCAGTCAGACAACTCTTTGGTGAGATCATCATGATTGTGAAGTATGTTTATCTGGATAATGCTAAAACAAATCTTTCCTAATTTTTAGCTCACCTGGCCCAAAGGGCCAAGTGAGTTTTTCTCATCACTTGGCGTCTGTCGTCCGTTAACTTTTACAAAAATCTTCTCCTCTGAAACTACATGGCCAAATTTAACTAAACTTGGCCACAATCATTATTGGGGTATCTAGTTTAAAAAATGTGTCCGATGACCCCGCCAACCAACCAAGATGGCTGACATGGCTAAAAAATAGTACATAGGGTAAAATGCAGTTTTTAGCTCATATCTCTGAAACCAAAGCATTTAGAGCAAATCTGACAGAAATAAAATTGTTAATTAGGTCAAGATCTATCTGCCCTGAAATTTTCAGACCAATCAGGCAACACATTGTTGGGTTGCTGCCCCTGAATTGGTAATTTTAAGAAAATTTTGCAGCTTTTGGTTATTATCTTGAATATTATTATAGATAGAGATAAACTATAAACAGCAATAATGTACAGCAAAGTAAGATCTACAAATAAATCAACATGACCAAAATTGTCAATTGACCCCTTAAGGAGTTATTGCCCTTTATAGTCAATTTTTTACAATTTTCATAAATTTTGTAAATTTTTGTAAATTTTTACAAAATATTTTCCACTGTAACTACTGGGCCAAGTTCATTATAGATAGAGATAATTGTAAGCAGCAAGAATGTTCAGTAAAGTAAGATCTACAAACACATCACCATCACCAAAACACAATTTTGTCATGAATCCATCTGTGTCCTTTGTTTAATATGCACATAGACCAAGGTGAGCGACACAGGCTCTTTAGAGCCTCTAGTTTAGGTTTCTGGCTGCCCTGATATGTTTCAACAATAAATGTCATTAGCACAAGATAATTAATTCCCCTTTTTTTGGTGTCAGATGGTATAAAGATACTAATAGAATATATTTTTTGTGTGCCAAAAAAACAGATTTGATTAATGTAAAGATAATCTTATAAATTTCAGGACCAGATTCTGGAACATCAATTGGTTGCTATGCAGACGACAAATTAAGCAGAGATTTATCCTACGAACCATATGGCGATCCCTCAGTTGGCATGTGGCCGCCAATGTGCATTCATCACTGTTTTAGCAAAGGATATTATTATGCAGGACTCCAGAATCGGTACATGTGTTTCTGTGGGAATTCTTATGGGAAATATGGTAGATCCATGACCTGTAATCAGCCATGTTACACGAGACCAAGTTACAAGTGTGGTGGAATTACTTCTAATTCTGTTTATACAACTGGACTAAGTATGTTTATTTTATCAATACCCTTACTGGACAAAATCTTCCCTTATATAGTCCTCAGAATGTTTTAGTTCCATTTGTGAAATTCTGAAATCTTATAAGGATTGAAAAAGAAAGATTTATTTTGTGTTCTGGGCTTCCTGACTGACCCTAATTTTGAGATGATCGTAATTTCAAGCTAAACCTAATGTTGATCTACAACTAACAGGCTATTATTTGAACTTGGAATTATTTTTAATTATGGAATTTGTATAATTTCTTGTGTTTGAGATTTTGAATAAATTTTATGCTTATTCTGTATTTTAATGTTCTGTGCCGCGCACAACACTATCTATACAAAATACATTGTATGGAAAGTGTTATGTGCCACTCAAAACATTATAATACAGAATAAACATGGAATTCATTAAAAATTTCAAGCACAAGAAATTATGCAAATTCCATAATTAAAAATAATTCCAAGTTCAAATAATAGCCTGTTAACTGTAATGTTTTCGGAGGATTTCTTCAACTTCAATCTTAAAATAGGTGACAGAACTAATAAAAATCATTTAATGTTGTTAGATAGATTACAAATGGTGGACTTCGCGTTAAATGATATGTTTAAAACTAGAACTTTCGGGGAGGGGACTCATTCTTACACAGTCTATAAGTTTAAAAGTAGACAAATTCGCATGTTTTGACTTTGAATTTAGTGGTGATTTATATACTGTGAATTCAGAAATTATTGCAAGGCTTTTATTAATGCTATTAATGATTTTCCTGAAATCGTAATAATTAAACTCACATTTTTATCCATTCTCCAACAATCACAATAATAAATGCACACAATAATATCTGACTGTATAGTATAAAACATTTCTAAGGTTATGACCTAAATTTTTGGAGGTCATTGCAGATCAAGATTTTTTTATATTTTAGTATTGCTGAAGATTAAGTTAATCTTGTTATGCAAAGACAAATTCAGTAAGAGGTAAATTTTAAGAAATATTAATGTACAATTAGAAAAAATATACATCATATATATTTTGACAGCACCTGTGACAAAAGTGTGTCCACCTAATTGGAAGGCGTATAATGACAAGTGTTACCTGTTACTGTTCAACCAGACATCATGGCTGAATGCCAGAAAAGATTGTCGTATCATGGGAGGTGACTTGGCGACAGTCAACAGCCAGGCTGAGCAAGATTTGGTCTATAGTATTATGAGTAATAGTAGGTACAGTATTGAAAAATCATTTTTATATTAATGTTACTCTTTTCTCTCGTTGAATCATATAAATCATTTAACAGTTTGCAAAAATAAAAGGGAAAATCTTTAAGATTTATAAACCATATGCCTTGGATAAAAGGAGATGGAAAGGCAACCCAAATGACATAAAAGTTGACAGTATATAGAGAGTTGGGTACCCTGACATTCATTTCTTTGTCTGCCATCTTGTCTGTTTGTCCTTCTGTCCCACTTTCAATATAAACGGCTTGACAGAATATATTTAAACTTTCATTGACTCTTACACACATGATGTACATTTGCAATTTCATTTCTTAAACCAAATGACATTGTCATATCAACACACTATATAGTAGACAATGGTTTCAGTTCTATTCAATGCCAAATCAGAATTTATTGAAACTTTACTCACAGAACATCTAGTGTATAGATCATAACTTACATGTAGTTAATTTCATATTGACATCAGAACTTTAAAAAAATGCTCTAATCAGAATGTTTAAATCAGATATTCTGTAAATTAATTTGCCTCCAGTATAAACAAGTTATATTGAATGTTGTGGCTTAAGGTAACTTACGTATAGGAGACCTTGACTGGCTATAAAGCCCTCGCACTGTCGGGTAAGATAACTGGGTGTATTCCTCCATCTTGGATTTTGAAATAGCTTATAACAATCGGTCTAGATCTTTAATGAAATGTGCAAATTTAGAGAGTAGTATGTAATTCATGTGTAAGACTTTTTATGTTGATCTGGAAAATTATGTGTTTTATCATATTTACGGCTGTGTTTTACAAAAAAACAGAAAAATTTTGTTCGATTCTTTTTTTTTTAAAACTACGCCACATAAGGGGAGATAACTCAGATATAAGGGGAGGTAACTCAGATAAAGTAATTTTTATAATAAAATTTGTTGTGAATTTACCTATTTTATTATGTAGCAACAAAATGAGTCCGCTGACCCCATTTTTTCTTTTTCTTATCTGAAAGCATATTATTAGAGCTATCTTCTCATATTTTATCTTAAAATTCTATGGTAAAGTTCCTTTTTATCAAACAAATTTGGGTTTTCCATGCATAATCTATACAAAATCTGACAATTTTGCACAACCTGTAGCGTGAAAAAAGCCAGGTGACACACACTTTTTATTATATTTTTGAAAAAAGCATGATATAAACTACATTTTGACAAATTATTAAAAAATTCTATAGATTGTAATTTAGACCCCATCTACCTTAAATACTAGAATTTTGTCATGAGCATGATAAGTAAAGGTTCTAGGTATTCCTGGAATAGATATTTTTAGTCAAAGCCACAGTCATGGGGGATTTCTTTCATTATGCATCATTTGAGTTGCACTGCTTTAGGGAAAAGGAATATTAGCAATAATTTATTTGACAAAGTAATCATCATTTTCACTATTCTAAGAATAAACTACTGTTACTCTCATATTCACTAACTTTTTATTAAGAATCATACATTTTAAAAACTTTTATAACAGAGGGAGCCTCAGATGTTTGGATAGGACTGAATGATCAACAGGAACAGAATTTCTTTGAGTGGATAAATGGAGAAGTTACATTGTACACTAATTGGAATGTCAACCAACCAGCCAATACAAATAGTGCCAATGAGAACTGTGTAATGATTAACCAAACAGTAAGTGTTAATTTAGATAAATTAAAACAATGTTTAAATTAAGTTATATCCTTAACCATTTATGTCTTCATTAACCTGTTTTCTTGCAATTAGTCCGATTTGAATAGATGGCACAAAGGTTATCTAAAGATTGCCACTTGTACAAAAATTTTCACAAATGAAACCATTTGAATGTTAGATGATAGTTGAGTTCTGTCCTGGTAAATATCAATGACTGAAAATTTTTCATATGAAAATTTGTAATAGTGTTGACTTCCCTAAAAAAAAGACTTAATATATATTTTTATATAATTTAATTTAAATTAATTTCAGATTAAAGTGCATGAGTCTTGCTGCTGGTCATCATAAGTCCTAGAACTTTTGATTTTACATTTTCTCCTCTAAATTGATTTGAAAAAAAATAAAAACGAAAATCAGTTTAATTTTTTTTACAGTTTAAATACCATAAGTATTGTATCTTTACTTTTCAATGAAAAGGTTAACATTGGTCTTTAATTGTTGACATTTGCTCTCAGAACTTAATGGAGTTCTGAATCGGATTGCAATTATTTTTATTTTAACAGGATGGAGGTTGGCAGGACCAGAACTGTGGTGAGCCACACCAGTATTTATGTATGCAGGCTAAATCAGGATCAGCTCAGCCAACACTGCCACCACAATCTCCGGGATGTGATATTGTAAGTTTTGGAAGCTACTACACTCATAACAATTAAGATTGATCGTAAATTATGAACAATTCAGTATACTTACCACCAATTTAAGTCGTAAGATTTTTATGAAGCACAGGCCAGGGCCAACTTTCATTAAACTTTTTCTCAATACTCAGACTACAGATTGTTTGCTGGAAACACCTAATACAGCATTTTGATTGGTTAAATTCTGAGTATGAGTACCATAATCGGACTTCAGATTTTTATGACCGCAAGGCCAGATTGCAATTATTGTCTTATTTCAAAATAGCTTTGGCTGTTGTAAATAGCTTATGTAAATAACCTCCTGCAAAAACATATATGGTTTTTTTTCTTTGTTACTGACCAAAATAATTTCTGAAATTTAGTTTTCTGTTTGTTATTGGGGTGAAAAAAATAAATATTGGAATTTGAACATCAGTAAGAACTTTAAATAAGATAATGATGTGGCAAACTTCATAATCAATAAATTTGAATTGATTAATTACTTTTAGTTTCATAATTTATAAAATGAAATGAAAAATATACTATAAATGTTTCTTTTTTTCTTTGTGTAACTATTAGGAGAGATCATTTGTCCAAATTCTTTAAACATGTATAAGTATTGGTTTTATACTTCAGGGCTGGATTGGTTTTAGATGGTCTTGTTATTTGTTCATGGACCAGACCAGAACATTCGCAAGAGCTAACCAGGCATGTAAGGCAAGGGGAGCAACTCTTGTACAGATAGATGATAGGTTTGTTTGCTTTAAAAACTAAAAAACTAAAAAATAGTAAATATCTATCTCAGATAACAATGATAATTATCAAACAGAGTTAAAAAACACCCTGCATATTTTACATTTAAATAGCTTTGAAGTTTATCATTTTAAGAAATGACTTTGAAAAGGTGTTATGTTTTCTTAAATAAAAAAATCTGTACAAACAGCTGTCCATCAAATTGCATTTAATATTATATAGATGTGGTATGGTTGAAAATGAGACAACTATCCAACAGAGTCTGAATTACATGAATTTTATTATCTATAGGTCCTGTATGGCCTTAAAATACTCGTTATCATAAATATCCTTTTCCTAACACAATTTGCACAAAACTTTTTTCGATGCATAATGTTAGACTATTAAATCTAAAATCTGAATTTATATTCTAATTTTTATTTTGAACATTTATAATTTCTGCTTCAAGGAGACTTTTCTGTCACTGTGACATGATGTTGGAAATTGATATTGTTCCACAATTAGAGTTGTTTTTGTTTCAAACAACGAAACTGAAAGATTCCAATTTACCATTTTTTCTTTTATATTTGTAGATTTGAGCAAGCATTCTTATCAAGTACATTGAATATGAAGAAAGGCATGTACTGGACTGATGCTACTAATTTAGTATCACCTGGAACATTTAAAAACTTTGACAATCATAGAGAAGTGCTATATACCAACTGGGCTCCAAATAGACCAGGTAATGGACATGTAGAAAGATGTGGAATTGAAATCATATTTGGATGCTTAATATAAAAATAAGGAGATGTATTTAGTATTATTGCCAATGAGACAACTATCCACTAAAATATAGATTTCTTTGGTAAAAGGAGCATTCAATTAGTATTTGCTAAAAAAATTTAAGGAAAACTTTCTCTTTTGTTTGTCAAGAGGGGCGGAAGGATTATTCAGGACAACAGGATTGTGCCTTTATTTTTGCTGGAATTCGGGATTTACACGTATCAAGACTCAAGAATGAAAGATTCCTTTTCGGGATCCAAAAGGGAATACTTTATGTTTTTGAAATTCTGGTTTCAGCGTTTATTTTCCAGGAATTTGGAATGACATCCCCTCCTACCCCCGGTAAATGATACAGCAATATAACGAAAGACATCTAGAGGTCAACATAAGGTCATCAATAATAGACAAGTTTGGTTATCATATTATAAGATCTAATCATAGATGCTAACCGTTACGATTTTCCCGTAATTGTTACGATTTTTTTACCCAAATTACGGTGTTACGATGAATATTCTATTTGTTAAGGACTTACGGTCATTACCTGCCCAGAACAGTTCTCCGTTTATAAATCATTTTTGATAATTGAGACGCCTTAAAAGGGTGACTGGGGAATAAAAATATGGTCACCACTGGTCTTCCTCCGAGCGACAGTAAAACCCTCGCCGAAGTGGGGCGTCCGTTTGGCTGTGAGGGATGTATCAAGTACGCAGCCACGTCCAGACAGAATGAAGACGTTAAATCCGATGCCTCGTGTAGAGAGAGAGTGCAACGCTTTTTCAACGTCAAGAACCTTTGCAACAACTCTTTGAGGGGTTCGTAGGTGGGCTAAATTTCTGTCCCTATTCAATATACCCTCATTTTCCCGCGGTTGTCCAAATTTTCCCGACCTTCATCCCGACAGCCTCTATTGTAATACCTACCTCGTTTTGAACAAGCATGAAATATTTGCAATTGGACATTAAGCAACCAACAATCAATCGGGACTACCAGTAAAAACGATACTCTTATTCTGAATAATTAATGATCGAAACAAGTCTTTGTTTTTAATTTTTCAATGTCTGGTGTAACAACTTAAATATCTGAAACAAAAAAAGAAAACTAGAAAGCCGGACCATTATGCCTTTTGTATATATTATGAAAAATATTTCCATTTAATGCGATGGTCATTTGCTAATCAACTTTGAATCGTAGTTCTGATAAATAAAGGACATCGTTTAGTCACTGAATGCCACCCAAAAGGGTGACTAAGGAATAGAAATATGGTCACTACAGGTTTTCTTCCATTAGGCTGTAATACTGTTGCCAAATTGGGTGTCCGTTTGGCTGTGGTGGATGTACAATTACGCAGCCACGTCCGGTCAGAATGTGGACGTTAATTCATATGCCTCTTGGAAAAAGAGTGCTAAACACTCTACGTTAAGAACCGTTGAAACAACTCTTTGATAGGACCGTAGGTTGCCTGTTGCAATGCTAAATGTCTGTCCCATATCCCCTCATTTTTCAGTGGCAGGAAAAAATTTTCCCGACCCTCATCCCGACAACCTCTATTAAAGGACCTACCTTTTGAATGTACTGTGAATGTGTTCTCTTCCTGAATATACATGAAATATATGCCACTGGATGTTTAGCGATCAATAATCAATCATATCACTGTGTGCCCAGTTGTTCATATGATTATTATAAAATTTTACGTTAATATTACTGAAAAAAGACACAAATTACGGAAATGTGAATGCCTTTTTACTGATTGCACTCAATGGGGTTGGCATCTATGTCTAATTCACGCTATGAATAGCTACTAGTTATCATATTATATGATCTAATTCACGCTATGAATAGCTACTAGTTATCATATTATATGATCTAATTCACGCTATGAATAGCTACTAGTTATTATATATGATCTAATTCATGCTATGAATAGCTACTAGTTATCATATTATATGATCTAATTCATGCTATGAATAGACAAGTTATGAAAAAGTTATCACAGACTACTATAGCTCTGCCTTCAATACTTAATTCCACTTTAGACAATACATTAAGATGTCAAAAAAGTCTACTATTTTATCTTTATTTCCTTTATGGTAAAGATGTAATTAGGTAATAAATATCTTTAAAGTGTAATTTATAAGAAGTTTTTCAAAGCAGAAAATTCTGAAGTAGCTTTAAAAAGTAATTTTAACATATTTACATTAGGTAATTCCCGATCATGTGTTGCTATGCAGACCAAGACACCATCAGGCCTGTGGATTGACACCAATTGTACAGCTTTGTCAGGAGCTGTTTGTGAGAAAATTGGTTTAGGGCAGACAACTCCAAAACCACCTACAACAACTCCTTCACCTGTACCCTGTCCAAAAGGATGGATAGAAGTCAACGGGTATTGTTACCAGGTAGGTACCAGAAAATGTCGAGAGAACATAAATTGACAGTAATCTCAACTTGCTTGCTACACAAAGATTTTTTAAAGTGCCAGTCTTTGTAAGGATCAGGCAATTTTGAAAAAAAATCAAAACATCACCGAAAAAACCCACCGACCAAACCATCCTTTTTTGAAGTTTGTCTCTTTTTAAATTTTGGTTAGAATGATAGCAAATTACGGAGTTAGCTCCCCTTAATAGTTAATTTCTAGTGCATTTCAACCAAATTATATCTTGAGTTACCAGAACAGAAAAAAGAAACGAATGTTATATTCGTGCACCATTATACATTTTGAACATAAATTAATGCCAACTTGAGTGGGTTTTTGTTTGTCATGTTTTCACCACTGCCTGATTCTTAGGCAGATTGGTACTTAAACAATTTTTAAAAATATTTTTGAATAAAGGTAATCTAGTACTTTTGCTTTCCTTTCCAGAATGTTCTTCCAGGCTGAATAGTTGTTTAGTAATACTGTTATGAAACAGAAGTTCCTTTATATTATAAGTTCCAAGTGGAACAATTATTCTGTAATATTATTTCCACTGGAACAAATATTATCCTCACAGAATAAAGATTATAGAATATTTGTTCAACCAGGAACAGATATTATGACATTGTTTATAACAAAGTTTCCAGTGGAACTTCTGTAAGGCGGAACAAATAAAAGTTTACAATATTAATATATTAATGCCTTCATCACTTAGTGGCTGGGGCATAAAGTGTTACCCATGATTCTTCTGTCTTTCTGTCCATACAGATTGAGTTTGTATTTTGTTTGATATTTACACACTTATCCTGAGATGAATTATTCACACAGATTTTTAATCACCTAAAAGCTAGGCAACTGGTATTTTTGTTATTGACATACATGTAACACATATAGTATTTTCAGTACTTAGATATTAAACTCATGGGCACTGCCACTTCAGCCCAACTCTTGAAAATGTGTTATTTTTGTAAACAATTTAGATTAACCATGCTGTAAATTTAAACGTAGTAAATAGTAATTAGTTTCTCCATCTATTGCATACTATAGCTACATGTATATGGGATGAAAACAATACATCATTTTTGAAAAACTATGATTAAGTACAAAATTTATAAAAGGATATAATGAAAATAAAAGAGAGTTACAAGTACCTTAGTTAACTACATATTACTCTAATTGACCAGGTAAATGCTGTACAAGGCAGTCGACAGATGCCATTCAGGGATGCTGACAAGGATTGTCAATCACAGGGAGCAAGTCTAGCAAGTTTCCATAATAGTTCTGATATTGATACTCTGTGGAGAAATAATCTTGTGTAAGTATCTATAGCCTATATATGGTGTGTATTTCCAAATAGAGAGTGGAATTACAGTATAAATTCAAGTCTGCAGATGATCTAAGTAAGGAAGATATGTATTTTGCACATGGTTGCAATGATTGCTTTTTAAATGTAACAAATCGTTCATATTATTTCTTCAATTCATGGTTAGACTATAATTTGTATCATGCTTTTCTTTTCCAGTGGCTCAAAAGTCAACTTCTGGATTGGATTAAATGATCTGACATTAGTAAATACACAAAGAAGTAAGTAATGTTGCTTTACAAAAATGAAAAACTCACTTGTTTACATGTCAGCATAAGCTTTTTATGATAAATTGGTGTCAACATTCCAAAATAATATTCAACACATGAGTAGATTTAATCAGGTTCAATATATATGTAACTCAAGAATTCAAGTTTATATAGCATATACAAATTATCTCCCTTTGAATTTTTCAAATGAATTTTCTGTTTTTGCATTAATGCTTGGTAGTTTCTTCTAAAGTTTTACAGGCTCAATAAAAAATAATTTTTAACTTTTAATATGAATTATTGGAAATTTTGTTTATAGTAAAAGTTAAAAAATAGATTGCATATTGATATTAAGCAATATGGATAGTTGTCTCATTGGTAATCATATTGCATACCACATCTTCTTATTTTTATATGGTCTATGACAAAATTTATTGTTTACTTTACTTGAAAAAATTAGAATACAAATGGACAGACAACTCACCACTTAATTTTGTTAACTGGGGACCAAACGAACCAAACAATTTCCATGGAACTGAGGACTGTGCTGAAGTTCTAAGCGCTACAGGTTTATGGAATGATCAAAACTGTCAGTACCATAGAAACTGGATTTGTAAAGTGAGAAAAGGTATTGTTACAGAATTCTTAGTTTTATAGCTGTGTAACCCTCTTTAAATAAAAAAATTGTTATAATTATTATTATTATTATTATAATAATATTAAGACATTGAAAGTATGAAGTACAATAATGTAAATCGGTGGTTATTTAGTTTAAAAGATAAAATATCACAAATAAGTATTAATTTGGTTAAGCATCATGTTAAAGTGCAGACATGTTTTCAGTAAAGCAGTGTTTAACTCCACAACTTTTCCCTATAAATCTGTAAAAAAAAATTCTGCCATGATTGCTATGGATTCATGTTTATTCTTGAGGCACTCATTTTTATGCCCCACCTGCAATAGTAGTGGGGCATTATGTTTTTCAGTCTGTGCGTCCGTTTTTTCGTCCGTCTGTCCCGCTTCAGGTTAATGTTTTTGGTCAAGGTAGTTTATGATGAAGTTGAAGTCCAATCAACTTGAAACTTAGTACACATGTTCCCTATGATATGATCTTTCTAATTTTAATGCCAAATTAGAGTTTTGACCCCAATTTCACGGTCCACTGAACATAGAAAATGTTAGTGCGAGTGGGGCATCCATCTACTATGGACACATTCTTGTTATTGATTTGTTAAGATCAAATATTTACAAAACTTAAGTTTTTGGAAACACACAATTTCCCATTGTTTTTTTTTCCATCAGAATTTGTAAAAACAAAAACATCAAATTTCCTTGAAAATTACAAATTTTCCTCAATTATGGAAATTATCGAAATGGGTACCCTAAAAAAATGAATCCACTATAATTATGTTAAAAAATGTACACTTCAGCAATTGTAATAACCATGTACAAAATTTATTGTACATTTGCATTATTTGTAATAAAGACTAACTGTATTTTTAGGTGCCAATGTACATGCCAGACTAGTAAACCGTGCTCCATCTGCAGGTCCTCGTAAGTTTTTCTAGATGTTAATAAATATTTTAATATTGTAAACGCATTTCAGAGTTTATATCTATGTAGAAATAAGAAGATGTGGTATGAGTGCTAATGAGACAACTCTCCATCCAAGTCACAATGTGTAAAAAGTAAACAATTATAGGTCAAAGTATGGCCTTCAACATGGAGCCTTGGCTCACACCGAACAGCAAGCTATAAAGGGCCCCAAAATGACTAGTGTAAAACCATTCAAACAGGAAAACCAACGGTCTAATCTATATATAAAAAATGAGAAACGAAAAACACTTATGAGCCACACCAACAAACGACAACCACTGAAAAACAGGCTCCTGACTTAGGACAGGTGCAAACAAATGCAGCGGGTTTAAACGGTTTAACAAGTGCCAACCTTCACCCTAACCTGAAACAGTGGTCTTCTTTTAACACATTCTTTGTTTTGCAGTATATCATTTACTATTTGAAAAAAAAAAGATAAACAAAATTATTTTATTCTTAGAAAACATAAAAGAGAATAGATTAATAAACCAATATAAAAAATATTTGTTTACACATGATTATGTATCAAATCTATAAACTACATATTGAATGATCTTTCTTATGAAATTTCTTAAAATTATGGATTTTTTTTTTTTATTATTAACCTGGCAAGTTCCTGGATTTTTTTGTTTTGGCTTAGGGAGGGGGAGTTCTCAATTTGCAATATCATGGTATAAACAGATAGTGTTATTGCATTTTTCATGATATGTTTGAAGATTTAAAGACACTTTGAGGAGTAGAAAATATCTGAGCTTGGTATTTATAAAAATTGCAATTTTTGCATTATTACTGTTTTATTTTAAAGCTGGTCAGTGTGTTGGACTTATCAACTGGACGTTTTACAACAATAACTGTTATATAGTAATGGATGGTGCAGGGAACAATGCTAAGACCTGGAGAGAAGCAAGACAATGGTGTCAGGGATATGGTGCAGATCTGGTCTCCATTGGAAGTATGCTGGAGCAGTTGTTTGTACAATACCAGGCATCAAACATCTCTTCTTATACTCTGTGGACAGGTTTCAGTGAAATTGATAATGAGTTTGGATATAAGTAGGTTTATTGGTCAGAACAATTTGAAAGTTATAAACAAACATGTTAAAATTAAAGAGAGGTTTTAGTTAAGGGATTTTAAGTGTAGATTGAATTCATATTTCCTAGGAATAAAGGATTTATTGATTTGCTTTAACATCAAATTATATATATTTCATGAACATTTAGAATGAAATCCATGCGTCTGTCAATCTTGTTATGACGTACTTTGTGACATGTCTTCAGTTGCTTCCATGTTCTACTTCCTGTTTGCGAAAACACTTTTATCATGTGTCTTATTTTATGGCCCCACCAACTTAGGTCGGGGCCATATAGTTTTACCCTTATTCATCATTGCGTCATTCTGCAACGAACAGTTATACAGACTTTTTTTCTAAATGCCTTCACATATTGAGCTTATTTTTAGTATGTGAGTCTTCTATGATGAGTTACAGATCATGTTTACGTTTGGTTCCACTCAGCTGATTTTTGTTAAAATTACAGGCTTTGGTCTTTGAAAATTTCCACTCCTAAAAATGGTTTCAAGCTTTTTTTTTGCATGCAGGGCCATTCGTGTAGTTTAGACACATCTAGTTATATAATATATCATGCAAATATTATATAAAAGAAAATTTTGTCACATGTTTTAGTGAGCAGAGGTATAATAGCTTTCAGCACATATTGTTCAATGGAGCAATATATTCTATTTTCATATGAAAACCAGCCATGATTTCATATGGGTACCAGTAGAAATTATTTATATTTACATCTGGTGAATTATTTTGAGAATAAAAGTGTAAAACCTGTCACAAAATCAGTATATAAAAGTACAAAGTTTCACAAATTTGCATTTTAGGTGGTCAGATGGTACAGTACCGTCTTACATCAACTGGAATCCTGGGGAACCTAATGATTATGCTGGGGCTGAAGACTGTGTAGAAATGATGGTGTTTAATGGTTAAGTATCATTCCAATATTTGCAGCATTTTTAGCTCACCGTGAGCTTATGCCATCACTTGGCGTCCGTCGTCTGTCGTCGTAAACTATTTAAAAAACCTTCTCCTCTGAAACTACTGGGCTTAATACCTTCAAACTTTAACTAAATGTTCCTTAGGGTATCTAGTTTATAAATTGTATATGAAGTTTTGATCCATCGACAAACATGGCCGCCATGGCTAAAAATAGAACGTAGGTGTCAAATGCAGTTTTTGGCTTATATCTCAAAAACTACAGCTTTTAGAGCAAAATGGGGTGAAATTGTTCAATTAGTTAAGATCTATCAGCTCTGAAATTTTCAGACGAATCGAACAATCCATTGTTGGGTTGCTGCCACTGAATTGGTAGTTTTAACAAAATTTTGCAGTTTTTTGTTATTATTTTGAATATTATTATAGATATATATAAACTGTAAGCAGCAATAATGTTCAGCAAAGTAAGATCTACAAAAAAGTTAATATGACCAAAATTGTCAATTGACCCCTTAAGAAGTTATTGCCCTTTAAAGACAATTTTACACAATTTGTTCATCAAGTTTGCCAACATTTAAAAATCTTCTCCTGTGAAATACAGGTGAGCGATTCAGGCTCTTGAGAGCCTCTTGTTATTTTTGCACATTTCTTAAAATTCATTCAAAATGTTTTTGATAATTTTTATAGTTTTTACCTACGTAGGCAAAGGCGAAAGCAGGTCTAGTAACCGCTCTATAGTTTAAAATTTTACAGCACTCAATTATTGTTCATGGAAAATTTTTGTCAAACTTTGCTTAGCTTGTACTGAAAGGAATAATTTTAATTTTTGTATGCAGCTTGATTATATTCAGTTGTAACTAGTTAGTAATCTTTACATCTGCCATACAGCCACTTTCTGTTTGCCGATATTTTGAAACTCATTGTACAAGGAAAGTTTCCATCACATTTTTTTTTTCTTTAATGAAAGGGTATGATCAGTTATGCTTAGGTATACATGTTACCTCAATCAATTCCGTGCAGCCATGCAGGTCCAGACCCTGTATTGGTCTTGTTTTATACAGATCCTATCAAAAAGTACAATTTAAAAATTTGTTGATCACATCTAGTTAAATTTTGGTTTCAGCTATTGCCTAGAAGCTCCTGTTTGGAATTTTACCATTAGGACTTTGACCTTTAAATAGCTATTCAGCACTTCTTACTGGAAAATGGACATGATCATTCTTTATGACATGACTGCCATTTTCATGATTCATGAATACATTTAATAATCTTGCTTTACATTTAATAATCTTTATTTACATTTAATAATCTTGATTTACATTTAATAATCTTGATTTACATTTAATAATCTAAGAAATGATTTATGTTTAATAATCTAAGAAAAGAGTAACATTAAATAATCTAAGAAATGATTTACATTTAATAATCCTGATCTACATTTTCATGACTCATGCTGTACAGTTTCATAAATCTTAAATTACATTGAAAAGAATCATGTTCTAAATTTCACTTTTTTAACAGGAAAATGGAATGATGCACATTGTGCCGAAAAGAAAGGATTCATATGTAAACAAACAACTGGTGTGAAACAACCGACAACCCCTACTCCTCTTATGACTGGGTATTGTCCTGCTGGATTTAGAGCTCATCGTAATAAATGTTACAAAGTATTTACAACCTTGAAGAATTGGACAGATGCCAATACTGCCTGTCAGGCTCTGGGTGGTGGAAGGAAGGGATATTACCTTGCTAGTATTGGGAATGTGTTTGAGAATGGTAAGTTTTGGAGAATCACAACATATTGATTAAGCAGTATGAAAGATGGTCACCTTTTTCAGAAATTAAGTGAATGAACTTTTGGTCACACAGTTCTCAAATACTACTGAACATAACGACTTTTTGTCAACTACTCAACAGTGATTAATTTTTGTAACTCGTGTGTGCTTTGCAGATCTGTCAAATAGATATAAGAAGATGTGGTATGAGTGCCAATGAGATAACTCTCCATCCAAGTCAAAATTTATAAAAGTAAACCATTATAGGTCAAAGTACGGTCTTCAACACGGAGCCTTGGCTCACACCGAACAGCAAGCTATAAAGGGCCCCAAAAATTACTAGTGTAAAACCATTCAAACAGGAAAACCAACGGTCTAATCTATATAAAAAAGAGAAACGAGAAACACTTATGAACTACATCAACAAACGACAACTACTGAACATCAGATTCTGTTTTCTGATACTTTGAATTACAAGTAGAGGTATCCTTAGCACAACAACTCTTGCATACTGTTTATGTTGTCTGATTGCTTTCTCATTTATTCAGAAACCAAATCTCCTTTTATTCATTGGTTCATACTATAAATTGGAATTGTAATTTTTGGGAGAAATTTTTTTTTAAAAAACATTGATTGGTGAATCTTTTATGAATACCTAGTCACTGAAGTGAATTAAAAAAAATATCATTAAATTGTACCAATTGTTCTGTACCAAATTCACATTTATACAAAAAATGATGTCTCTTCATTGAGTTTTATTCTTGCAATATACAGAACTATAAATTTTGTATTTCCAGCTTTTGTGACAACCTTGTTGCAAGGTTCTGGTGTTGAACCATGGATAGGTCTGAAACAAAGAAATGACCATCAGTTTTACTGGATAGATAATACAGACGTAACATATACCAATTGGGATGTAGGACAGCCTAAACGTCCTGAAGTAGGACCAAGTGGAAATTCTGTAAGTTGATTTGGAACAATACTGACATCTGATACTACTCATGTGTTACAGCATACTGTAAATTCCGAAATATTTGCCATGTTTTTGTCTCGCCTTGACGGAGTAAAAAAGCGAGACATTGTTATGCTGTTTCCGGCATCGTCCGAATATTTTTATTTCAACATTTGCATTATCAAAATTACAAAAAGGCGAGACATATCTCTGTGTAAAAAATTTATTATTACTGCGACCAGATGGGTGTCGCAAAAATAAAAAAATGCATTTCAAAATATTTTTAGCATTATTTGTGTGCAGAATTTCCTGAAATCGCAATATATAATTAAACTCATATTTGTAGCAATTGTTGAACAATCACAATAATAAATACACACAAAAATTCCAAATTTACAGTACTCTTTTAAGGATGTTTGCTACACTGTTTCAAAATAACAAGCTTTTAAAAGACTTATAAATTGATAAAATTGAGAATGGAAATGGGGAATGTGTCAAAGAGACAACAACCCGACCACAGAACAGACAACAGCAGAAGGCCACCAACAGGTCTTCAATGCAGCGAGAAATTCCCGCACCCGGAGGCGTCCTTCAGCTGGCCCCTAAACAAATATATATACTAGTTCAGTGATAATGAACGCATATAAATAAAGGAACTAAAAAAGCAGAAAAAAATGAAGGGTCAGTGTTCTTGTTTTCAAGATATGAGCCATTGAAAATTTGGCAGGAACTGATTCTCTCTAGATTTTTCATATATTTAACATTTGCACCTTTTTTCTTCCAAAAACTATGAAAAAATAACAAGGATTATATAAGATTTTCAAAAATTGCCTTTTAAACAATATGTTATAAGATTACAAAAAGAAAAGTAGGTGTTAGCTGGCAAAATTTTTATTGGCACTACATGGATAAAACTAGAGGATTCCAAATATCTGACAAAAAGTCAAAAGCAAGAGTAGCGAACATCCTTAAATGTATATAAAGTGCAACAGTTGAAATCTCCTTATTTGTTAGATGGACCACTCTTTTGAAAAATCATCTGTTATACTGATTAGCTATAAGTCATTGTACAATAACAAAAGAATGCTACTAGAACCAGTGCACCAGTTTCTTTCAATATTTACAATTTACTATAATGATTCCAGGCATATAGGCACACATAAACTCAATGTACGAACTGCACACTAAGACAATGCAGCTTTAACATATTAACTCCAAAGTTGTCATTTGCATTAAGATTTTGCTAATAACATGTCCTTAAATGATTTAGACTATTCTTTGTTAGGTGTTTTTGTTATATCGCTGTAAAAGATATTAATGTGTTTGCTATATTGATGTACTGGAAAACAAATTAATTAATCTGTAGTAAATTTATGGAAACTTACTTTCTATTTCTACATTTGCATTAATTTTTCAAGTATATGCAATGTTATTGAAGTGATTTCATAGAAATTTGAAGAATTAAACACATTTTCATTGCTCACATGAAATACACGAATAATTATACCTTCTATAGGTATGGTTGATTTTGACTGGTTGATAGCCAGTGTATTTTTCATGTATTCTCTTTTATCAAATGAATATCATATATTTTTCCCAATCCCTGGGGACTATGCACAAGTATTTGTCCTTAAATGATTTAGATTATTCTCAAGACAGGTCTTTTTTTTAAAATTTTAGACAATATGATAAATCTGTTTAATTTTTAATTAATAAGCATGACAACAAATGCCACAATTTCTTGTCTCATTTTTATGATAGAAATAATTATGTATTTATTATATTTTGATAAAAATATCAATTTATGTTACATGTATATTTATACTTTTTAGTTGGTATGTACAAGAATTTATAGTGCCCTTCATAATGCTGGTAGATGGAGTGCCTCTCTATGTAGTTTAAAGAAGGGATATATCTGCGGCACTAATAAAAGTAAGTTGGATTTAGAGATAAACTTTAGTACCACATTAGATGGTATTTCAATTTAAATTCTATGTAGCTCAGGCTGTAAAACATCTTGACACAAGTTCATTTATATTTTGACCTCTGCTATGAATTTAGTTTAAAAAAATTAGCCTGAATTTAAAGTTTTGAAGAATATGACTGGCAGTCTGACATGGTCTGCTTAACCCTGCCACATTGTGTATGTGCCTGTCCAAAGTCAGGGGCCTGTAATTCAGTGGTTGTCGTTTGTTGCTGTATATCTTATTTGTTTTTCGTTCATTATTTTGTACATAAATCTGGCCGTTAGTTTTCGCGTTTGAATTGTTTTACATTTGTCATTTCGGGGCCTTTTATAGCTGACTATGCGGTATGGGTTTTACTCATTGTTGAAGGCCGTATGGTGACCTATAGTTGTTAATTTCTGTGTCATTTGGTCTCTTGTGGAGAGTTGTCTCATTGGCAATCATACCAGATCTTCTTATTTTTTATATTAACAAAGGACAACTTTGTAATGTATGTGGTACCAAAAATTACTGTAAGTTCAGAAATTATTGCATGCATTTATTATTGCGATTTTTTAATATTTATTAAAAATGTGAGTTTAGTTATTGCGATTTTAGGAAAAGCTTCATACACATATACACATATATGTATCATCTAAGTTATTATTGCGACACTCAAGGAGTCGCATTATTCGCATTAATTAAAACCTCGCATTAATTTCTGAATTTACAGTAGTTATTTTGTATGAATAACTACTATGTGAGATGTATAGTACTTTGCCTAAAAAAATTAAAATCTTAATGCTAATTTTAGCCCTTTGTGAACCTATTCCTTTCCAGGCTCTTCATGGCATGCCAAATAGCTTTAATAATTGTTTCAATGGGTACAGGGATATATTTTTTTATTCAGATTGGCTGTAGCCATGCTTTGTAGGCATGTACTAGTCAAACTTTTGTTTTAGTTCATGTTTAACCTGATAGTTTTGTGGATTTATTCATGTTATTTATCCTGCCATTTGATTCATATTTTTTCTAAGGCTTTGTCACCTACACAAAAATTAAGCTGAAAGTATGGTATGCCATACCATCTGCATGCATTACCTGTACATGAATATCAATTGTTATTTTCTGTTTATGTTTCAGAGTCATACATCACTACACCAGAAGCTATACCTAATCCCTGTCCTTCTGGTTACCTGTCTTATGGCATGGACTGTTTCCAGTATGTACCAACCAAAGCCACATGGTCTGTAGCAGACGCAGATTGTAAATCAAGGAAGAGCTTCCTAGCAACATTAGCTAATCCATTTGAACAGAACTTCTTGTTTCTGATGATTAATGATCCTACAGTGAGACCTTCAAAATCTTCTGTTTGGATAGGACTCAATGATGTCAGAGTGAGTACCCAGTTTTAAAATTTAGTTTTTTTGCTGGTGGATGTATAAAATCTATGTCTGTCCATATTTATAAAAGAAACAAAATTCCTAAACGCACATGAAAAAAAAGAAGGAACAACTCTTTTATTGTTGTTCCTCATCTCAAAGTCACAGTGAGGCCCTTTATATGACCATATTTACATCTATCTGTATGGCGTAAATGAAAGTATATTTCTTGGAAATCAATAAGGGTATTCAAAACACACTTATTGAACAGTTGGATTATCATGACTAGGTCTTACAGTTTGCATTTGGCGGACTGGTCTTGGTGCTATACATTTAGGTAAACAGGTAGCTTTTTTTATGCGACTTAAAGGACTACTAACTTTTCTTGAAAAATATTGTCTAGATAAAATATGATGTATTCTTGAGAAGATTATCTTTTGCATGCAATACTCATGGTGAATTATTGACATCATTATCTATTGATTTCTCAAAGAGTTTAAACAGTGATTTAAGTTGGTATAAACTTGGGCGTTAATGTAAAGTTCACCAAGTTAAAACAGTATGCCATGTGGTTTTTGTCTCGCCTTGAAGGAGTCAAAAAGCGAGACATAGGTATGCTGTTTCCGGCGTCAGCGGCAACAATATATTAGTTTGTGATTAGGTCTAGTTTATGGTGAACCACTAGTGGTAGGTCAATGATATTTGGTATGCAGTTGTATAAGCATTGGCACATCTCATTACTATGGAGATTATTTGGCCCCACCCCCTCAGTCATGGTTTATTGACTTTGAAACTTTGCTTAGTTTACATGTATTAGTTTGTGATTAGGTGAGTTTTTCTGCGGAACCACTAGTGGTAGGTCAATGATATTTGGTATGCAGTTGTATAAGCATTGGCATATCTCATTTCCATGGAGATTATTTGGCCACACCCCCTCTGTCATGGTCTATTGACTTTGACATTTTTGCTTAGTTTTCATGTATTAGTTTGTGATTAGGTCAGTTTCTGGTGAACCACTAGTGGTAGGTCAATGATATTTTGTATACAGTTGTATAAGCATTGGATTATCTCATTTTATGAAGATTATTTGGCCATGCCTCCTCTATCATGGTCTATTGACTTTTAAATTTTTGTTTAGTTTTCGTGTATTAGTTTGTGATTAGATCAGTTTAAGGGGAACTGTTAGTGATAGGTCACTGATAATTGGTATGCAGTTGCATAATCATTAGCTGATCTCATTTCCATGGAGTATATTTGGTCCTTACCCCTCAGTCACCGTCTCTAGCAGGAAATTCCGAATGTTAGTTCGGAAATATATAAGTTCGGAGTATTCGGACTTTTCCAAGCTACAAAAAAATATTTTCATGCAAAACAAGAAGTTTTTTAAAAAAATTCCAAGCTGTTCTCCGCATTTATTCGGAATTCCAAACTTTTATTCAGAGATTTATTCAAAATTCCGCATTATATTCGTAGAATAATTCGGAGTTGTGAGAAAACTCCGAACTGACCTCAGAAAATAGGTCGGAGTTGTCCAAATACTCCGAATTGACCTCGGAAAATCTGTTGGAGTTGTCCAAATACTCCGAAGTAAGGTCGGAAAATTATTATTAGTTTGGAAATCCACTGAAACATTCGGAAGTATTCTCCAAATCATTCGGAAATATTCTCCAAATCATTCGGAAATATTCTCCAAATCATTCGGAAATATTCTCCAAATCATTCGGAAAATTCGCCGAAGCATTTGGAAAACTTCTCCGAATCATTCGGAAAATTTCTCCGAATCATTCGGAAAATTTCTCCAAATCATTCGGAAAATTTCTCCGAATCATTCGGAAAATTTCTCCGAATCATTTGGAAAATTTCTCCTAATCATTCGGAAAATTTCTCCAAATCATTAGAAAAATTCCTCCAAATCATTCGGAAAATTTCTCCGAATCATTCAGATATATTTTCCAAATCATTCGGAAATATTCTCCAAATCATTCGGAAAAACTTTTCCAACATTGTAGAGAATTTCTGAACCAATCCAAATTATTTGACAATTTTTCTGAATAATTGATAATTAGTTTGTTCGTTCTGTCATGATTTTTGAAGATATCAATATGAAATTAAATATATCTATCCCATAATTCAATATTATTGAGAAACAATTCTATGAAAAATAAAATTTATTAAACTTCAACATCTGATAACAATATCACATACAAGAAAAATAAATACAAGCAATTGTCACATAAGAAATTACTAAAAGGGAAGCTCTATTTTACCATACATTTGAAAATGACTTATACATGTCAAGTACTATGAATAAATATATGTCTACAAAGTAATGCACTATTTGAAAAAGACAGTTTAATCATCAATCGCACTATTTGAAAAAGACAGTTTGATCATCAACCATGGAAACAAAATCATTTTTTTCCTTCCAAACTGGATTACTTGGCAATGCTGGCACTTGGTTTTAGGCATTCTGCTAGCTTGCCGTTGATATCCTTTTTGGACACATTGGGCCACTTCTTGAATATGATATCTGAAAAAATAAAAAATCAATATAAATCAAGTTTATAAGATGTTGTAACCATATCAAAAGCAATTTATGAATTCATTTCAAGAAAAAAATCTGCATAGCTAATCATACTGCAAATATCAGAAATATTGCATATTGCCTTTTATTCTGTCTTGTACAATGTACTAGGATGAGAATTATTTATCATGTCTCCCTTGTCAATTGGTTTTAAATTGTTATATAACACTGCAGAATTTTTCACAGGATAATGCATTATCTGTGAAGAGGCCAGAAAGTTGAATAAGTTCAAGGTCCTTTTGTGTATTTTTAAAGTTTGTACAAAAAACATCAGAACACAATACAGTATAGCTGTAGAAAGCAGTTTTAACGTGTAGCACATAGATTTTAGTTGTGTACTTTGTTTAAAGACTTCACAGCAGTAATAATTTTATATAAATAAATTCTTGTTGATAAAAACTTCAATCATACCATAAATAACCTGAATTCTGTTAGGGTGTTGTAGGGCTGGTTTGGCCTCATACTTAGAATTAGCAGCAACACCAGATATACTTCTCCCCTGGCGCTCCTGGTCACTGTATAGCAGTCTCAGTAATACCTTTGCACATTTACTATAGTTTTTTAATTTCGAAACCTTGGCTTCTAAGATTTCCTGAAGTTAAAAAAAAATATTGTAGTCATAAGCTTATTAATACATAATCATGTTAAATCATAATTTAACTAATGAGATATAACTATCAACGACATAACATTGATTTATATATAAATGCTTTTTTGAAAATGACTTACTTAAAGTATAATACAATGAGAAACTATTACTAAATATATCAAAATGCATTTTGTTTCAAATGTATAGTTTCATTAGTATTAATATATGCTATTAAATCAGACACAAGCAATATTTTCATGTGGACTATTTTTTATGGATACATTAACATATCTCTTTTCTTATTTAATGTTAAGTTTGGTTGCTGTCGCATTGATTTCTACCAATATCTTTATAAACAAGAATGTGTCCATAGTACACAGATGCCCCACCTGCACTATCATTTCTATATTCAGTGAACCATGAAATTGGGTTTAAAACTCTAATTTGGCATTAAAATTAGAAAGATCATGTCATAGGGAACATGTGTACTATGTTTCAAGTTTATTGAACTTCAACTTCATTAAAAACTTCAACCTGAAGCGGGACAGACAGACGAACAAACAGACTCACAGACCCAAAAACATGATGTCCCTAGGTGGGGCATAAAAAATATAATACCTGTGTGTAGTTGTTGTAAAAGGCAACTGTGGAAGAGGCTGCTGTATCCTATAAATTAAAATAAACTGTTAAAAAATCAGAAAGATTGCATTTTCAATTCAAGGAGTTCAAAAGTATGTTTCTTTCAAATTAGTACTATTGTTTCTTTTGTTGTTGCTAAAAATAAGCATCACAAGTGATACCAGCAGCCTTCTTATTCCAAGCATTTTAGAGCCTTTTATAGCCATGATAGCTGACAAAAAGATATGGACTTTGCTCATTATTTAGGGCTGTACGGTGACCTATAGTTGTTAATTTCTGTGGCATTTGGTCTCTTGGATAGTCTCTTTTGGCAATCATACCAAATCCTCCTTTTTATATATAGCATTTGCACTTAATTATTTCAGTGTAAATAATGTTGTATTAAAAAAGAAATGATCATTTTCTTTAATAATTTTTACCAGTTTCCATTATAATTATTCTTGATTTATAAGAAAATTTTAACATTTAAAAGATAGACAAATTGTTTCAAGGTTTTCAAAAATTGTAATTGATATGATACCTGAATAAATGATGAATTGGCAGATTCTATATGTGTTGTACCATCTGGAATACTGATGTCAAGAGTTTCATCATGTGATGTGGCCAATGCAATACTGTTTGAAGATGTCTGCTGGTTTGAGATTGAAGATAATTGATGGTCAGTTGACTGAGTTGATGATAACCGAGTAGTTGATGACTGAGTAGTTGATGACTGAGTAGTAGATGACTGAGTTGTTGATATCTGTTGGTTGTTGTTACTATTTTGTTGATAGCTACTCTCACCTCTATTGCTAGTACCAGGCTCATTGCATGAGGAATTATGCCAACCCTGAAATATAAAAGAAAAATATAAAATACAATTCATAACCATAATACTTGCAACTTGCTTGTTTCAATAATCTTTACAACTCTGGCACATCTAACTAAAATAAATAATTATTTTAATAATCTGTACAACTCTGGCACATCTAACTAAAAAAAATAATAAAATAATGATATTCAATTATTTACCATGTATACAGTGATCCTGAAATAGCTTTTATCATCCATATTTAGATATTCAACATAAAATTTGACTTGATCAATTAAATGACTTGTAGTATATTTTTCAATTAATTTGATTTGAGAGTCATTAGTGAGTCTTGTATAGACAAAACATGTGTCTGACATGCACAAAAATTATAAGCCTGGTACATTTTGATATCTCTATAAAGTTGCTGCAATGCTTTTTATGACACATTTTTAAGCTTTAGCTTTGAAAATACATAATTGAATATTTATGTTCCTATTAGACACACTAATTTTTTTACAAATATTTGGTCTTTTTTTTTTAACATGAAATCATTTGTCAAATATTCTAATAATGTTATTTTCACCAAGATGGGTACTATGGAGGAACTTTTTATTTCTATAAGTATAAATCTGAGGAAAAGAATTATTGGTATAAAGATACATAATAAAACTAACCTGATTCTTACTCCACATTATCTGCACATAATATTGGAGATTACTAAGTTGATGTTGTAAGCTCTGGTTGAGGTTTTGTGAAGACTGCAGTTGGCTCTTTGTTGAAAGGAGCTGGCTATTAAAGGACTGAAGCTGGTTTTGTAGACCACATATCTGGTTGGTGTTGGACTGTACCTGCTCCTGTAGAACTGTACAGTCAATACAAACGTCACGCTCCGGTGTTCCAGGCCTACAATCCGATACCAAAATATCCATCGACTCTCTTACAACTTGGCTGATTGGTAAGTACCTACAAAATTTTAAAATTGTTATGTTGGGACAAAAACATAGAGCAACAGCATTTTTTGCTGATTTGGATCTAAAATAAAATATTATTTAAATAGATAAAAACTTTTGTAGATGTGTTATGTTACATATGTATATATATATATATTAAAATCAATTTATTGATTTTCATTGACATTCAATGATATCAAAGATCTGACAATGTCTTTATGGTTTTATAGTTGAGATGATGCATACTGTTTTTGTTTTAAGCATGCAGTTATTTTCAGTAAAGTTCCTTAAGTGTAACCATACAGTAATTAATGTCTTCCTTTTAATTTTTTTTTTGTTTAATCAAATAAAATTCAGTTGATTTATGTCGGTGTGGAGTTACCCATACATACAAGAAATCAATTTATGTCCTACTGTTGTGGGTTGGACATATCTACAAATAATGTACTTACCTGTTTTCCTCAAGCTGCTGGTGAAGCTCTGTTACTTCAAGTTCTCTGGCAACTGTCTCAAGGTTTTTCTGAAAATTTAAGATATAGGTCAATGGTGTTTTTTGTTTATCTTTTTGTTCTACATAAGACAGTGTGTTTTCTTGTTTGAATTGTCTCTTTTGGTCCTTTCTAGCTTGAGGTTTGGTGTAAGCGAAGGCTCTGGATTAAAGGCTGCATTGAAAGCTATAATTCTTACTTTGATTACATAATACACATTGTTTCTTGGATGAATAGTTGTCTCATTGGCACTCATACCACATCTTCTTATTCATATTGTGTCTTGGATAGAGCATTGGCATTCATGGCACATTTTCTTATTTTTAAAAAGACTATAATCAATTATGCAATTCTAGCATCAAAATAGTGCCAGAATAGAAAAAAACAAGCATTCTGTGAGTATTGCATGGCAATACATAGTCCCCTACTGGTTAAAAATTCATTGTAATGGAGCAAACCTACCACTAAATTCTTCAAACAATTTACTAAAGAAAAGGAAAAAAATCCAACATGTCATTTATTAAAAAAAAGATTTATTTCCCTTTGAACAGAAATCTAGTAATTAATAAGTATTTCATCAAAAATTTATTTCTAGGGAAAGGGCTTTAACTGAACAAGGAGAAAATCTAAAATCGTGAAAATCGAACTTGATCTGTAACTTGTAATGATAAAACATTACACCAAATATTAAATCAATATCTTCAAGCATGAAGAAAAAAAGTCTGGAAAACTGATTTGCTGGACTGACAGAGTGCAAACCTTAAAGTCCCCTTCGACTTCGTCGGTAGGGGACTAAAAAGGAAGATAAATTAATGAAACTTTCACATATGTCTTAACTCCCAATTACTTGGGTAAGTTTGTTACTTGTGTTGTTTACAACAAAAATAATCATACCATAAGGAAAAAAACATTCTGTTGATTCAACATACATACGAAAAAACACATACCTCTACTGGTTTTGGTGCTGATTTTTCTTGTTGTGTCTTGCGCTTTTTTGCAGGAACTGCAGGTTTCTCAACTACAGAAGTTTTGGAAGATGTCTAAAAAAGATACAAAAAATAATGTTTTATATGATAATAACTTCAATATATAATATATACAAGGGTGAAGGTTGGTACCTATTAAAGCGTTTCAACTTGCTGCATTTGTTTGCACCTGTCCTATGTCAGGAATCTGATTTTCAGTAGTTTTTTTACGTGGTTTATAAGCGTTTCTCATTTCTATATTTAGATTAGACCGTTGGTTTAACACTAGTCATTTTTGGTGGTCCTTTATAGCTTGCTATTCGGTTTTAGCCAAGGCTCCTAGTTGTAGACCATGCTTTATCCTATTATTGGGTACTTTTAAAAATTGTGATTTGGATGGAGAGTTGTCTCAATGGCACTCATACCACATCTTCTTATATCTATGTCTCATTTACTTATATAGAATGCATTTTTTATTATTTTGAGATTAGAAAATCGAATGGTCAATAATCACCAAAAAAATTTCTTTTAAATATTTGTACCTTTTGTTTATAATTCTGTTGGTCATGAAAGCTTGTGAGAGCTGTATTTTAATAATTTTATTCGCATATGATGTTTATTTTAGTGCTTAATATTGTAACGGATGTAAATGATTATATTTAAAGTGAACCCTGAAAAAATTAAACTTGACACTTGACTTTCCATGCAATATTAAAGATAAAAACCTTGTCAGGGATCTTTTCTGTTCTTTTCTCTTTATCTTTTTTGACATACTTCTTGACAAGCTGATTGAACTGGTCACCTTTAAGACTGTCTTCTAGCTGTTTCTTCTCTTCTAAAGCTAAAATACATGTACCAGATATATAAAATACTATAACCAAGCTATTTTTTCAATTAAATTTTCCTCATTGGATAATTATTAGAATAGTCATTTTCATACTTTGACAAGAAAAGTTTAAACATTTGCTTATTACAAAATTTAAATTTAATATGATCAAAGCTAGAAAAGGGTATTCTGTATTTTGCACAATGTAATTAGTTCTCTTATTAAAAAAACCTGTCAAATGTACCAAGCATTCTGTTATAATAAATAATTATTTTTATTAGACTTGCCATTTAAAAAAAAATATTGTGATTTCATCATGTGGTCACAAAAGATTGAATAATAGATGTGTATTAAAGCATTTTTTGCAATGTGCATGTACATGTATTATCAAGATTATTAAAAAATGACGAGTCAGATATCCAAATTGCTTCTTCCTTTTTTTTAATGGCTGTCTTTTAGTTTCATATATATTTATAATTTGAAAATTCTCTGCTATTTAAACATGTTAAATGCTGATGTTGATTTAACAATTGTCTTTTATTTTAATCTAACCTGTCACTAAGATCTATTAATCTAATTTTAAGGAAACTGTTATAAGATACTAACATTTAAACATGTTTTACAATTTGGAAAAAAAAACACTATATATTACATTTGATCTCATCTGACCATACATAATAATAATTTGGAATTCAAGCTTTTATTTTAATAATTTTTTTGGCAGATAATGTTAATCTTCAATTTTGTCATTTTTTAAATCTTTAGTGAATAATAGTTATTTATGAATGTTAATAGTTGATGGTGAATATGACCTTGTAACAGTAAGCTTAAAGGAGTTACATTTCTTCTGGGTAGAACTGAATACAAACCCATGGCCATAACATGGGTGCTCCGTTGTGGAGGAAGTAAAATAGGAAGGTCAGGATTCTTTTCCCCTCTCTAACTAATTAAACTTTATTTCAATGAGATAAAATTATTTAACCTTGAAATTCACAAATTCTACTTAGATGTATGCACTTACAACCAATCTTTGCAATAACACCGCTGTGTACACCAGGAAAACCAGGGCACTTTGACTTTACTGTCTCACCGACACTGTACTCATTGAAGGCTTTGCGTGGCTCAGCGATGTTTGTAACCTTCACAACGTTGCCTTGGATAGGATCGTCGTTTACCCAGATGATAAGAACAAACATACCAGTAGAAGCCATTGCAAATTGCTGTTTTGATCGTCATGCTGTATCACGGTGTTTTATATTTCAAAATATTTACAATTTTTTGGCGCCGCCCAACCAGTTCACTGATTGGTCAAGTAATTTTATTCGGTATGTTCCGTTCAATCCCGGCATGTTTTGACAACAATATTGTTACAAAACCTACGTTATTTCTCAACGATAGTTCTCTAAATATCTCAATATTAAAAAAACCCATTAAAATCGTATTGATAAAATCTGTATTATCGCTATTTTTTCATTCTTGATAATAAATTTTGTTTCCCACAATGCAATAAATGTAAACATTCCGCCATCTTGGTTGTTTATTCAGAATACAGAATTAATTACAGCAAGAAGGAAAAAAACGATTTATAGGTACAAATCAACTGCAGGCCCTTAATAATTGATCGATCTTGTCGTATAAATACCAATTTCCTGATAGACCTTGAAATAGATACAGTTATGAAACGAACATTTGCAAATTATCTAAACATGTACCGACTACCGTGCAGACACATAACTGCAAGTTGTTACATTGTAGTTGAGTGCCAGGGCATACAGAACATTTGCAAATGATCTTGATAGCACGAATCAGAAAATTAGATTGTCACATCAATCATGAAGTTTTGTTTCATATACAGAAATCAATACACAAAAAAAATACCACGGAAATCTTGTGCAATTAAACTGAAAGTGAAAAGGCATTAAATCTCCTGATGAAGTGATGTAAATATTCCCACGATACATTTTGAGCACAAATTTTACTTATTTTTGTTCTTTAAGCATTGTGTTAAAGTATCTAATCAAAACTAATGTCTTTTTACCATATAATAAAGAGATAAATATTGGCCTGCTTTTAATTAACCCATTACCACCTTTTCTTTTAAAAGATAAGGTTTTTAAATTTTACTACTGAGTGACACAGGTGGTCTGATGCAGAGGTATTTACGATGTAGAGGCAATACAATCCATTTATATATTTTTAAAATGGAACCCTAAGTCATCTCCTTTATTAAGGTCTCATTTTCTGGCAAAGAATTTTATGAGTAAGACACAGAATTATACCATTAATCAAAAGCAAAGACTTAATAAATACCCATCAATCTAAATATATATATTTATATGCGTGTAGATTTAATACTTCCATGGTCAAAATCTAACAAAAAAAAATGGTTAAACTAGGCTTTATGGGACAATAGGTAATTTTATTGTAAATCAGTTTGTGTCATCGAATAAAAATATTTGTGTTTGTCGTATTTGCTTTTACATTGTACTTAAAAGATTAAATATATGCCCCCTTTGACTGTGATTTCATACAATATTAAACTTTGTTTCACATTCAAAATGTATTGTCATAACTTAGACATGTAAGCTGAACTTCATTGCAATGTTTATTGGCTTGCACTCACATTGTAAAGACCAACAACAACCCAAATAATTATCAATTAAGTATGGAGCATACAAGAAAAAGTATATTGAGTTTCGTGCGTATGAAGCTTACCATCATAAGTTATTATGTAAATTTATATAAAATCAAAAGAAAACCAACTTTATAAAAAGCTATCAAAACACTGCTGATGGTTGTCAACAATTTCTCAAAAGAAGCCATAGTCTTCTTGATTGCATACATAAAGTCTGATGAGTCATACACAAACATGCAAATGCATGGCTTTCTTAATGAGTTAATGTACAGCTTGTGTTCCTTTTCAATATAGTTCATGGCTAAACAAACTTTTAGTGATTATAATAACATGTGCAGCTTATTTTCCCATCGTTTGAATGATATTAATTAATTTTTGAATTCAAAAAAAAATTTACCACAAACAAACCTTGATTGATCATATTAACATGATTAAAAGTCCTTATTATACATTTCAATATTCATTAATAATCTCAGATGCTGGTGTTATAAACAGTTTTTATAAAATCATTTTTAATTATTAAAGTTAAACTTCTTTTCACAGGTCTCTGTTTTATATAAACAAAGATATAAACATTGAAAAATTTATATGTTATTTACCATCATCTTTTTAGAAATTAATATATATAAAACACTGTACTATATATAGATATTTGTTAATGTTTTGAAATTTTCCATTTTAAAATGAAACATATGTTTCAAGATTTGTTGACTGTATCAAATCTGTCATTGTATCACTTTCTTTTGTTTCATTGTTTCTTTCCCCCCCTTTTTTTTGGTGATCTGCCAACTAATTTACTGAAATTTGATGGAATTTATTCTTGTAATAGATTGAAATGCTTAGACAAAAAAAATACACATGTTTCTTCTAACTAGCTGAAAACAGTAGGCAATATTATTTTATTTTACAAATATTTATTAGCTGGATACTACTAGGGAATCAGTCTTGAATTTAATATTCCTACTTCAAAAATGGCATAAAAAGTCTAAGGGTGAGCGAAAGATATGTATATAAAAAAATTGAAGTAAGATAAAATCTGATTGCAATGACATATTGATTTAAAATTTGTTTATTAGGTTAGACATTTCCTGTCCTGTCCTGATTACATTGAAGCCATATGGTTTTATGATCTAAGAGGTCCTTGTCATTCTTATTAATCAAGAATTGTTTATGTAGGAAAAATATTTTTTAATAATGATACCTTTCTATTGTTTTGAAAGTTATTTCCTTTGATATGTGTAATACCTGCATTACCATTTTACTACGAATTTTGACACTTCTTTATTGACAATAAACAAGCTTTAATTCAGTTTTAAAGCCAAAAAATTAAAAAAAAAATGCATGACACCACCAAATAAAATTATTTCAGATTTATTGGTTGAAGTTAAATTTAACAATGATCAATGTCACGTAAATATTATTTTAAAGCAATGAAAAACATGAAAATGGATAAAGGATCAATCAATCTGAAAAGAAAAAAATATATCTTAATTGGTATTTGAATGGTAAATGTAAAAATAGTTACAGGGAAAAATGTCACACATTTGATAAATGTATGGAAAACAGTAACAAATCATAAGAAATAATCTCCATGTTTGTTCAAATGTTAAATAATATTTTAATTAGAATAAGAATATTTACTGAAAACAATTAAATGGCTAGTTTCCCGAACTTAAACATATATACAGTATAGTATTAATTAAGATGGGTATGGTTAGCGTTTGTAATAATTATACATTCAGTCATGATAGTCATTTAGAGAGATATATAACATTAAAAAATAAATGATTAGATAACTATACCATGTATACTCCAAACAAGTTTATGTTTGAAAATAGGCCTTTTGAATTCTGAGATTGGAGCTATTTTTATGCCCCCGCCTTAGCGGTGGGGGCATTAAGTTTTATCCTTGTCCGTCTGTACGTTTGTACGTACTTACGTCCGTCCGTCAGTACCTCCCATAATTGGTTTCTGTTCTCTAACTTGAGTTTGCCTCAACCAAATGTTATGAAACTTATACACAATGCTTATTGCCAGAAAACACAGATCAAGTTTGAATTTTTGTGGCATCACTTTAACTGTTCTAGAGTTATGCCCCTTTAAAAATTTAAAAATTGCAAAATTTTTAGTTTCCGTTCTCTAACTTAAGTTTGCCTCAACCAAATGCTATGAAACTTATACACAATGCTTATTACCACAAAAACACAGATCAAGTTTAAATTTTGGTGGCATCACTTTAACCGTTCTTGAGTTGTGCCTTTTATAAATGGAAAAATTGCAAAATTTATAGTTTCCGTTCTCTAACTTAAGTTTGCCTCAACAAAATGTTATGAAACTTATACACAATGCTTATTACCACAAAACACAGATCAAGTTTGAATTTTGGTGGTGTCACTTTAACCGTTCTAGAGTTATGCCCTTTATAAATTGAAAAATTCCATGGGAATGCTGGGATTGATTTTTGGGGTAATTGCCTCCAAATTTTAGGAATTGGAGAAAAAAAGGGGCAAAAAACAAGCATTTTTCTAGTGTCACGACAATAACTTGTGTGTAAGTGTATGGATCTTTATGAAATTGTACTACAAGGTTCCACATCACAAAGGAAAAGCTGGAATTGAGTTTGGGGAAATTGCCCAAAAAGTTTAGGAACAAGGGGCAAAAAATAAGCATTTTTCTAGTTTCCAGACAATAGCTTGTGTTCAAGTGTATGGATCTCTCTGAAATTGTACTGCAAGGTACCATACCACAAAGGGAAAGCTGGGTTTGAGTTTGGGGGTAATTGCCCTAAATGTTTAGGAATTTGGGGCCAAAAAAAACAAGCATTTTTCTAGTTTCCAGACAATAACTTGTGTTCAAGTGTATGGATCTCTCTGAAATTGTACTGCTAGGTACAATACCACAAAGGGAAGGCTGGGATTGAGTTTGGGGGTGATAAATAAAAAGGGGGTTCAAAAAATTGGGGGGGGGATTTTTTTTTTCTTTAAAATTTTCCAGTTAACTAGAAGTTTAGAGGGAAGGTTAAGATCTCCCAATACATTTCAACAGCCCCCAGGACAGGACAAAAAAGTCACAAATACTTTGTTTATAATTGTTTAGATATATAAGAGAAGTTTTGAAATAATTTCTTTTTATCACATATATTTATTTTACAGTTAAGAAAATTGTTTATAAAACTTGATAAATGAAGATTTATCAAATTTTACTCATGCAAAGGATATATTTCTTGGCACCATGAGGTCATTTAAGTACATAGCCACTTTGACACATTAAAAAATAATATCAAAAGTGAATTGTGACTTTTTGTCCTGTGACTTTTTGTCCGTGACTTTTTGTCCTGTGACTTTCTGTTCTACATTCCCAACCTTCACCCTTACCTGGAACAATAGCTATATATATATATAGTGTAACATCACAACATAGAAAGACACAATCTTTGTTTTCGAGGTGTAGAGTGACATCCATTTTTCTGATCTAGTACACATTAGCATTTAGGGGCCTGCTCAAGCCCGCCTCTTGCTGCGGAATTTCTTGCTTTGTTGAAGATCTATTGGTGATCATTGGCGGCCTTGGGTTGTTTTGTACATTTGGATTGTGTTGTTGTCTCTTTGAGACATCCCTGTTTCCATTCTTTTTCTTAAACTATTGGAGCAGGTACAAAACAACTAACATTAAAATACTTATATTTCAATGTTTTTTAAAATAAAAATTTATCAATTTTGCAAAACCTAACTTGCCTAGCTATAGGAAGAAATTATTACTTGCAGAAACTTTTAGCTAAATAAGTTGATATGTTGATTTTATTCAACATATTTTTGTGACATTCCAGATGTACACTGTATAGATTGCTATAATGCTCACCAATAAACTGAAATAACAATCTTTATTTTTAACTATTGCAGAATAACTATGGATGAAGAAGAGCTTGCGGCTTGCAGAAAAAGTGGTAAAGAATGGAATTGTCCAGTTCCAAATTGTGGGAGATCATTATCAAGAAAACAAACTCTACAGAAGCATTTATGGAGCTGTCATGAAATTAAAGGTATGTTTAGGACTTGTTAGTTGTTTACATTAACAATATATATATGTACATGTAAATCCTCTTTTTTAAAATCATAAAAAATACCATATATAATAAAAAAAAAAACCAGATTATTTTCTAATTAAAATTCAAATCCCACTGATATTTAGTGTATGTGATAAAACAATCAATTTATAGGACTTGTATATATATTTGTGTTTCTGTCAACCCATAAGGAAACCATTTCGAAGAATAAACCTGCTGGTCTTATTAAAAAAAAGCTTTGCATTGTCTTCCAAATAAACAGCAATACGCTTGTTGCCTTTTTAAAGAAAGAAGTTCATTAACTTCTCATTGTCATGTAAGAACTTAATAAAAAAAAAAAAAAAAAAAAAATGGAGCTTACATCAATCATTGTCCATAGATATAAACAATTCACAAAAGCTTCATGCAAATCCGTTAAAGTTAAAGAGTTATTGTCCAACATGTTGACGACAAATTGACAGTATACCACAAGAAGTCCCATACACAGGCGTATAAAAACTATATGTAAATAGTTGCTGAATTACATTTTCATACCTGTAAAGCTACTACATGAAGAGATTTGAAAACACTTCACAAGAGCTGTAAGTTTATACATACAGAGGTGGATTGGGGGGGGGGGGGGGAGAGTGGGCGGGCCTCACCTTTTTTGGAAAAAATTTGGTTGATTATATAGGGAATCACTGAAGCATCACTGGAGCGGGCCTCCCCTTAGGCAGTCAGTGAGCCCCCACTTATGAAAATTTCTAGATCCGCCACTGACATATATATACTTATTTACTTGATATCAACTAAAAGTGTAAATGAGTTGATCGGGTAATTGTCAGTCAAACATGTATATTATTATAATTTAGATTTTTTAATCCAGGTATTGTACCATATTAAGAATAGTATTTGTGAAAATTGATCAAATACATGTAATGTTGATAAAAATATTGTTTTTATAATTTCAGCTGGTAACCCGTCAAAGAGATACAAAATGTATGAAGTCAGTGAAGATGTTCCATTGCCAAAGAGTACCTTTTACCATCAGTATGTTTTCAATATATCCATTTTTCCTCCTTTAAGATAAATAAATTAGAATTGCATTAAAAGACTTAATGGGTAGGCAAAAAAAGAGGAGATTTGATATGATTACCAATGAGACAACTCTCCATAAGAGACCACATGACACAGAAATTAACAGCTATAGGTCACAGTACGGCCTTCAACAATGAGCAAAACCCATACCACTCAAATTTAGCATTAAAAGGCCCTGAAATATGTCTGTGTTCCATAGGCAATATAGGAAAGGTTTACCGACATAAGATTCTGCCTCTGATGAAGGTCCCTTTTGGACCGAAACTGGTTAGGCTATGAAACATCACCAGGCGCTGTTAATTATGTGGTTGGCATATACTATATTTTTATGTCTGTGTTCCATGTTTGTACCTTTTGTGTCAGGCATTTAGCCACCAACTTGAAACTTTAATAGTATAAATGTTCTTTGTGATATGAGCTCTTGTAATTACACATCAAGGTTAATGAACATAATTATATAGTATGAGTGAGTCTTATTTTCGTATAGACTCATATTTTTGTTTCTACTGATCCAATATTAAAATGATTATTAGTTGACAATTTGTCAATTTGAATATCATGACTGGATACAATAAGAGTGTTTATAGTGATGAAATGTCCTTAAATGAATAAAACCTACAAAAAACCTGAGCTTCAAAACCTGTGTATAGTGAACTAATGTGTAAATCAAATCAAAAACAAATTTTCAGTAATTCTTTCTTTATTTATATCTTAGTTATTGAAATAACATATTCTACAAAATCAACAAATGTGTCTCAGTGTCATGCTAGCTCAAATACGCTAACTTAAAATATGAAGATATTTAATCTTCTGAACCATGTTTGAATTGTTGTTTTTATCCCTTTTGCCAGGAAAAGCCAAGAAGAAAGACAACTGTCTGAGACACCTGTTACAGCAGAGCCACAACAAGCAATGCAAGTTCAGGAAACTATGGAATGCATAGGTGATAATGGTGATGATTCTTCAAACATAATACTTGATACTGAAGCAGACATGGATATTGAAGATGAAGAAGAGCTAGTTGAAAATTTTGTTGAAAGTTTTGGACCACCACTATATGTCTTGCCACCTAGTCAGCAGGTATACAATGCTCCAATTCCACAGTATCATCATTACATGACCATGTGTGCTTTTGCAACTTACCACAGTCTATCAGACAGAGGCTTTCGTCATCTTATCCAGTTAATGGGACTCCATATACCCACAGAAAACCTCATGGAAACCAACATTGACACACTTAAACAAGTATGTGGTTTTGACACGGACTGCTTAATACATCATCTCTATTGTCCTGCATGTAAAAAACTCTTCACGGGTGACGTAGAAAACTGTAAGACACCAGGCTGCCTAGGAAAAAAGGAGAAGAAAACTGCCAACTATTTTGTGACTGGAAGTATGCAAGCCCAGCTAAAAGAGATCTTGGAAAGGGATGGTATATGGACAGCAGTTCAGGACTATGTAAGCAATAGATCTTCCGACCACACAACAATTTCTGACATTCTGGATGGTGAGGAGTACAGAAAGTTGAAGGAACCGGGTGGATTTCTGGCTGACAAGAACAACATCACCTTCTCACTATTCACAGATGGTATACCACTTTTTCAAAGTTCAAAAGTATCACTCTGGCCTGTGTACATGATTTTGAATGAACTGCCACCAAAACAACGCTTCACTAGGAAGAACATGGTGTTATGGGGAATTTGGCAAGGTTGCGGCAAACCACAAATGAACATGTTCCTGCGTCCATTGGTGGAAGACTTGATTGAACTATTTCAAAGAGGTACCGAAGTCAACATCAAGCAAACTGAGATAAGAACTAGAGCCATGCTGATTGTTGCTACGATGGACCTGCAGGCAAGGGCTTATGTGCTGCAAATGACACAACACAACGGAGAGCATGGCTGCTTATATTGTCTTGAGCCAGGAAAAGTAGTAAAGAGTGGTAAAGGAAATTGTAGAAGCTACCCATACAGAGATGTGGATCCGGAGCCAAGAACCAAAGAAAACATCAGAGCAGATGCCCAGGAAGCAATTGCCAGTGGAAAAAAGATTCGGGGAATAAACTCGGAAACTGTCCTGTCTTGCCTTCCATACTTCAATGTCACCACAAATGTTGTAATTGATTATATGCATGGTATCCTTTTGGGCATCTTAAAGAAACTTATGAGTTTGTGGTTTGATGCAAAGAACAGCAAAGAACCATATTACATTGGGAAGAGGGTCGACGAGGTTGACAAGATCATAAAGACCATACAGCCGCCATATTTCTTGAGGAGATTACCTCGAAAGATTGCTGGAAATTACAATCACTGGAAAGCATCTGAATTTAGATCCTGGCTGCTGTATTTCTCCCTACCAGCATTACAGAACATTTTACCAGATATTTATTTAACTCACTATAGCTTGCTGGTGGAAAGTACATTCATCCTCCTTGGTGAAGGCATTTCAGAGGCAGACCTAAGAAGAGCAGATCTCCTTCTCAGAACATTTGTAAGGAATTTGAACATGCTGTACAGAGAAAGTATTGTCGGCCTAAATGCACACAATTTAATTCACCTGACAAGATGTGTAAGGATGTGGGGGCCACTTTGGGCCTGGTCCTGCTTTGTTTTTGAGTCCTTTAATGGAGAAATAAAGAAGTGTATACATGGAACTGGAAATGCTTGCAGGCAAATATTTTGGTCCCTTCAGTGCCAGAAAAAGGTAGAGGCAATGGCAGTTCAATGCAAAGAAGACCAACTCAGAGACTTCTACCAGTGTATGACTGAAGGCAGTAATGCACGACAGAAAGGAGGCGAAGATGCTTACCAGTGTGTTGTCTTCACCCCTGCCAAGATTCAGAAAACAGTTCATTTCTCGAATAATGTGAAGGAAGAACTGGTGAGACTCTGTGGTTCATATGACACCAACAACTGGATGATAGTTAAAAAGATTTCTAGGAATGGATTTTTGATGTTTTCAAAACAGTGCTCTCGTGTTGTCAAAAGAAACTCCTACACTATCAAGATGATGGATAATTCAATTGTAGAAGTTGGACATTATCTTATGCACAAGTCTTCAAGGAAAGTGGTGGCCGTTTGCCAGAAGTTTCAGCCATTGGGATCACTGATAAGAAACCGTTTGCAGCATCTTCAGGCTTTTCAATTACAGAGGTAAATATTTTTAAGACTATACAGAAGCCTTCTATAATTTAATTGAAACAAATTGATTCAAAAACAGTATACACAAAGAAAAATTAACAAAAAGCAGAGGAACAGTGCTTTTAATGCTGCTATTCGTCACAGTTCAATTAAGGCATTCAACATTGAGCAAACTCCCACATCACTGCAGGTTTAATATGGCCCCTAGCACCAGTTATATATTTTCTGGTTTTTACACTGTTTACCTAGGGAAATAACTGACTTTGAAGATGCAGGAAATAACTAGTAGGGCTATAAGAAAATCTTAGTTTCAATATATTTAGCAAGATTGCCAATGAGACAACTATTAGTTAAAGGGCAAAAATTTAAACAATTACAAGTCAATATGTTCTTTACAGAAACAAATCACAGCTAGAAATGTCAAATACAACTCAACACAAAAAGGACTATTGAGATGGCACTTTAATTGTTTATATTTATGCAACCTAAATTTTCATGGCCAAATATAGGTAAAAAAGCAAATAAATAAACTTAACTTGCTGAAGAATTTTATACATGATCTTATGAATGTTTTTCCTTATTGCTTTCATTATGATTTAATAATACTCTTTTTTTTCAGTGTTGAAAATACTGTTGTAAGAGCTGAACTGCTACAAGAACCGGTTGTTGTTGTAAAGACTGAATCAAAGATTTGCTGTGGAGTTATCCCAAACAATGTGGAGCGAGACTGAACTTCTAAATTCCTGTTACTAAAGATGTAGAACTTTAAATTTCATAACTTAGTTCCTTAGAAATTTAAATGTTATACACATGTTATTTCTATTCTATTGCTGATATTTGTGTTGTTGATTTTTTGTAAGGAATGATCAATTTGAGTAGAGCAAACACTGTTGAAAATGGTCAGCCATTGTGATTTTTTTTTTATTATTATTGATCCATTTAATATTGGCCTTTTAACTGCCCAGTTGGAATATTTTTATATTTAGTTGAACTTGAACATGTTCTTTAATTGGTTAATGATTATAAATTTTTGTTAAAAGGATTTTTCAATTGATAATGATTTCTCACATAGGCAAAAATTCAAAATCTGAATTTGTGAATAACCACCTCAATGCAAATTTATTTAAAGAGTTATATAGTTAAAATATATTATAAAGTGTTTATATATATTGTAGTTAAGATACTGGCTTAGAAAGAGAAAAAACTATTTACATGCAATTTTTATGGAAAGCTGTGTGATTGTGTGTGTTTGTGTGTGTATTTGACAGAATGTATGTTGTGGAGAAGAGGTAATTGGCAAAAGTATAAAGATTATGGTACATCTATATTGTATATATGAATTAATTTGTGTGTTGAAAGGTTTCAATCAACATGGTAATTGTATAAACTGAATGATTTCATATGAAATTATTAAATTTTTTTCATTGAAATGTTTTATGTTTAATGTTTATTGAAAAATCGCAAGAAATACCAGGAGGACAATACAACACACATCTAATCATGAAAAAAAATCTTTTCATTGGATTTATGACTTTTAAAATTTTATCAAGAAATCCAAACCTTAAAACCATCTCTGACCTACAAAAATGACAAAGTCCAAACCTCCAAACCATCTCCGACCTACAAAAATGACAAAGTCCAAACCTCCAAACCATCTCCGACCTACAAATATGACAAAGTCCAAAGCTCCAGATCATCTCCGACCTACAAAAAATGACAAAGTCCCAAACTCCGAACAATCTCCAACCTATAAAAATGACTAAGTCCAAAACTCCGAATAATCTCTAAGATCTCCGACCTATAAAAACAACAAAGTCCAAAATTCCGAATAATCTCTAAGATCTCCGACCTATAAAAACAACAAAGTCCAAAATTCCGAACAATCTCCGACCTAAAAAACAACAAAGTCCAAAATTCCGAACAATCTCCGACATATAAAAATGGCAAAGTCAAAAGCTCCGAGCTTTTTCCGAGCCAAAAATTAACAAAGTACAAATTTCCGAACTTTTTCCAAGCTAAAAAAAAACTAAGTACAATTCTCCGAATTATGTAGCTCGGAACTCCGAGGTCATAGCTCGGAATTCCGACCTCAGCTTGGAATCTCCTGCTACGGCGGGGTCTATTGACTTTGAAACTTTTGCTTAGTTTACATGTATTAGTTTGTGATTAGGTCAGTTTAAGATGAACCATTAATCATAAGTCATTGGTATTTGGTATGCAAAAGTATTGGTATTTGCAAGTTTCATTCCACTGAGATTATATAACCCCACCTCCTCATTATGGTTTATTGACTTTGAAACTTTTGCATAGTTTGTGTTTAGGTTTGTTTAAAGAGAAAGACACATGGAAAGTCAATGGTATTTGGTATTCAGTTGTATTAGCATTGGCACATCTGATTTCCATAGATATTGTTTAGCCCTGTACCTTCAGTCATGGTTCATTGACTTTAAATATTTGCATAACTTACATGTTAAAGTATTGCTATTTTAATCTCAACATATGCATTATCAAAATAACAAATAGGCGAGACATATCTCTGTGTTAACAGTTTATTCCTGTATTTTTTTTAATTTAAGATTTCTGCATGGCAGTTTAAAAAGGGTAAATTTAATCCTGATGAAATTTACCTGCATTTTATAGTTTTCGTGTATGCATTATGTTAAAAACTGTGAAAAATGGACATGGAAAAAATAAAGGTTTACAGCTGTATATAAAGGATGTTTTCTACTCACATTTATCAAAATACCTTTGTTATTTTAAATATGAAAGATTTTCGCTGTATAAATCTAAAACATTGCTCTGGTTTTCAGAATTCTGGAAGCTACAGTTGGACACAATCAGGTTGGTCAGTTATTTACACAAATTGGGACAATGGTCAGCCAACACGGCCATCAGGAGGTGGATGTGTCGCAGCTAATATATCTGGACAATGGACTGACACTACTTGTTCTCAACCTTTACCATATGTGTGTAAAAATACAACAGGTAAGTTATGATACTGAGTTAATTGTAAGTGTTATTAAGATATAAGTAACACATTTGTAATTACCTTTTATCATAAAAGTTTATGGGACAAGGAAAAGTTACGAAATAGTCATTGTATTTTTGTCGAGCCTACGAAATTTAAGCAAGACATAGAGATCCTAGATTCCGCTGGCGGTGTCATCATTAAGGTTCAGTCTGTGGTTAAAGTTTTTTTACACATCAATAACTTTGTCGCACCTACATGGAATTTTATGAAATTTGGACGGAAGCTTGATTATGACCAATATACAGCATCAAGAGCAAAATTTTGAAAAAATTTATTTTCATTTTTTACGATTTTGCTGATAAATAGACTTAGTTTTATTTACAGTTAACATTCATATTTAGTCTGAGGTTAAAGTTTTTTAATCATCAATAACTTTGTCAAACCATCATGAAATTTTATGAAATTTGGACAGAAGCTTGTTTATGACAAAAATACAGTATCCACAGCAAATATTGAAAATATTTATTTCATTTTTCTGTAATTTACTGATAATTGGACTTAATTTTTTTTACAGTAAACAAGTAGATACAGTCTGAGGTTAAAGTTTGTTACATATCAATTACTTTGTCAAACTTTCATAGAGGTTTTTTTAACTTTGGCAGAAGCTTTTTAATAATTAATTATAATAAGAGATAATGTCTGAAGCAAACCATTGAAAATATTTGTTTTTTCATTTTTAGTATTTTTCTGATAGATGGACCTCGTTTTTTACAGTTAACATTTACAGACAATCTGAAATTAACATTTTTTGACATGATAAATTTGTAAACCTTCATGGATTGTTATGAAACTTTGACAGAAGCTAATCTTCAAGACCAAGAAATAACATCTAAAGAAAAAGTTTGAATTTTTATTAAGTCAACATTACACTTTTACACTGACAGCAGCAATCACAGGCAAGACACAGAGTTTACGAATTTTTATTTTATAAAATAGATAGATAAGCCAAATTGTTCAAGAAAAAGAGTTCCCATTTAATTAGTTTTTTGATTATAGTTAAATCTGGTATTGATATTGATAATTACTATTTACTCATTTATACATCTGGATCACAGGTTGATTTCGAATTGTCTGCTGTGGTAACCAGTTTTTTTCTCTCCCTTGGATGAAAGTTGCTTAATTTCTTTGTGGAAGGCAAGACATAGGTTTTACTTTTTCAACAATGGTGTCGTAGTTGTCGGTGTAAATAGTTGTTAAGTTTTCTGCTTAAGTCAGTTTGATAGGAATTTCTTATGATAGACAACAATAATTTCTATAAAGTGCATTACTAGCACTGCATTTCAGTTTGTCCACCTTTTCAAGTCCCTGTCCAATTAGCAATGTTGCTGTCCATAATTAGATTGTCTCTTTTTCTGAATTTTCTGGCAACAGCTAGCAGTAGAGACATATCTCTGTGTCAGCAGTTTATTTTTCTTGCATGTGATCAGTACTTTTTTAATTCATCAACAGTTGTAAAAATATCAGGTGTTGAAAACAAAATTTCTCAAGTCAAACTCAGGTAAATTCTAGCAGTTTCGCATAAACATATTTGATCTCAGTACTTCAAATTGTTTGAATACCTGATATCTCTAGACAAATTTCAAGTTGATCTTCTGCCATAAAATTGTTAACACACAAATGGTTTGGGAAGTAATTAAAAACTCAAGTCTTTGTATTTTGGAATCGTATGGATTAAATTTACAGAATGAGATGATTTTGTTCCTGAACATTTCCTTTTTTTAGCTCACCGGGGCCCGAAGGGCCCCATGTGAGCTTATGCCATCACTTGGCGTCTGTCGTCGTCCGTCGTCTGTCATTGTCGTTGTCTGTCGTCGTAAACTATTTCAATAATCTTCTCCTCTGAAACTACTGGGCCAAATACCTTCAAACTTTAACTAAATGTTCCTTAGGGTATCTAGTTTATAATTGTATCCGAAGTTTTGATCCATCGACAAACATGGCCGCCATGGCTAAAAATAGATTATAGGGGTCAAATGCAGTTTTTTGCTTATATCTCAAAAACTAAGTCAAATATTCAATTGGTCAAGATCTATCAGCCCTGAAATTTTCAGACGAATCGAACAACTCATTGTTGGGTTGCTGCCACTAAATTGGTAGTTTTAAGGAAATTTTGCAGTTTTTGGTTATTATCTTGAATATTATTATAGATAGATATAAACTGTAAACAGCAATAATGTTCAGCAAAGTAAGATCTACAAATAAATTGTCATGACCAAAATTGTCAGTTGACCCCTTTAGGAGTTATTGCCCTTAATAGTCAATTTTTAACATTTTTTTGTAAATTTTTGTAATCTTTTACAAAAATCTTCTTCTCTGAAACTACAGAGACAAATTTAACCATACTTGGCCATAATCATTATTAGGGTATTTAGTTTGAAAAAATATGTCCGATGACCCCGCCTTCAATCCACCATGGCAGACTTTGTTAAAAATAGAACATAGGGGTAAAATGCAGTTTTTGGTTTATATCTCTGAAACTAAAGCATTTAGAGCAAATCTGACAGGTGGCAAAAATGTTCATCAGATTTAGATTTATCTGCCCTGAAATTTTCAGACGAATCCGACAACTTCTTGTTGGGTTGCTGCCCCTGAGTTAGTAATTTTTTACAAAAATTTTGCAGATTTTTGTTATTATCTTAGATATCATTATAATATGTAATATCTAATACTATTAATTATGATTTTAACCTTATTTTACATGATTTCCAAAGCATCAGTAAATACAGGTGAACGACACAGGCTCTTGAGAGCCTCTAGTTTTAATTTGGAGTTATGAGCAAAAAATGAAGTTAACTACACTCCTGTAAGATTCTGAAACAAGAAATTGGTATCAAAGTTTAGGCAAAAAAAATTGTTTTGTTTAGGGGTTCCCTACCTACTCTATATTACCCCTGCCCTAAAGTGAATTTTTTGTCACTTCTGTTATTAAATCATGACAAATAATACCGTATAGCGGGTTATTTTCGCGGGTGTAAAATTTCGTCATTAAGGGGCAACAAAGTATACGAAAAGTTTTGGTGCTTTTTATTTTGGCGGGTTATTTAATCCCAATAAAATATTTTGGCGGATACTGAAATGGTTGCAGTTCAAAAATGGTGAAAGTTGACAAACAAGTCTCCAATGTTATGGTTAAATGATTGTTTTACCTGCATGACATCTTGTTTATTGATTATATTTTGATACAGTTAATCAACAGAATACCGGTACTTACATGTTTGTCACAGGTATACAAACATCTTGTAATTGTTATTGTTGATTAGTTACGAAATTGACCGGACCTTTGATGTACTAATTAGATTATAAAATTATCAAGAGTGACTTGCAACTCTAATATAATATGACACAAATTAATAAGGGTAAAATACCTGACAGAGTACGTTACACTCTTATACTACTTGACACCAAAATATTAATAAACTAATTAACACCTGACAGCCATTTTATAAAATATATGTGAAGAATGCCCTTTGGCATGTTTGTTGTTCAAATTAACATAAACCGTTATTGACCCGTCAACTGGGAACAAATAGATCGTTTACAAAACGCATTTGCGATTAAAAAGTACCGAACATATGCATAAATTTTCACAGAATTTATTTCGCCATTTTCCTTTACCTGCTAAAATAAGCGAAAATTAACACACCGCGAAAAATAATCCGCTATACGGTAGGTCTCTCCCCATACTCCAGGTATAAAATAAAATATCAGAAAAATGTAAATGAATTCCTATCTCCCTACCGTATATTTCTAAAGGAGGAAACCCTGAACAAGAAGACTTTCATGTTTTGGCATACAGATAACAGATGACAAAACAGTGGTCATAAAGAAGTAACCTGTTATAAAAGTTCATTCCATTTTCTTATTATTAACAGGAACACCACCTGCCACCCCTCCAGGACCAAATGGACAGTGCCCAGGTCAGGGCTGGATCTCAAATGGCCCAAAATGTTATAGATTTTATTACAAGACCTCCTTAAGCTACCTGGATGCCACATTGGATTGTAGTAGACAGCAAGCTTCCATGGTCTCCGTCCATAGCATGGACCAAAATAATTTCCTGATTGCTACTTTGAAGTCATATACAGTACAGTCAGAAGGATTGTGGCTTGGCTTTCACAAATCATCGACAGGTAAGTTGAATTTGATCATGTCATCTGAGAGCTAACCTGTTCCAACAGTAAAATATGAGGTGAAAATATATCAAAGGGATATTCAAAGTTATAAGTTGAACACAAACTAAAAATCCCATGGCAATAAACAAAAAAACGAAGAAAGGACAAACAACAGTACACAAAACATAACATAGAAAACTAAAGACTGAGCAACATGAACTCCTCCAAAAACCCTGGGTGATCTCAGGTAATCTGGAAAGGTAAGCAGATCTTGTTCCACATGTGGCACCCATTGTATTGCTCATAAAAGTACAAACCTGGTGATAAGTCTAATTCAGTAGATCACATTTGAGGAAAAGAGGATGGGTTTGTGGTTATATTTAAATTCTATAATTTAATGGCCTTATTCCTTAAATGGTTTGTTATTTATTCTGAATAAGTCAAATATGAATGAATAGATATAGAAACTCAAATACTGTAAATTCAGAAATTATTGCATGCATTTATTATTGCGATTTTTGGAGAATAGACAAAATTGTGAGGTTGGTTATTGCAATTTTCGGAAAATCTGCATATACATATATATATATATGTATCGGAAATAAGAATGCAAGTTCTTAATATTGCGATACTCACACAGTCACATTTTCGCATTAATATAAAATTTTGCAATAATTTCTGAATTTACAGATACAATTTTAATAAATTTCTATACTGACCAGATCATATCTTATCATACTGACTTCCTACAAAACTACTACAAATGATTGATTACCAGAACATTGAAGTAACCCTATCTGAACAATAGAATTTGACTCATAGGGATATGAAGAAATTGATTAAAATTTCAGTCAAGCTTTTTAAGCCCTTGCCCACTACATAATGTCAGATATGCAAGTATACCTGCACTTACAAATTGTTGGTCAAAGGCTTGCTAACAGATTTCCAACCATACAAATTTTGAAGACCTTTTAGGAAGCACATCTGATGTATTAAGTTGTCAATGACATCCACATCCATCTCTGTTATATTAGTTTATCTACAATCTAGAAAACAGCTTGATAGAGCTTTTCCAAATTTGCACTGTTTATTCTACAGGACACATGATATTTAAATTTTGCTCCACTTGTGTTTCTATCGACAATACTTGTGAAATTAAGTTATAGTCATTAACATTGAAATAGTGAATCAGTTATTCATGGATACAAGCATACAAGTACTGTCACACTGAACCAGTAAAAATCTGTACTGTTTTTATATCTGTAAGACACATACTTCTTGTTTGCATTTACTTTGAATTTTTCAACATGTTGAAAGAAAACAAATATTTTCGACACGCTTTTCTGAAAAGAAACTACTTGAGAGAATGATTTCATATTTGGTCAGCAGCTGGACAGTGATGTGTTTTAGTGTTTGAGCTCTTTTTGGATCTATCAGACATCTACTTCCTTTTAAGCTCACTTGGCCCAAACTGCTAGTGTGAGCTTTTGCCATCACTTGGCTTCTGTTGTCAACCATTAAGTTTTACAAAGATCAACTACTCTGAAACTACTTGGCTAAATTTATCCAAACTTGGCCACAATCATCAATGGTTATCTTGTTTTAAAAAATTGTCTGATGACCCCACCTGCCAACAAACATGGCAGACATGGCTAAAAATAGAACATATGGTAAAATGCAAGTTTTGTCTATTTTCTTGGAAAACTGCTATAGATAGAGAAAATTTGACAGAGCAAACATGTTCAAATGATGAGATCTACATAATGTCTACTGACATCAAAATTATCAGACGACTCCTTAAAGGAGTTATTGCCCTTAATCAACAAGTTCTTCCATTTTTTTTCCTTTTTTCTTGAAAATTATAATAGATTGACAGAAATTTAAATAACAACAGTGATCAGCAACACAAGATCTACAAAAAAGTCAACATGATCGAAATCGTCAGTCAAGACTTTATTAAAGATATTGGCCTTTAATGACCATTTTTCCCAATTTTTTGCATTTATGCCTATTATCTTGAAAACATAGAAGATAGATAGAAACTTTACTTTATAGCAAAAATTATCAGCAGACAAGATCTACAAATAGGTGAAATGGCCGAAATCTTTTGTCAACTCGTTATTGGAGTTATTGCCCTGAAATGATAATTTTTACCATTTTGTTTTTGCATTTTTTGCCTATTATCTTGAAAACTGTAATAGATCAATAGAGACTTTGAAAAAAAAAATGATCAGCAGGATAAGATCTACAAATACGTCAACATGACTGAAATTGTCAGTTAACTCTTAATCATTGTTGATAGAGTTATTACATTTAAATGATGATTTTTACGTAAAAGTGGCTATTGTTGAAGATGTATAGTTGAGCAACACAGGCTCTTAAGAGCCCTTAGTTTCTGATACTTTGAATTACCAGTGGGGGAATGCTTAGCACAACCAATAAGAGCATTATTGTTTAATTACAATTACAGCTGGATTTCAGTGGTATGATAAATCTACACCACAGTTCATAAACTGGGACCAAGGACAACCATCAGGGAAAGCTCAGAGAGGGAACCAGGCGAACTGTGTGGAGATCAGATCATGGAATGGGAAGTGGAATGATTTAGATTGTTCAGAGACACGTGGATACATTTGTGAAAAAATGCAAGGTATATTGAATCTTAAAATGTTTTTATATTTGTGTATCAGACGTTTTCATAGGAGTTGGAAACACATAATAAAGGGATACAGCTGCATAATGTAAACAATGAAAGTGCATGTATTGAAATAAGTATGTACACAGTATTGTGCTTGATAAACTGTGATAGATGCCTTCTATCACAGAAATTATATAAGCTATAGAATATATAAGATGAAAACAAAAACAAAAAAGGCTAAAGCATGATTTTGTAGATTGAGTATTATGGTACATATCTAGTTAATGCTTATACCTGTGTATTAGATATAATGTGCAAGAAAAAACATGAACCAACTTTCAAGAGATAACTGAATGGAAGTTTTGACAATTTATGTCTGAAGTAGCTGGTAGGAGACAAAATGGACACCATTTTTATGCTGCAAAGAGGGCATTAAGTGTTACCCTTGTCCATCCATACGTATGTCCTGAAATTTGTTTCCCTTCTTTAATTTTAGTTTGCATCAACCAAATGTTATGAAACTTATACACAATGCTAATTACCACACAACACTGATCAACTTTGAATTTGTCACTTTTACCGTTCTTAGTGTTATGCCCCTTTACAAATGGAAAAAAATTGCTGAATTTTTCATTTCATTTCTCTAACTGAAGTTTGCCTCAACCAAATGCCATGAAACTTATATGCTTATTACCACAAAAACTCGGATCAAGTTCGAATTTGGGTGGCGTCACTTTTGCAGTTCTTGAGTTATGCCCCTTTATAATGTTATATCCATGTGGAGGCATCATCTGTGTCCCATGGACACATTCTGCATTTATTTACATAAAAGATAATTAAGATTTCTGATTTTAATAGAATATATCTGGACAGATTATATGAAACAATGAGAGTTATTACTGAACAAAATTTAATTTAAAAAAATTAGAAAAATTAAAAATAAACTAAACAACAATAAAAATAAGCAGCTGCACCATGAGCGCATGATACGCCCGTCGTCTTGTGTGTGAATTTTTATGCAATAAGCATAAATAGTTTCTGACATACGGCGTGACATGCAAAAACCCCCCTTTTTTTTTTACAAAAAACTCAATATCTCAAAAATGAAATTTTGAATCACAACCAAAAAGTATACAGATCTTTAGATTAATATAACTAAGAAGTGTGTAAAATTTTTAGCAATAATCATAAACTGTTTTTGAGATACGGCGCGACATGTGAAAAACCCCTCCCCTTTTTTAACAAAATACTCAATAACTCAAAAGTAAAATTTTGAATCATCACCAAAAAGAATACAGATCTTAAGGTTAATATAACTAAGAAGTGTGTAAAGTTTTAAGCAATAATCATAAACTGTTTTAGAGATAAGGCATGACATGTGAAAAACCCCTCCCCCTTTTTTAGCAAAATACTCAATATCTCTAAAATAAAATTTTGAATCATCACCAAAAAGTATACAGATCTTAAGATTAATTTAACTAAGAAGTGTGTAAAGTTTTAAGCAATAATCATAAATTGTTTTTGAAATACGGTGCCACATGTGAAAAAAAACACACACCTGTTTTAGTTACTAAGTCCTGTAACTCAAAAAGTTTTAATCTTATTTTCACCAAAGAGTATACAGATCGTTTGACCATCATAAGAAACAACTATGTTAAGTTTCATGAAATTTGGATAAGTCATTCTCAAGTTACGGTGCGACATGTTTACGCCGGACAGACAGACGGACAGACAGATGGACAGACAGACGGACAGATGGACGGACACCTGACATTTGTATACCATAATACGTCCCGTCAAAAATTTGACGGGCGTATAAAAATGTGGTAATTGTCTTTTATGGAATAAAAGTTCATAAAAAGTACCTGGATTTTATCTTGTTCACAAGAAGCACCTTTCATCTACATATAATTATTCATCAGTGTTGCTTAAATTAAAAAATTTGAAGGCCAAATCTAATATGAAGTTGAAAATCACTGGAATCCGAAATTTTAAAAGCTTAAACCAATCTATGCCTGAGGGTAGAAAACCTGAGTGTTTTGAATAATTCAACATTTTACAAACATGCTGTAGATTTTACAGATAATGACCATATCAATGACATACAGATGATACAGTTGAAATTACTTTTGTTTTACAGTGGTAGACACAGCAGACAATACCACACCAGGACCACAGAAGTCAACGATAGTTACACCTACAAAAACACCAACAATAGTTCCTCCTACTATTACACCACCATTACCAGGGAAACATACAGCAGGATCATCTGTTAGACCAACAGGAACGACACCTGCACCGCTAAGTAGACAAACTCAGAAAACAGCTCCTCCAATGCCAACTGTTCCTCACATATCTCCTTACACAGGCACACCTCAGTCTGTGCATCAAGGTATGAGAGTTAATTTTTAATGCCAGGCTTATGTTATATAAGGAGAAGGGATGCAATATTTTTTTTTCTGGTCTTTTTGTCTCTCCAATAATTCATTCTTCCTGTATCAGGTTTTAGTTTTGTTTTAAAGTAGTTGATCATGAAACTGTGAAAACTTAATTTTAATACAGTTATTCATTATGATAGAGACTTTTACAAATACATTCCAAATTAGGATTTTTGCATAGATTGTGTGGTTCACTGAACATTGAAATTTGATAGTTATAGTGGGGTAGGGTGTCTGTTTAGGCATATTCTTGTCTTCTTTTGGAAATATTTTAGTTTTACAGCTAATATCAATCAATTTTCTTGCAACTGATTAATTTTAATTCAAATCTTATTAAGTCATTAAAAAAGTGATTTATGTTGTGAGTCATCTAAATAGCTTAGATAAAACAGCTCGATTCAGATTATCTAAAATAATACAAGTTCTGCAGGAGTATTTTTTGGTTTCGTTTATTTAGTTGTAAACAGTAAGAGGTTAAGCATACAAAGAGATGGATAAAATCCGACTTCTCCTTAATATTATTTTAAGTAGATCTGTCCACTTAATCCCAATCAACAATATAATTAGCAGAGGAGGATTTAGGGGGGCCCAGGGTGCCCAGACCCCCTTTTGTGGGAAAAATTTGGTTGATTATTTAGAGAATCACTGAAGCATGACTTAGCAGGCCCCTCTTATGGAATCAGTGCCCCACCCCTTTATGAAAATTTCTGGATCCGTCACTGATTAGCACCCCAGATTGACAAAAAAGATGATTACAATTTAATTTAATTTGATTTAACACTTAACTTCAAATAGATTTCTTGCACTAACCGGTTTAAATTGATTTGCCTTTGTAGGGGCCCCAAGCAAGAATGGACTAAGTTCAGGTGCAATAATAGGAATAATCATTGGTCTTATTGTGGCACTAGCACTCCCAACAGTTGGGATTGTTTTATGGAAAAGAAGACAGCCACATACCAACCAGAATGGAACCCCTGGTGGTTTTGAAAATTCTACATATCAACTGGACACAAAACATGAGACAGAAACCAGTGAAGAAACAGACTCTTAATGATATTTAGAGATTATTGTTTGGTTATTTTGTAACTAAGCAACAGTGTTAAATTGAGGTCACTGCTGTTCATAATGCTGGAAGGCTATTGAACCATTCAAATGTGAATATTTATGTACAAAATATGTGGTATGTGAGTTTTCTCGTATGTAATGGATTACAATTATGTTCACAATATGTATATACATGTAGATAACAAATGTGTATATAATATAGTATAAGTATACATGTAGATAAAAAATAAGGAATTATTTATTTCACCAGAAATAGACAGTAGAAAGCCAACAAATTCATGTACATTAATGCTTACATTAGCTTAATACTTTGTACAGCCTTTAACCACTTTTAGTTATTTGTTGTACATTTTATTTATTTCATGCATTTTCATTTTGTAAGATGTAAAAATGTCATTTCAGGCTTTCATTATTATCATTCATCGTGATATCACTAGCCACAGTTTAGGCTATTGCCAACAAAGGACATTCTGCATATTTTTTGTTATTTATGTAGAACCACTTAAAAGATTAAAAAAATATTGTAATTACATATCTGGTTTAGTATTTCTAGTAAGTGATTCCTAAAAACTGTGTTGATCCTTATGTGGAAAATAAATTAAACCCAGTGAAAATCTTAATTGAAACCTCAAATGGTAGGCAGGTTCCTTGTAAGTACTTTAGGCAGGAAGCAGATTTGAAGGCAATGATCAACTGTGTTTTTTATTAATTTTGAAAGGACATAATGCAAACCACATGAGAAAGCAAAAACTCTGTTGACTTCATAAGATTTCTGCAGAATCTATAGGAAAATGTAGCAAGCTACCATACAAACAATAGATGTATAAAAGATGTATATTTGTAAAATATTGAATTTGTTAAATATTTAATAGTAATATTATACTGCAACAAAGGTATTCATTTGATGATACTGTAAATTAAGAAACTGTTAAGTGCATCTTTTATTGCTATTGTTGAACAATGGACAAAAACATGAGTTTGTAATTTTAGGTAATAATTGTAACCATTTCAGGAAATGCTACACACAAATATTGCCAGCAATTGATTTGGAAAAAGCTTTTAGGTCACAATTTTTGCAGAATTAAGGACATCACAAAAATTTATGAATTTACAGTTTTCTTTTTTTTGATAAATTTCGCTTCACAATAGAAAAGGGATTATGCAGCAGCAGGTTGGATGAAGATATTAAAATGTATCCACAATCAAATTGTATTTATCATTGTTGCATTTTTGATATCTGTGTAATATGTTTTACAATTACCATGACTACTAAGTAGATAATAAAATATAATAAAATAAATGATATAACTTGGTTTTTTTTAACTGCATGGAATTTATATGATCTAAATATTTGGCTTTGAAGAAATATAAATATAGGTGTACTGTCGAGTATGGAAGGCATGTTAGCCTCCAAATTCACTTCCAAGAAATAATTCCAGTGTCCAAGGCAGAAGGAAATAGACACTACTCCCTGTCCCCAAAATTTTGTGTCCATGTGCCTTTTTTATGCACTCCTATCCCATTTTAATGCGCATCTGTGTCCATTTGATGAATAGGTAAAAAAAAAGAAAGATCTGTTCTTTCTCTTAAGATCTTCTTACAACAAGTGCATAATTATAAGTACACAGATTTAAATATGACATTTGTTACCTGTTTATAATCACATATTGATTACTTGAACAGGTAACATTTACGACCCTCTCTAATCCCTGTCTCCTAAAGCAAGAATCTTCAATAAGGTCGGAATATTAATTTCAAATGATTTTCTAATATGTGTCAATCAAAAAAAGATTTTGGAAAAACGAACGCAAATAATTTTCAGTTTCTAGCGTATTCTTAACTTATAAAATAAAGTTCCTAAAAAAATCCATTCCATAAATATAAGCTATGTCAACACTCTAAGACACTGAATTCATTATATGTTATTGTGAATTGGTAGAATGTCAATAAACTAAGGGTATGTGAGCTTAAGCAATCACTTGGTGTTTGTCTTCCTTGTCCATTGCCATTTTTTGTCAAGCCTGCGACTTGTGTCGCAGAAAGCTCGACATAGGGATAGCGGCGGCAGCGTTAGCTAACTTCTTAAAAGCTTTATATTTTAGAAGGTGGAAGACCTGGATGCTTCATACTTTGTATATAGATGTCTTATGTAAAGAAGTTTCCGTCAGTCACATGTCCAAAGTCCTTGACCTCATTTTTAGCTCACCTGACCTGAAAGGTCAAGTGAGCTTTTCTCATCACTTGGCGTCCGTCGTCCGTCGTCCGTAAACTTTTACAAAAATCTTCTCCTCTGAAACTACTGGGCCAAATTTGACCAAACTTGGCCACAATCATCATTGGGGTATCTAGTTCAAAAAATGTGTCCGGTGACCCGGCCAACCAACCAAGATGGCCACCATGGCTAAAAATAGAACATAGGGGTAAAATGTAGATTTTGGCTTATATCTCTGAAACCAAAGCATTTAGAGCAAATCTGACATGGGGTAAAATTGTTTATCAGGTCAAGATCTATCTGCCCTGAAATTTTCAGATGAATCGGACAACCCGTTGTTGGGTTGCTGCCCCTGAATTGGTAATTTTAAGGAAATTTTGCCGTTTTTGGTTATTATCTTGAACATTATTATAGATAGAGATAAACTGTAAACAGCAATAATGTTCAGCAAAGTAAGATCTACAAATAAGTCAACTTGACCAAAATGGTCATTTGACCCCTTAAGGAGTTATTGCCCTTTATAGTCAATTTTTAACCATTTTTCGTAAATTTTTGTAATCTTTTACAAAAATCTTCTCCTCTGAAACTACTAAGACAAATTTAACCAAACTTGTCCACAATCATCATTAGGGTATCTAGTTTAAAAAATGTGTCCGATGACCCGCCCGCGAACCAAGATGGCCGACATGGCTAAAAAATAGTACATAGGGTAAAATGCAGTTTTTGGCTCATATCTCTGAAACCAAAGCATTTAGAGCAAATCTGATGAGGATAAAATTGTTCATGAGGTCAAGATCTATCTGCCCTGAAATTTTCAGACCAATCAGGCAACCCGTTGTTGGGTTGCTGCCCCTGAATTGGTAATTTTAAGGAAATTTTGCAGTTTTTGGTTATTATCTTGAACATTATTATAGATAGAGATAAACTGTAAACAGCAATAATGTTCAGCAAAGTAAGATCTACAAATAAGTCAACTTGACCAAAATGGTCAGTTGACCCCTTAAGGAGTTATTGCCCTTTATAGTCAATTTTTAACCATTTTTCGTAATTTTTTGTAATTTTTTACAAAAATCTTCTCCTCTGAAACTACTAAGACAAATTTAACCAAACTTGTCCACAATCATCATTAGGGTATCTAGTTTAAAAAATGTGTCCGATGACCCGCCCGCGAACCAAGATGGCCGACATGGCTAAAAAATAGTACATAGGGTAAAATGCAGTTTTTGGCTCATATCTCTGAAACCAAAGCATTTAGAGCAAATCTGATGAGGATAAAATTGTTCATGAGGTCAAGATCTATCTGCCCTGAAATTTTCAGACCAATCAGGCAACCCGTTGTTGGGTTGCTGCCCCTGAATTGGTAATTTTAAGAAAATTTTGCAGCTTTTGGTTATTATCTTGAATATTGTTATAGATAGAGATAAACTGTTAATAGCAATAATGTACAGCAAAGTTAGATCTACAAATAAGGCAACTTGACCAAAATTGTCAATTGACCCCTTAAGGAGCTATTGCCCTTTATAGTCAATTTTTGTAAATTTTCATAAATTTTGTAAATTTTTGTAAATTTTTACAAAGTATTTTCCACTGTAACTACTTGGCCAAGTTCATTATAGATAGAGATAATAGTAAGGAGCAAGAATGTTCAGTAAAGTAAGATCTACAAACACATCACCATCACCAAAACACAATTTTGTCATGAATCCATCTGTGTCCTTTGTTTAATATGCACATAGACCAAGGTGAGCGACACAGGCTCTTTAGAGCCTCTAGTTATGGTTCAGTGACTACTTGAAAAAAAAGTTCAGATTTTTTGGAATGTTAAATTCTCTCTTATTATAAGTAATAGGATAAATATATTTGGTATGTGCGTACCTTGCAAGGTCCTCATGCCCGTCAAACAGTTTTCACTTGACCTCGACCTCATTTCATGGATCAGTGAACAAGGTTAAGTTTTGGTGGTCAAGTCCATATCTGAGATACTATAAGCAATAGGTCTACTATATTTGGTGTATGTAATGATGGTAAGGTGTACATGTCCAACTGGCAGGTGTCATCTGACCGTGACCCCATTTTCATGGTTCAGTGGTCATAGTTTAGTTTTTGTGTTTTGGTCTGTTTTTCTAATACTGTATGCAATAGGTCAACTGTATTTGGTGTATGGAAATATTTTACGATGTTCATGTCAGTCTGGCAAGTTTTATTTGACCTTGACCTCATTTTCACGGTTCATTGCTCAATGTTAAGTTTTTGTGTTTTGGTCTGTTTTTCTTATACTGTATGCAGTAGGTCAACTTCAGTCTGGCATGTTTTATTTGACCTTGACCTCATTTTCAAGGTTCATTGCTAAATGTTAAGTTTTTGTGTTTTGGTCTGTTTTCCTAATACTGTTTGCAGTAGGTCAACTATATTTGGTGTATGGAAATATTTAATGATGTACATGTCAGTCTGGCATGTTTTATTTGACTTTGACCTCATTTTTCAAGGTTCATTGCTAAATGTTAAGTTTTTGTGTTTTGGTCTGTTTTCCTAATACTGTATGCAGTAGGTCAACTATATTTGGTGTATGGAAATATTTAATGATGTACATGTCAGTCTGGCAGGTTTAATTTGACCTTGACCTCATTTTCATGGTTCATTGCTTATGTTAAGTTTTTGTGTTTTGGTCTGTTTTTCTTATGCTTTAAGCAATAGGTCAACTATATTTGGTGTATGGAATGATTGTAAGGTGTATATGTCTGTCTGGCAGGTATCATCTGACCTTCACCTCATTTTCATGGTTGATTGGTCAATGTTCAGTTTTCCTGGTTTACTTTTTTTCTTAGATACCTTAAGCAGCAATAGTACAACTATATTTGGAATGATTTTAATGTGTACATGTCTGTCTGGCAGGGTTCAAATGACCTTGACTTCATTTTCATGGTTCATTGGTCAACATAGAATTTCCATGGTTTGGTCTGTTTCTTTTATGCTATAAGCAATAGGTCACCTTTATTCTGTGTATGGAGGGATTGTATTAAAGGTGAACATGTTTTTCCGGCTTGGTTTATCTGACCTTGACATTGTTTTCTTGGATCATAAATGTTAATGTGATACTTGTAGTAAAACTTTATATGTAGGACTATCAACATAAAATCAATGGTCAGTATAGTAGGCGAGACATTTCAGCGTGTGCACTCTTGTTCTACTTTTTAAGTTCCATCGTTTATATACTATCAATTTATAATAATCTTTTAAACCATTTATTATTTTGAAACAGAGGAGCAAACATCCTTAATTTTGGTTTTAAATGTAAAATAGCAAATCAGTGATTGCACCAATCAACATTTAATCACAGTATTTTATTAGTGTACGTATAAAAGAAACTGCATTTGTTGCTACAATGAAAGGTACAGTTGAAAAACAAACCATTCATTCAAGATTGTGAGCTGTTTTATGCAAAACAAATGTAAAAAGTGAATATAATAAGTGATAGAGTTGGAGCAATTAGAAAGTGTGAACACACAACTATGCCAATCACTGTGTAATACTAGGTATGCAAACTTGATGCTAGGGTTTTTTCTACAGCTAACTTTGAAGCACACATTATCTCTTCAAATAGAATCTGCTCAAAACTATTCATGTTTGTTGAGAATCTCTTGTGGATTAATGTGTAAACATTTTAAGCTTTTCTGCTTTCTTGAGAAGTATCTTTGATGCCTAAAACATGTAAAATGATAACTTTAAATAGTTAGAATGAAAATAAAGCTACATGACCATTGGTAGCAAAGTGATCTATTAGGAATTTCATTTACGGTTATCACTAGTTGTCAACACTGACATAGAGATTTGGAACCCTGTTCATGGCAAGATTTGTTCCACTCAAATCTAAACAAATTTAAAAGGTGTGTGGTCTAAATACAGCACAATCAACATTTTCCAAAAGACCAAAAAAGTGAAAAGTATATTTTAACAAAACGCATTTGACTAGCAGGTCAAACAACGTATGTTCTTAAACCCTGCTGACTGCCATTGGCAATTGCCAAATAAACGGATCACCAGATGTAACAAAATGTATTTTAACTATTAAT